GGATTTGGAAGAGTAGATAAAGACCATTGGCTAGGACATTACTTATTTCATTGAGAGTTTAAAAAAATACGTCAACGTAAACTACTTTTAATGAAGAAATATATATTGTAGTGTAATTATGTCATTATGACGTGGGCTTGACCTACTTTATTTTAAAACGCCATTTACCCACAGCTCATGGCAGGATTAAATATGTACAACTATTTTACCCAAAAAGACAAGTCTTCCATATCGAAAGGAGAAGGTACGATTAAGGACTAATTTGGCAATAACATCAAATGTATTTCAAACTGACTCTAATATCAAGAATTAAATGTTGATTCTAAGAAGCTAAATAAAAACAATGCTGTTCTGATTTCCAATATACCCTTATATTGGCTATACAGCCATACGATGACGAGAAAAATTAGTTTCACAAATCTTGATTTTTTTGTCTTGCATTTGATTAGAAATTATACAGAGCACAACAGTCGCCCAAAAAGATTTTTACACATTAAATTGTTTATTGTATTTACCAATTCACTGGCAAAAAAAAAAACCACTTTGGCGACGCCTGTGAACTATTTATATTTTAGCCGAAATGTTCCTAAATTAGCCTATTTTTGCTAATAATCTTTACAGACTTGAAATGACGTCCTAGTTAAATTGTGTTACCAAGGCTTGCTTTATATTCACATTTAAGAATTACCTCATACTCCAGCGTTAAACATGTGATTAATAGTAGTGTCGCACTGTTTTTTTTTAATTTTCTATTAAGTAACATTGCCGAATAGTCCGCAAAATGACCTTCTCGTATTAGTATGAGACATTTTGTAACAAAAAATGGATTTGGGTATGACGGTTGATCATATTTAGGCAAGATATCTCTATTTTTGCAGCTTTGCATAACTACCTTACCTTCAAGACGTCTGAAAGCCTTTTGAAAATTAACAAAATATTATATATATATACCAAAACAAAAACAAAAATTTGCTGACGCAAATTTGCAGATCTAACACTGTTGGGCTAAATCGGAGACGAAGTATATATATTTACCGATATATGGTTGAATCTTGCCTTGTGAATATCTGAATACATATCAATATTATTTGATGAATCTATATTTGTATTAGCTCTTTTTCGAATCCAAGTGACCAAAACATTTGTCTTATCACTCTCTCTCTCTGTTAAAAATAACAACTTAACCTGCCAATCCAATATTTCATACAGTATTATATAGATTTACATTACTTACAAATTAAAGGCATGTATCCTTCATATAACTATTTAACATGGTGGTGTATTGAATTCCCTATTTTAAAATTATTTCAGGAAACGACAATATTTACCGTTTATCGCAAGATGGCACACATGAACTCAGCATTGCCTTAGTAGATTGGGACAGAAATCTAATGGAAGCTAATTATTCAAAGTTTTCAGTGAATGGTGAAAAAGACAAACTACTCACTCAGTGTGTCAGTATACTCGGGAAACGCAGGTTTGACAAAGTTATTCAGGTCTTTAAAAATTGAAATTGCCAGTAAGAAAGAACCATTTCAGTTTTCTATTGAATAAGTAAGTACATCACACCTGAAATCCATGATGTTAAGAGATGTAAGAAATTTCTCCAGTTTAAATATATAATTTTTTTGTGTTATAGTCCCAAGAACGAAAGTACACCAAAGGATAGGGGAGAAATACTGTCTAATATTATTACGAGAAACACTATATACACAAATATGATGCTTTGAAATTTTTGGAATTTTTCAAAGTCTGTGGCATCTATTCCTGTGTAATTTACTTTTGTGTTTATGAAATGTAACATTCATTTAAATCAGCTTCATTGGAATATATTCTAGCAACCCGTTTAAGTTGTGAAATGTGCACGCCATATAATGAGGCACTTAAAAACAGAAGTTTGTGATTACAAATCGTCTCTTTTGGCGTATATTTTCGTTTCAACTTCCATTTTAGCGTCAATTCAGTTATATCTAAAACTTATTATTGATTGGTATTATGCAATATTTCATACGTAGCATGATAACATTAGTATGATTTCACCAAGGAATTGTATAACTAAAAACTGCTCTGAAAGTGTGGTATTAATTATCCCCTGAACAGCTGCTCTGGTAGTGCAATATTACCTATTTATCAGGAATGGTACAGTCCAACATCTACTCTGATGGTTTAATACTATCTATTCATCAGGCGATGGTATTAATTAACAGCTACTCTGTTAGGGCAATATTACCTATTAATCAGGGAATTGTATGGTCAAGCATCTACTCTGATGGTTCAATACTATATATTTGTCAGGCGATGGTATGAGCTAACAGGTGCTCTGAAAGTGCAATTATTAATATACTGATCATGTGCTGATATTGGCGAAAAGCTGCTCTGATGGTTCAATGTTATCTTCATATCAGGCGATAATATGGGACAAGGCTGTATTAGTGCAATATGATCTATTTATCAGGGATGGTATTGGCTTACAGATTTTCTGATAATGCAATATTATCTAATTATCAGTGGATTGTATGGGCTAACAGCTGCACTGATAGTACAATATTAACTATTTACCAGGGAATAGAATGGCTACAAGATGCTCTGATGGGTCAATATTATCTATTTATCAGGTGATGGTATGGAGCTAACAGCTGCTATTATAGTCCAATATTATCTTTTTATCAGTGGATGGTATGGGCTAACAGCTGCTCTGATAGTGCAATCTATAATACTTAGTGAGGAGACCTGTTTTGTGTGTCTCTGTTCCGTCTTCCTTATGAAATCAATAAATATGACTCTGTTTGCTAAAGGTAGTATGCAAATCGTTTTTTATCCTTCCAAATAATTATCTTTTTTGTGTTAGTTGGAATTCGGAAAACAAAATCATTTTAGGAAAGGACTTCCTTTTTACAATAGGTTTCAAATTTTGTAGAATGTTTAAAGTTCATAAAAATTCATACTTAATAATTTGATGACAAGATCATAACCAATTTTGTATGACTTTGAGTAATTTGTAAAAATTCGACCCCAATGGATCGATTTGTAAACAAAAAGTAGCAAATATCTCATTTAGAAAATGTTATTAAAAACATTTCATGTAAAAATGTATTCATTCATCAGAATGTCCTTCTTAAGAATTTTATGTTTGATTCAATAGTTAAAGAAAGGGGGAGATCACATTGCTCTACTTATCAGGTGATGGTATAGTCTAACAGCTGCTCTGATATTCAATATAACATATTAATTAGGCAATTGTATGGGCTAAAAGCTGCTCCTATAGTTAAATTTTATCTATTTTTCAGGTGATGGTATGGACTACCACAACTCCAAATCATTTTATACAAAAGACAAAAGACATGGACAACAGGAATGGGTGTGCTGTCAACAGACATGGTGGTTGGTGGTATGACAACTGTTACCAAGCAGACCTAAATGGGAGGTATAATGGGACAATAAATGAATCTGGAAAATATACAGGACTATTATGGTTTGAATGGAAAAGGGACTATTCCTTAAAGGCAACGATGATGATGATCAGAAGGAAAGAGTAAATACTGATACTCACAAAAAGACTTGTGTGAAAGAAGCCAACTTGTATTACTTTGTTTAATACTTGTGTATTTATTTGCTTAGAAACAATATTATTATTTCACTAAAGTTTCTTCAAGTTAGCTTCCCATGTAATTTAATAATTGATATTTGAAAACACTGTTGTAGGCCATTTTGCATAACAAGTTACAGCTGGCCACACATCATTGCACCTATTTGTGTTGGAGTTCATCCACTTTATTTTATTTTAAGTGGTGAGGAAAATTTCACCAGAATCTGTTTCATACAATGGGCAGCATTAATATGTCTATCAATATTCTGTTAAAATTCACAGCTGCATATGTGTACTTTGAGGTTTTAAAAACATCCATGGCATATATTTTTAAACATGTTAAAAAGTTAGAAAATTCAAAATTACAGTTTTGGAAAACTATGGGTATTTATCCTGAAAAAGAGTAAGAAAGGACATTTATAACCAATACCAAATCTCTTTTGTAATTATGTTTACAGATTTTTCCAATTTTTTTTTACTTTGTAACAGAGGTCTTTTTCTGCAAAATTTACCAAAAACATTTCCATTAAAATTGTATTTGGCAGCAGTTTTTGGCTGTGAGTAAAATTTAAATATTTAATTTTGTTTTGTTCTGCAAGTCCATGTTGTAAGGTCAAGGGGCACTGTTACAACTTTCATCAGTCGAAATTCTGAAATTAAAGGAGCAATCCAAAATCATATAAGTCAATAAAAAACAAACATCACAACGGCCAAAGCTATTAATGAGGAAATGACAAACAACAATCACAAAATTACACAGATTACTAAAAATTAAGCAACATATACCCCACAAATTCCAGGGGTGAACTAATGTAATCAGGAAGTAACAAACCATGTATTTTAAAGGAGGATGTAAATTTCTAGATGTAAAGTACACTGATACATATAGATTCTACCCCTGCATCAAGTGTTATACTATATTTATCCACTCCAGACAGTTAAATTTTCAAATTTAAAACACGAGGCTTGCCAAGCGTTTGAAATATTTCAAATTTAGCTGTCGAGAATGGGTATATATCGTATTACAAGATATTTGGTTGTGGAATCATTTTCTATAATGATATTTATACAATATGCAGGCAAACTTATTCCTTTCTTTTCAAATGATCCGCATAAAGATGTGTTTTTTCTTTGTGACATCATTAGACATGGTTGCCTTTTCTCATGACGTCACAATAGGAAATTCAGAGAAAAGCAAGAAAATTTGACGCCATAATCAAATTTTGACCAATGATTAACTGAGATCAACCTAACCACACGTTGAATAAATAAAAATAATCAACCGGTCAGGAAAAGGATAAATCGGGTAAGAATCAGAGAAACAAGTTTTATCTGATAAATGATAAGACAATAAATTCAGATCTTAATGAATGATTCCGTGGTTTAAATACTCTATTATTAATAAACAATAATAAAAACTTTGAATTGCTACTTTTATTTTATTTTATCATTATATCATATAATTCTAAATATAATAAACATATCAAGCATCAGTTGTTTAATATTTGAATACTGATTAAAAAAAATACCAAATAATGAAAGACATGATCAGTCAGCTGAAAGCTGTTTTTAACGAAGTAAACAAATAAAACAATATAGTTTTAGCCATAGAGAATTATAACTATTTTTTTCAATTTTGTTTTTAAAAGCAGAATCTTTGGACAGACTTTTTAACAGAAAATAAAAAAAATAAAACAATATGTAAATATATGCAAATACTTAACAAAACTAGAAGAAGTAACTGTATCACAGTCTAAAATGGACGGAAGAATAAAATCACAAAATAATCAATTACTATAAATTTGTTGTAAATCAGTTTAAAGTCAATTCAATCACAGCATTGGTGTTTTAGTATCAGGATAAAGACTGTAGGGAACTTGGTCATCAGTTGATGATTCATTTTGTTCCTTTACTCGGTATGGTGACTTTGGTCTCTGTCCTGATGCTGGTCTCTCTGATGTTGTCATCTCCAGATCTATGTCTTGACCAGAGGATTCTGCAGTCTTGTGTGATGTGAACTCAGGTGTCCAGGTCTTTAAATCATTTGATTTTGGTCTTTTTGGTTTAAACTTTGGTGGACGGTTAGAGCCTTTCAATGGATCTGGCATGGCAAATGCTGTTGCAAGTGATGGAATTACCCAGTTTTCAGGATAATCCTCTTTGGCATCCTTACTTAACTTTCTCTTCTCTTTGCCTTCTTTGCTGGACTTCTGGGATTTTTCAAGATGAACAATTTTTTCTAGTCGAGCAGGCTTCATGTTTTTCGCTTGTGAATCTGATGCAAGTCCCTTAGCCTTAAGGCCCTCAGGCATTATTATATCTTTTTTGATAGCAGGTGCAGTTGTTGAATCTTCAACTGTGTCAGATTCAGTTGGTTTCAGAGATTTTGGCTCAAATACTGGTTTAGCATTTGGTTGTATTGGCTCTGGACTGACTGATGCATTGTTAAAAAGAGGAAACTCTGATACAAATGGTCGTCTCCATCCTTTCTGAGGCTCTGGTTTGCCATCTTTTTCTGGGAATAGAATTAAGCCCTGAAAGAAAGAAATTTGTGGTATCAGTATCAGTAAAATGAAAAAAAAATGATCTTTAATATACAAATAACATTAGCTCATTAGAAAATGGTTGGCTATGTTGGGTATAGCATAGTGCATAGATTTAACAAATTTCCAATGATTAATACCTTTATTCCCAGAGGACAACAAAGTTTGAAGACAGATTTTTTCAGTTGTTGTAGTTATGATCCAGTCTTCAATTGTAACATCACCAAAAGTATCATCTCACCAATTATTTACAATAAGCAATTCCATGGGTGCCACTGGTGGAGCAGGAACTGCTTACTGTTCTAGATCACATGATTTCACCCAAAGTTCCATGTGAACTCCCTGTTGCTCAATCTTTCAATGCAGTGTTTTGTGCATGTTTTCTTTTGAAGTTTTCTCTAGGACTTGGTTTTGTTTCTTGGTTTTTGTTTCTTTTGAGTTAAATTTTTTGGTTACCCCCATGGTAACATCTCTTATTTTTGTTTTTATATATTTAGTTCCTTTAATTCAAAAAAGATTTGAATGATTTAATAAGATCTTTAATTCTAAAGAAGAAATAAAAAAATATATATTTTCATCCATTTTCTGAATTTACAGTATTTTCATGATACGAGGAACTGCCTTGGTGGTCTCATGTTCGATTGATTGAGGGAGGTCGCAGGTTGAAAACCCGGCATGGTCAAACCAAAGACTTTAAAATTGGTAAGTGCAGCTTCTCCACTAAGCAGACAGCATTAAGGAGTAAGAGCAAAGACTGATCGGATCAGTCAGCCTAATGTATCCTGGTAGGCTGGATTTAATTTAATTCTGGACTTTAAACAGCCATCCATCATCATCATTTAACATTTTCATCATCCTCCCTATCAGTCTCCCTGGTCTACTTGTGTATAAACTGTATATCCAAGGAGATAACCTTAACATTTTGTTTTGATTTTCTGTTTACTGTTGTTTAACAGTCTCACTGATTTCAACCTAATATCCTTCTTTACGAATTCCTATCTATTTATTTACCTTGTCAACAGATGATTCATTTGCATCATTGTCAAAAGGTCCAGTTTTACCTATAAATAGACACAAACAAGTTATATTGATTTTTAACGTTTCTTCATACAGCTAAGATAAATCTATAACAGCATAAACACAAAATAACAATATACAGTAGCTTATCTGATTCACCAATTGTCCATTTTTCCCCCCCAAAAAATTCTCATTTTGGTGTTGACAAAAGTATCAAAACCTAAAAGGGCAATAAACCATTGTGATGTGCTGTAAGCTATATATTTCTCATTAAGGATACTCCTGCTATAAGTGTTAGGTAAACAGGAGTTGATGAGTGATAGATGTAAACCACCACAGGGTATAACATGATGCTCGATACCAAATTTCAGCTCAAATTTGTAGTTCTTAAGGTAAATACAAGGAGAAATTCATAAATAGCCATTATATGTAAATAAGATGTTGAGAGCAATGAATAAAAAACATATCGCATGCTCAAACGAATTAATACTTAATTTCTAGAAGCTCTGATTAGTGAGAGGTAAACGTGCAAGTTTCAAGAAGTAATATTAATTTTCAAATGAAAACGGAGCACTAAATTTTGTGTTTGGACTTTTTTTTAAATTTGCTCTTTACTAGGTCCTTTTTAAAAGGGGCAAAAGCTGCCAATCTCCATGTCCAACAAATTGACTCAAACTTACTTATTTTAGTTATGACATACTAAAGTGTATATCAGAGTTACAAAAGTCACACAGAAAACAATAAACTATGCATGAAATCTTGTCAACATTTTGGGAGTAGCCCCATCTCATTGACCAATAACATGACATTCAAAGATTGTCAGTTGGCATGTGAACTTAAGAGTAAATAAATAGGCTTTAATTTTTAGGTCCTTTTTGGTCAAACAATTCCTCAACTGTTTTGGTTTTTGGATTTCAAATATTCGGCATTGAGCATTCCAGATGAAGGTAAATCCAGAAAAGCACTTCAGACCAACGAAAGTTATAAAGTGTTCTTTTCATTTTGAAATAGATGAAAAAAAAACAGATACTTATCAGAAGTATGTGCAATGTTTCAATTACTATTATTCTGTTTGATTTCATATCAGAAATATTAGAAACATAATGTACATCATTGTTTAACACGTTACAGATGTAAGAATGTTTTTTTTCAGGATTGAATTTGTAAAAAAAAAACCTTCTTTTTAGACATTCACTTTTGGGCTGACTTTATTTCAATAAGAAAAACTGCACTTGCTGAGCACATATGCAATCATTTAGATCTCCAACATAGGTTAAATTGAAGATTTCCTGGATATGGTTCTAAATGATGTCAAGTCAAGGAAGTTTTTTGCCTTTTTTTGACAAAATTGAACCAAACTGGTTTCTTATAAGGAAGATTATTCAACATATATTGTCAAAACCAAAGCCAATGTGAATGACGGGCAGGCATTTGATAGACATTTTCAACTTAAGAAAATGATCATATCAAACACATGTATTTGACCATTTCTCTAAAATTGTCCAATGTTACTACTGCTTGCAATAAACAACAAATATTAATGTAATCTTTGGAAATAATTACCATCAGTAAAAACTAGGCTTCCGAAATTGATATCTCCCATACTGGCCTCGGAAGAATCAGATCTGAGTGATGTCAGGGAATCGTTGATTTTTCTCTTTAAGATGTGCTTCTCTATCCATCTAAAATGCCCACTGAAACACATAAAATACATAACATTTATTTACTGTATTAAATATACAAAAGCTTTTATATCTTTTCACTCAAACATTTGTGTTACATTAAAATTATTTTATAATAAAATACAATTCACCAAATGTCCAAGGTTGAGGAAGGGTTGAGTGCTCACAAACATGTTTAACCCCACCACATTCTTTAAGTGCCTGTCCCAAGTCAGGAGCCTGTAGTTCAGTGCTTGTCTTTGGTTCATGTCTGTCAGATTTGCTTTTTGTAAATTGTTCTGTGAAAAATTAAGCCGTTAGTTTTTCTGGTTTGAATTGTATCATATTTTTCATGTCAGGGCATTTTATAGCCACCTAGTTTGGGTTTTTCTCATTGTTGAAGGCCATACAGTGGCCTATAATTGCTTACTACCATGTCATTTGAACTCTGCTGGAGAGTCGTCTCATTGGAAATCATACCACATCTTCTTATTTCTATATGTAAAGGTATCCCTAAGAACAAACTTTTCTCATAATTTTTTTTTATTTCCCTCCATTTCAAACAAAAATCTCCTTTAGCTTTTTCAAAATCATTAAAATATACAGATGTATAAGAATACAATCATATTAATGTTGAATTCAAGGAAACCTTTCTTTCAAAAAAACACTATGTATTCATGGTTTCCAGAGATCATAAACCTGTCGCTGATACCAAGATCACATACCTCTTTTTGACTTTACGTCTGTAGAGAGCTGCCAGTATTATAAACAAGAACAGCAATCCTCCCACCACACCAACAGCCACTATCCAGGGTTTAAAGTCACATTTGGGATTATCCTGTGGACATGCACATTTGTATCCATTAACCTGGTTGTAACATACATGGGGCTCCATACAGGGAGAGGACATACACTCATCTATGTCAGTCTCACAATGTAATCCTGAGTACCCTGGTTTACATATACATCTGTAATACTTGTCAAAGTCATCCGCTCTCGTTGTATATTGGCAGGGATAATGAGATTGTGAACTGTCATTCTTACCTAAAACAGAAAAAAATGTATCCATTAATACATCTTTATTACTTATTCTCAATTTCTTTGAATGTTCACAAGGATATAATGGAGAAAAGGTAAAAATTAAAAATCTTTCATACTACAAGTTCTCATGTCTCTTTGTAAACTGGATAATAATCTTTCCATTAGTCTAAACATTCAACTTTTGTCTATATAGTTAAATTCATCTTTTTTTTTTGACATATCAACACATACCTAGAATCCCCAGTTTTAAATGCTGACTGGACATTTTTGTAAAGAATTTTATTAAAGTACTAGCATTATTTGTTTTGAATGAAATAAGATATACTGACAGAAATTTAATTTCATACATCTGGTAAGAAAAATCTTTTTACGCAATCATTGTCTACAAAATGATAACAACCTAATTCAGTAATCATTCTTTTCTTGGTGATTTACAGTACATTCTACTTGTTACATATATTCAGGTAACAAACAAAAAAATTCCATAATGTGTTGCCTTTTCATATTAAATATGAATTTGCTTAGATTTTGGCATTATATGAAATTAAATGTATGCATAGAATTACTTAAGGTAGATAGGGTGTCTTCCTCCACCTTGGATTTTGAAATACCAGAAAACAATCAGTCTAGATCTTTAAGAAAATGTGCAAATTTTGAGAGTAGTAGCTATAGGTAACTCATGTATAAGAATTTTCATTTCAATATAGAAAATGACATGTTTTATCATATTTATAGTTGTCTTTTACAAAAAACAGAATACTTTTGTTTGATTCAATTTTTTCCAACTTTGCCACATAAGGGGAGGCAACTCAAATGTAAGGGCAGATAATTCAGATAAGGTTACTTTTACAATAGAATGTGTTAGGAATTTACCTATTTTATTATGTAGCAAGAAAACGGGTCCCGTGACCCCTTTTTTTTCTTTTTCTTAACTGAAAGCATAATATAAGAGCTATCTTCTCATATTTTATCTCAAAGTTCTATGTTGTAGTTTTCATTTATGGCAGAAAATTGGGTTTTCCATGCATAATCTATACAAAATCTGTCAATTTTGCACAACCTGTAGCAGTCTTTTTATTATTTTTTTTTTAAAAGCATGACATAAACTACATTTTGGCAAATTATTAAAAAATTCTATGGATTATAATTTAGACACCCCATCTACCTTAAGAATGTACTTAGGTGAGGTTTAGGAATTTTTGTCAAATGTTCGGACTCCTTGGTTTTTTTCCTACAATACAGGGTAAAATATTTTGCCCCATAACACCCATTTTTCTTTTCATATAAGACTTCAATAGCTCATTAAAGGTCATTTACCTAAATTTAAGCAGGTTCTAGATTTCTTTTCTTTCGATTTGAGACCCAAATAATACCAATGCAAATATAAGGTAAAAGTCAGAGTCAGCATTTTCCCGTCATTTTAAAAAAATAAGTTTCTCGAAAAGGAGCTCCATAACCCATCAATATTTTTAGCTTATTTTGTTCCTTAATTAATGCTCTTCTGACTTATAGTATCAATTTTAAATTCTAGATTTTTTTTAATTTCACCTAAGTACATCCTTAAAATAGCTACCAGCTGTGATTGATTGATTGTTGCTTGTTTTATCCGGAAGCATATATAAATAGATTTACCATCACAAATTCCTTCATTATGGCAAGGTGACTCCATGATGATAAATTTAATAGTAACAACATTTGATGTAGCATTATGGGTATCGTTGATATATATTTTGAGTTCGTCATAACCAGAAAACAACATAGCTTGTTCATAACTAAGGCTGTAATAAATCCATGACATATTCTTCCCTGCATAAGGTAATGTATGGCTAAAGTTACCACAAGGTAGGCTGTTCAGCTGAAAGATAACAGAATACAGGTAAATTTTGTATTTTCAAAACCAATTTTCTTTTAAGTGTGCCATTATTTCATGGCTGTTACAACAGCTATCTAAACAAGCATTCTGAGAGTATTGAATGGCAATACATAGTCCCCTACCGGTTAAAAATTCATTGTAATGGAAAGAAATTCTAACTTGATCTACATCTTGTCATGGTGTATTTAACTACATAAAAATATCAAGTCAATATCTTCAGTTTGACAGCTTCAGACATACTAGTTTTTTACCTTTTCAAACTGAACCAAATCACTACTTTACCTAGAAATTCATGCCCCAAACTTTTTTTACATGTGAAATCATCCCCCTACTTACTATTTTATGCATAAAATATAAAGAAATAAATTTGAAAGGTGTATGAAAAAAATATGCAAGTTATATACTGTCCACACTAGGGACTCTGTTTGTAGACAACAAAAATCAAAGGACAATCAGACCTGCCAACTATCCCGATTTATGGGGGATATCCCCCTTGAGAGGTGTTGAACTGAATTTTGAAATTCTTTATTATATAAACTGAACATCTCAAAACAGGCATTCAAATGATTTACAAGGGTATTTAAGCACATACATATTCATTCAAACAATATAGTAGTAGATTAAAAACACTTATGACAATATAAGAGGAGCATTATGTTCTCTTGCGCTTAAAATCCCCCATGGAGATTTTGAAAAGTTGGCAGGTATGAAGGACAATATCTGTGTCCCTGGACCATATACCAGAAAATCTTAGTTTACATATGATGATTACACATGGTAGGTTAAAAGAATCACATGATTACATCATGTTTGCATTATATAATTAGGCAAATCATCATCTAGCCTTTGAAACAACTTTGAAGGATCATTTACACACATTAGGCAATACGTTGACAAAGGGTTGCTTACATCCAAGTCTTTTAGTCACTGGTGGATAGATATCTCATTGGAAATCATATCACATCTGATCTTTATACAGTTTCCAATTTTGTAAAGATTGACATATTCATGAAGTATTGATGCTGATTCAAGTCATAGAATAAAGGTCATAGACTTGATGTAAAATTTAAATATGCATCACTTCCATCTTCTGAATAAAAATAGTATGAAACCATATAAAACAGTTACTGTAGAACAGCACACCTATGAGTCACCTTCAGTCACATTTGTTTTAGGCAAACAATATTATGACTAGATTCTCCTATCCTTTATTTACATTGTTTTTATTATATATACCGGTAAGTTTTCTGTACATGGCTGCACATCAAATGGTTCCGTAGATTTCTCCGTCAGTGTGTGGTTACCATGTGATGGCTCATTCACCTCTATATGGAGACTATCACTTCTATCAATATCATAGGCACCAATCAGTGCTGTGAACTTCTCTGACCATTTCTCTTTGTTAAATGTATTCATCTGTTCTAAATATACCTAAAAGTAATACAACAATTCCCTTTAAAACATATTTCACATCAGGAAATTTATGATCTAAAATTACCAACTTCACCATTTTACTCAAAATTCCCTCCAAAAACAAAATGAAGTTATCAAAATTAAATAGAAATAATATTCATTTTTCATCGTGGAAAATAACGTAATTTTTGTATTAGTTGCTTCTTTCTGTGAAATAAAGACAATTACCAATATATGTATCCAAATACTAAGTCACATAACTGGATAAAAAGTATTGAAAAATGAAGATGTTGACTTTAGCCAAAGTCAGTTGACCAAATTACACAACTAGTTTTCTAGAAGAGAACTAAGACACACAAATCAATCTGCATTTAAAATATATATAGGAAGGGTGAACTCCTTTTTTTGGTTCAGCTTACTCAAATTATCAGATGCATCCTTGATTTAGGTCACTCAGTATCCAAAAATTAATCTTGGGCATAAAATAACCTAATTCCATGAAGCATAACACCAGGTATTTTAAGTCAAAGTGGTCTAAGTTTGATTGAAAGCTGTTATACAAATTAAATAATCAGTTCACTGAGGTATGTAATTTGAACTTTCTTTCTCCCATTTTTACCTCATTTATACTTTTAAGGACAGGTTGATTATTTTTTTATAATCATGTGTCATTTGTTTGATCTCAGTTTTTCATTGGTCAAAATTCAATTATGATGTCAAAGTTCATTGCTTCCCTCTGAATTTCCTATTGTGACGTCAAAAAAAAGGCAACCATGCCTGATGACGTCACATATAAAGAATACATCTTTTTATTGAAAATGAAAGATAAAGTTGTCTACATTTGGCCTAAATATCATTAAAGAAACAGATTCCACCACTGAATCTTGTGCAATAAGATATTTCTCCACTTTCAACAGTTAAATTTAAAATAAATAAAGGGCTCAGCAAGCCAAGCACTTTAAATAAGAAAATTTAAATGTCTTGAGTGGAGAAATATCCTATCACACTTGATGCAGTGGTAAAATTTATCTTTATATCTAAGAACTAAATGCTCACATAAGGTTTTATTTAGTGAATGAAACATAAAATGTATGATAGAGTAACCTTATTTTTGGTGTAAAGCTATATTACTCAACTTAATTCACCCTTTCCATATGGTGTATGAATGTGGAGTACTTTTTAGTAATCAAGAGCTGAACCTGGACATGAAGTCAATGTGGCATAATATTAAGGTCACATCAGCTTACTTTTGAAAGAAGAATGAAACTGTTTTATTGATTAATTACCCCATTGCACCAAGGTACATAGTTATTTGCCACTTAATATCTGGGATTTGGATTATAAAATTTAATTTTGATCATTTCAGTGTTCCCATCAATAATTATTTTTACATTTACAGGTAAAAAGTATATTTTTTAAAGTGGTTTCGGATGCTGTCTCCTTATCATTTACCCCACTTTTCATCTTTTTTTTAATTGTAAAGGCATGTGTACATTACCAGACATGTTCAAGTACATTTTATTTAGTATAAACAATATATTCAAGACTTTTACAGGTTTATGTAGTGTAATTTAAAAATTACCGAAATGGGGTTAGTAGGATCTGAATGCATGACAGACTGACCATACTGTGTCACAAACATCACTGGAGGGTCATTTACATCTATAACATTGATGGTCACAGTGACTGGTGTGTCAGCTGGAGGGATGTCTGGATCTGATTGGTTCTCCTTTAGTATTATAGGGATAGATTCCACTCCATAACAATCTTTACAAGGTGTATACAGCAGGCTATAATAATTAAAAAATGTCGTCCATGTACAAATTCATTCCTCTAGCAAACATAAAATATTTAAACCTAAAACCATCACAATATTGTAGTGCTTAAAAACAAGAGAATCAAATCATTATGAGATCAGTTTGCTCAGTGTGTACATAAAAGCAAAACCTATCATTTTGGGACCAGTTTGCCAGGTCTGCAACTTCCAGGGAACCTTGAAATCGAAGTCAAAACCCTAATATTGCATATATTTTAGAAAGTTCATTATGAACATAATCAACATGTGTCCTAAGTTTCGAGTTTATGTAAGTAAACTCATCATAGATACCAGGATTAAAATTTTGAATGCCAGACACGCGTCAATTACAGCTAAGGTAATCTATTTCTGGGGTAGATTATTTATGTGTGTGACCAAAACTTAAACCTGATATGGCACAGATAGGTGCATTAACAGAAAGATGAAAAGACACACCCAGTAGAAGAAACATAATCCCCCTACTATAGACCTTATCACTATTTGGGGATCTGCGCCACTTGACCCCAGAATTTGCCACACTTGAACTATTGACGTCATACAACAATCACTTTTCCTTTGTGGCGTCAGACATTTTCTCTTGTGACGTCAAAATTTTACAGGAACTTCTGTCATGTCCAGTAATGACAGACAAATAGCGATAACGTGTATTGTTGGTGGTGCATAAAAATAAGATCACAGCATAGGACATATCTATACAATAAGTTTATAGGAAATATAAATATAGAGAAAAAGTGTGATTGAAAATGTGATGATAGATGTAAACCTTTTCCTGACAAATTATTCAAGAGCAGGTGGTTTTTACTTTTATTAGTGTTTGGACTTACATTCCATCTTCAGTCAGTAATGGTTCTGACATTTTATACCCAGTAAAACTTTCATCTAAAGTAAATTCAATCTCTTCTCCTTCATCATCAAATGCCTTTAATTCATACTGTAGGGTACCTAGAAAGCAATGTATACAATATTATATACCCTCCCTAACATGATTTAATGCATCTGAATTTAAGACCTTTGTATAAATTTTGTATCAGGCTACATGATAGAATTCCATACTTTTAGAGGATATATTTTCAAAGATGTTAATAAATAATGCTTCCTGGAGATCTTCTTTGTATATTAAAACCATAAATGTGATGGATCCTAGAAAGTGGAATTCCAGGTATTCACTTTGTGCTAAAATTAATTCACATGTAAATGTAGTCTAAAACAATTGTTATTTTATCAAGCAGAAATTAACATTATTTAGCAAATGTATGAAATTCATTTCTGTATTGAACATTTTTATGCAGCCCCATCTGTAGTGTTCATCGTAATTTGATAACTATACAAATTTCAGGCCATCAATTCCACCATTTATCTTTTGATTTGTACCAGCAAGAGCAGACAGTATATTAATGGTTTGTTTTTCTTAGTTGCATTAGAATTGAGGAAACAGTACAGTATTTTAAGATTTGTGGCATTTATTTTTTTATTTGATGTACATGCCACCATTAACTCAATTTGCTACCATCAAGTCCACAATTAATGCTTGCAAATCTTTGAATACTATATTCTTTCCTTATTGTAGTCTCAGCACTATGGATTCATTATTATTCGTGGGGTACCAATTTTTGTTGATTTTGTGTGAATAGGGAAACCACGAATTTAAATGTTCAACGAAATTTACATTTTCTATTTGCTTGTATAGAAACGTTTGCAAAACCATGAAATCAAATATCCAAAAAAATACAATTTTTCCATAATCCATGAAAATTGGTACCAATGAAAATAAAAGAATCCACAGTGACTGAATTTAGTGTGTTATGCTACCCAAGAGCAAAATCAAGCAAATGCAACAGGAAACTGACACAGACTATGCTCTGGAAGTCTTTTAATTTTACATATACTGATGCTTTAACTAACCTGAATCCTCTTCCATAGTGACATTATCTGAACTGATGAGCCATGGTGGTGAGTTAAAGATTCCTTTACTGAGGGATACCAAAATATACTGGGTTTCTGTTGACAGGTAAGGAGTAGTAACTTCAGCAGATCTCTTCTTCCTGTTGGACTTGTCCAGTTTGTTTTCATGGTCACTCCATGTTTTACAAATCTACAATGAAGGCAATTCATTTTAACTATAAAGGGATCCTTGAAGATTTATCAGCAAGAAAGACTGAAATGGGCCCTTCATATGTTTTACGGTCATCATCACACATTGGTTGATCAATACAATTTTTCTCAGCATACTAGTTACATGTTTATGCAGTCTTAGATCTTTAGATCTTTAGATACCAGATCTAGAATAGTCATTTAATTTTTAGTTTTACCAATTGTGTCTTATTCCCATTGTGACATTTTGACTAAGTGTGGATTCACATGGCTGTTGATGCAGGCATAACAGAAGACGCTTACTCTATCAACAACCCGGTCTTGCTTTTTCTGGAGTTCATTTTTGTTTTGTTACCATGATTTTTCTTTTTAATAGATTAAAGAGATTTGAACATCTGCAAAAAACTGTTGCCTAAATTTAGACTTAGATGAACATTTTTCTTCAATTCTTATTTTATCTAGATGTACAATTCCTTGGGCCATATTTTTAAACACCAAATTCAAAGAGAAAAATAACAACTTATTCAGCAACATACAAAACTTTGATCAATTTTGATAACAAAATAATATAAAAAAAAGATAAAAATAAAATTAATACCTGTATCCCATAAAGTAGAATAATATAAATACGATATTTATACAATAGCTAATGAGAATTTGTATTACCATAACAGTTATAGTTCCATCTCCATTGACAACCTCTGTATCTTGACCACAAGTTCTACTGGTTATCTCCCATTGTTGTAATACTGAAACAAAATAACAAGTTTTTCATCAAATTCATGAGGGTTTGTCCATTGTTTTACTAATTACAAATTTACCATAGCTTCATGAATAACTAGTTATATTTCATGTATCATGTACTGTGACTATAAACTAGTTTCAATGATTATCCTTTTCCCTTAAAACAAATGCCAGTTTATCTAAATACTTAATTTCAATACCAACAGTTAATTTATTCCATAGCCTTATTAACTTATTAGATTTGGCAGTCTTTTTCCCTTATCATTATTAGATTTTTTTTCATCTGTGATTCTTTGCATTTCTATCAATCATGAGTGTGCTATAGACTGATGCCATAGTAGTTCCACATCCTTTGAGGTTTGACAAGAGGTTTAGAAATATCAAACGATTTCATCCTACCAGCAGTAAAACCCATAATAAAAAGGGGTGTCTGAGTGTCTCTGTGGGATGTATAAATTCTCAGCTATGTCTGGTTGGAATGGAAATGTTAAATCTGATGCCTATTGTAAACTTGTAGAAATCCACACTCTCTGAGTGTTAAAGAACCCTTTTCCTCAACTCTGTAAGGAATTCATAGGAAGCCTGCTGGCAAAGTTAAATATCCACCTTTTATCATGGTTTTTGTGACTTTGCAGAACCTACCTATTGGATTATTGTAAATTTGTTCTTGTCTGGAAATGGCATGAAATATTTTTCACTGAACAATAAGCAAACAACAATCAAATAGGTCCAAATCTGATATACTGATTGTTCAAATCATGAAGCATTGTTGGCAGTTAAATCCATGTACCACTGTTATTCAAAAACTTGTTTAAACAAACTATAAAAAAACTCATTTTGTGTAATCTGGTTATGGTATGAAAGAAAATTCACACAGACACAATTGTAACTAAATAATAGCACGGCAACAATTGTGGAACCACAAACTTACAGGGATGAAGATATAAAAGTTTTGTATAGCTTTGAAACTAACAATGCTGGCTTACTTTACTGCTTGACACATTATCTGCTGTTTTAAGTAATGAAATTTGAATATTTAGAATTAAACATTAAATTATAGATTATATATTGTTTTGTTTGCATTGTTTGCTACAGTACACTTAACATTTTGACTAAAGAAACAAATTATGACCACAGAGTCTTGAAAAGCTTCCAGAAAATAATATATACATTCACTTTTACTTGAAAGACTTAGCATTTATTATGAATACAATAAATAAAAGTTATCCATACTAGGGTTCCAATGTAACAGTGCTGTCTTATTTTCATCATTATCACCAACTAAGTCATTGAATGTGACGTTTACTGGTCCCGGCATTGACAGATGTCCAATAGGTACCAGTGCAAATGAGTAAAAACTGTGCAGTGACCTGAAACAAATAATAAATAGACAAAATTGTTTAATTTTAAACAGATTTTTAACTGATTTGTATTTCCTTAAATTAATCTGAACTCTTAAGATATTCATTCCATGATTGTGATTTCCACTCTAAATTTTCCAAGCAGAAAACTTCAAATCATATCCTATCTATACTAGGATTTCTGTATAATTGTAAATGTTTAAACACTAAAAAGACAAGGATATACTCAAGGTATTAAGATTCCATTGCATTATGTTAGAGGAAATGAAACTATTGAACAAAAACTACAAATATGGCAATTTCTACGACCAAGCATCAATACAAGTGATTTGTTGACCAACCTATTCCTGTATACCTCATGCGTTACACAACAAAACAGATAATATTCCCCATCATAATAATGGGATGTGAAATGGGTTCTCCAATCTCAGGATTATAGAAAACTAAAGATGTGTATTGATTATTCTATCTACCCTTTTCTGGGTACCTGCAAATAAAAAGGAAATTATGGCCATGGTATAAAATATTCCTCAAGGCAGATAATTTTGTGACTTTGGCCAGGGCATCTTATTTTTCTCATCCCAGATAATTTTGTGACTTAGGCCAGGGTATCTTATTATGTGGAACTAAAGTATTATATAGAATTGTCAGTATGCTTTATTTTATCACCTTAATACACTTTGTTGACTCCAACTGTTTTTTTGTCTTCAGCAGTTGGATAAAATTTCTGACCAGTTGAACAGTTTGATTTGATGAAACAAATTCTAATTTTGTCAGAATTTTGAATGAACTGCAAACAACTAAGTCACATTGTGTACCTTTTATATAATAATCTTTCCACCATATCAGCTGTGGTATCTGGGTTGACAATGTAGGGCTGAAAGTGTGGAGATGAGTCTGACCTATAGTCTGTTATCAAGTCTTTTTCTTCTAGTGGCTGCATCATTATACTCTGTCCAGACTGAAGTCCTACAAAATCAGCTCAGGATTTATTTATCTTTCAACATAAAAATAAGAAAATATGGTGATTGCTTATGAGACAACTATCCACAAGAGACCAAACGATGTGGATGTATAAAGCAACAATATCAAGTCTATTCTTAAACAATGTTTTGGAGATTAGACTAAACAGAAACCAAATTTCTACCATTCCCCAACATTAATTTTGATTGTCCTCTGTCTTGCATATATGAAGAAGTTATAAATGATTAATTTTATGCTGAAAAAGACATCTTGAAAAAGAATAACTTAGCTCTCTTATCATTTAAGATGCCTGTCTAATTTTGTTTTAATCAGCCTAATCAGTCTAGTAATCCACCAAAAACAAATATACATACCATCAGGTGTAGTAATTGTAAGTGCATCCACACTTCTCTTTCTCCGTGTAGAATTGGATGAGAAGGAATGGACTAATTTAATGGCTTCTCCATGAACAGATGTCTGTAACACAGCCTTTTTATCTGTGATTGTGATGGAGCCCAGAGATTTGTTGGTACAAAGCATTGCATCATTACAGACCCTCATTGTCATAAACAACGTCCGACCTGGTTCCATGTGGAAGACATTGGTACTCGTGTCTGATGCATTATTATCATTAGCACGTAGTTCTGATAATTGTCTGATTTTATGATCATTTATGTACAGCCAACCATTTTTTATTATAGCAGAGCCAGAGATATTATAGCCTACCCACAAACAAGGGAATATGTCATCATTGTCTTCTGACGTTCCAATACACATATCTACAATATTAAAAAGTTAACAAAGTAATAAAATTGGCTCATTAAAAACTACATATGAAAACTGGTCCAAAGGTGAAGCTTTATTTTGTTTATTGTACTGCTACATGTGGAACAAAAGCATACTGTTATTAATACTAAATTGTTCATTCTTCGATAATTAAAGGGATCCTTTGTATAGATTTCACTGTTAACAATTATTATTTGGTGGTTTGGAATCCCCCTCTCTATAAAAACTAGAATGGTTGAAACCACAAATGGCTTAATCAACTTTATCTTATATTATTAATCAAATTCTATTGTTAGAAAACTTTTGACCACCAGGGTCTTCTATTATAATAATCATAATGTAGTGTTTTACATTTTTCCAATGCTTAACATAAACATGCTACCAGGAATGATACCTGTACATCTTGGTAATGTTACTATCTTATCTTGTACGTCCAACCCCTGGAAAGTTAACTAGTTGAGGTCTTACCATATCTGGTGACTGATTTATCCTCACTGACTGAAAAGGTAAACCCTATACTAGTGGGATCTGTACTCTCCTTTGCATCAGATGGTGTGACAGGGTGTGGGAATTCTGTAGCACCTGGTATTGTATTGTTTATATCATCTACCAATGGTGGTTCCAGTAAGACAGTCACTCCTGAAATTATACATGTTAGGGAATGTTATCAAGTTCAAGATTTTTAAATATATTTTCTATAAAAATATAATATCTATCTCACAAAATTTTTACAACATTATTAATTACAAATTCAAAAAGAAAAGAAGGGATGATAAAACATTACACTATATGAAAAAGAACACAATTAATTAAAAAAAATGTTATGGCATAACTGGAAGGGATTTTTTTACATATAATTTTGTGGGGATTTGTTTCATTTCCCCAGGTGAAAGTGCAGAGATACATGTAAGGGTACATGTAATGTGCAAGTATCCATATTTTTTTGGATACAAATTTTTTACACGGAAAGTCATTCTGTGTCTTATTCAAATGCCATTATATGAAGAATTTCATGTAAAAGTCTATAAACAAAGGAAAAAAATCAAAGAACTGTCCTTCTGGCAAGTTCTCTATTTTTCATGTTGTTCTATCTTTTGTGCATTTACCTTGTTTCTGATCTTCTGTGTTTCTTCTTTTTAAAATTATGTGGAAATCATCAGACTTTTTTACCTGAGATTAAATATTTTATTCATAACTAGAGGTACTGCAAGCAAAGCTCACAAAAAGAAACCTCCCACCTCTTGGAAAGACCAAGATTTTGTAAGGAAAACCACTGAAATAAATTAGACCAAACAACAAATTATTCTGAGAAAGTTCAATTAAATTATAATTAGGGGTTTAGGGTCTAATCTGATACAAAAAGTACTATAGTTTGCAGATATTATAAAGTCTGAGTAATTCCAAAGTACACCCCAAAAATTATTCAGATAAAGAAATTAAATGGGTCTGGAGGTGTATAAGTAACTCATGTGAGTAAAGTTCAGCCAATCATACCTGCCAACCCTCCCCTTTTGAGTGGGAGTCTCACACGCAAACGATGAAATTCCGGAAATCTCCTGCTTGCTGGTCTGCTCCCGCGCGGGAGTATAGAATCTCCCGCTTTCGGATTTTTTTACCTGGAATGACCTGCGTTTCTAATTCTCTGGCTTTTTCATTACTTTCAAATTCTCTGGCTTTTTCATTACTTTCAATAGAAATAAATAAACATTCGGCAATCATTTGAAAACTTTGGTCAGTAGTTTTTATGTTCGATATATAAGTTATCGAAATTCAGTTCTGCTATGTCAACTCCAACAAGATAGAGGTCTTTGTCTGGACAGAGTGGCAGTGTAAAAAAGAAGAAATAGATAACTGCAAATCGAAATGTCAAGCAGATTTGAATGAAAGATTTTCAATTTTTACGATCAAGTTCACTTGGCAATGAATCTTTTTGCACATCATCTTCAATCAACTTTTCAATTTCTTCTGGTGGTATGTACGATGTTTGAAAGCATGCTTAGTGTGAGACTCACAACAAAATCAAAATATTGAATGTTATGAGTCATGAGACTCGGAAGTATTGAAAAAGGCTTAAAAAAACCCACCTTGTATAGATTATAACCATAAATTGAAGAAATACAGTATATTAATTAACTCTTATTGGTATATTGTAGATGAATACGTAAACAGGTCATATATTTAACTTGAAAATGTCGTTTGCGCAATCACCCTCAGCTGTCATAGCTGAGGGGGAGATCTCCCTCTTTGAAGGTTTCAGAGGTTGGCAGGTATGGCCAAGTGGTATAGGATGCATAAAAAGTTTACAAGGATGAACAATCAAAGGAAAGAACTGACATCACTAAATACAGCCAACTTTAGAAAATTGGGGTATAAGTAATGAAAAAATATAAGTGTATAGCCGACCTGTAGTATCATTCCACTGTGTTGCCTGTCCTCCACCGTTTACACATCTGATAGACACATAGTATGTATGATTATGTTGTAATATGCCTTCAAATGAACTGTTTATAGCTGAAGCATTCAGTCCTACAGATGTAAAGGGTTGTAATTCTTCTCCGCCTGTTGTATTACCAATAGCCCATAGATTTTCCTGAAAATATCTTCATAAGATAAACTTGAGGGCCATTGGCAAGATTATGATAAAGATACCAACAATTTGAATTTTCTGGTAGGTAAATAAGCTACATTAGTGCAAAACAAAGCAATTTCAATCTATCAACATCTTTTTGCCACATGAAATGTGTAAACAAAGAATCCTTTAAAAAGAAATGAAAGGTGAGACCTACTCATATACAAAAACTTTAATAACATAAAAAATTCAACTGCAAAATTGATTAATATCTTTGTTTTATTTCATCAAGGCAAATAAAAGTTACTGGTTCAAAAGGAAAGCTCAGAGTTTACTGTTTCAGTATACAACCAAGGAAGCAGCTAAGGAATAACAAAATGGAAACCAGTATTAAAAGTTGTCGATATTTACTAAATACCAATGGAACATAACCACGAAACAATAAAAAGAAAAGTGTCATATCTTAATGATTTGTTGTCATTTTTGTCTCCCTTTAAATGAAGACTTTAAGAATTAATGTATAGACACTGGTTTATTGTTGAGGACTGAATGTAAATCTCTCAATGATATCATTTGTTTTTGCTTGTGTCATTTGGTTGCTGTCCTTTTAATATAAATCCAATTTCTCCATTTAATCATTTCTGTATGCATGTGTGTATCATATATTAAAATTTTTACCTTAACAGAACTTTCCTCATCCAAACATCTCCAGAATGCTTTAATGGTACTGTTTGAAGCCTGGTAAACCACTGGTGTAAATTCTCCTTGTGATACATCTATATATATCTGGTTCATGACATCAGGGTCAAATATTGGCGAGGTCATATCAACATAGAATCCATCAGATGAGGCCATTTTATTGATTCCAGAACCAAGAACTGCCTTCACTATAAAACAAAGAAATACATATTGAGCTTAAATGTTATTGCACAGAAATTGTAAAAAAATCAGTCTTAAAAGACTTACAGATATTTCCTTTAACTCTTGATTGACTAGTGTTTGATGATAGGAGCAAATACCAATTATAGTCTGTTCAATTAAAGTCTGTTTATTAAAAGTCTATAACTCTTCAAAAATAAAATGTTAAAAATCTGATATATAATTATGTCTCTCATCTAAAAAAATGGCAAGAACATCTGTAAAGATTCATTCCTACACATGTATATTTGTTCATAAAAAAAAACCCAAATATTATTATCAATTGTTTAAGGATGTATTCTTCTGATGTTTCAGTCTCGTTGAATCTCGTTCAGGAATTATTTTCAAAACATGTGATACACAGTGGAAGATATTAATGAATTTAAAAAATATTATTATCTAACTCAACTCTGTGAAAAAATTGTGTACTTAACAATAAGTATTTTTTCAGTAATAAAATTTTCAAATTTTATAACCAATCCGGTCAGTGTCATCAGCCAAAATATTGAGAAAATGGGTGAAGCGTACAAAGAAATGACAAAATATTTACATCCCATATCAACTTTTTCTTTTCAAAATTCTGAGATATGTATTTTTTCAATCATTTATAACAAAAAATTGAAATAATATAATTTTTGTTCTAAAATAAAAAGAGAAAAATCCAAAATTGGTCAATTTGACACCAAAAAGCAAGTTAATTTTATAAAAACTTTCTAATATCAACAGCAACCTATAGTTTATTTTAGTTAAATTTATTCAGATTGGTCCACTTCATCTTTAGTGAAAGTATGAAAAAAAAGTTTAATTGTGAAACTGTAATTTTTTCATTAAAATAGCCCAAAAATGGGTAAAAATTGATGAAAAATGGGAAAATCATTAAAATGGGGTACTTTCAAATGGTCGTAGCAAACAGAAGTGCACCACCATATGAATTTTTTCTTCATCAATTACTTTTACATTTTTATAAACCCAAAAATCAGGTTAAGAAAAAAAGTTTAATTCTAGATTTTTTTGGCTCCTCAGAGGTGTACATCCTAAAGGCAATTTTTATGCCAACACATGTTTAGATATCAAACATCTTTACCGCTGTGATAAATAATGTTATTTGTCATATATTTGAATAAACAAATGAAGAAATTCAAACTAAAAACATCTTTGACTTTCACTTACCTGTGAAGAAATATATTAATGTTTTGTTGATTTGATGTCCTGTTTCATTGGTTACCACAGCAACAGATTTCAAGTTCAGATTGTTTAAGGTGAAGGTCATATCTACATATTCATTAGCATTACAGGTTGCATCACAGTTATATTTAGAACATTCTCCATAGCAGGGAATGCATGGTTTTAAAACTTCTCTAAATGGTGCAACGTCTGTCAATATCTTATCACTTCCGATTCCCACTTCATATCGAAGAATTGGATTGGTTCCTCCTCTAAAGGGATCACCATAGCGACACAATGATCCTGGAGCAGGAGGCATGACTAAATCTTTGAAGTATGCCTTGGTAGAGAATACATTAAACATGTCAGTTATATCTGGCACATAGTTGTCTCTGTTCCACACATGCAGGACCAATTTAGTGGAATCACTTAGTGGAACTATTCCACAAATCCTTGTCAACTGATCTTCATCCACATGTACTGCCATGCACCAGTTCAGCTACAAAACAAAAGAATGAATTCAACTTTGTATGTACCAATGGTTTATATATTTTGTAATGTCTTAGGACACATTACACAGGAGACATTTATGAATTGGCTTATGTATAATGGCTTACCACATTTATAACTTACAAGAAATTTTAACAGGTGTATAGAGAAAAGTTAAGTGGAGATGCGTCTACTATCTCAGAGTAAACTGAGTCCATAGACATATTTTGGTTGGGTTTAATCTTTTTGATTCTTTGTGGTTTGTGGACTGTTGCTTGTGTGTTTGTTTTTACTATGTTAGTGTTGTTTGTCTTTCTAAGACTTGCCCCCCCCCCCACCCCCCACCCCAGTATCCCAGTATCTCCTCCTTTTAAATGCCATCTGAACTGTACTTATAGTTTTGTAAATACATTTCCAATTTATTGCTGTAATTAGTTTAAAGTAGCTATGAATAGTAAAACTAAATCTTACATCAACAGCTTCCTCCTTCTCAGCACTAATTTTGATTCTGTATCTATGGAAACTAGCAGAAGGGTCAAAGTTGACAGGTATAGATGTTTTCATGACCCGATAAGTGTCATTGAATGTTCTACACCATGATACAATGTGTGGAGCAGCACCTATAACCAAAATTTAAATGATCAAATTTTTATTAAACAAACACATTTGAATAGTTTGGCATAATACTTATAGGTGTGTAAATCTTTGAATTTATGGATGGATACTGAACATCAAGAGGGCATTTTGCAACCTTGAATAGAATGAGAACATGCTATTCTTTTTCAGCTGTTTCTGTTGAAGGGTTGCTGTCTTATTGATTTTTACATACAGGTATATGTGTTTGGTGGTAATAAGCATTGTGTATAAGTTTCATAATATTTGGTTGAGACAAACTAAAGTTAGAGAGCGGAAACCAAATTTTGGAACAACGTACATACATACGGACAAGGGTAATACTTCATTCCCCCTCTGGTAACGGCGGGGGCATAAACAAGCTCCTGATCAAATGCAATTTGAACTGATCAGTTTAAAAATTGGCTAAAACATGTATAAATAATGCAATATATCAATCATGACTTACCAGAAAATATTTGTATTCCACATGATGACTGTGCTATAGGTATACTTGTGTCCATGGGTGTGTCTACTATACCTCCATCGGGTTTGTTTACAACATGGTAGGGTGGGTCTGTGGTCATATTCTGGTAGGTTACGGTAGTAGTGGTGGGAGAGGCAGTGGGTACTGTTGAGTTGAAGTATCTACTATCCAGGTATGTGGTACAATTTATTACTTTCCAACATTCCTGAAAAATAAAACATTTAAGCATTTAATAAAACATTTGAGCGCTTTCCATTTGTTTAGAGCTAATTTCGTAATGCTATATAGATAGTTGTTAAGTGTAATGTATACAAGCTGAAGCCCCACCTATCTATTAATTGTAGATGTCAATCTTAATTACAATGCTTGAGCAAACATTTATACAAACAAAGCAAGCAATCCAACCAAACCTTTAAACTACAAGCATTAGGAAATTAGCCCTAATGTGTTTAGGCTTTTGATTTTTCCATTTGATAAGGGACTTTCCGTTTTGAATTTTCCTTGGAGTTCAGTATTTTTATTATTTTACTTTTTTTTTATATACTTCACATATACCTTTTTATTTTATGTCATAACAGAAATGATATCTGATTATGCTAATCAAACTGAATATCCAAATATGTTGACCTATCATAACAGAAAAGCACCTGGACCTACTTTTTCAATATTTTTGAACTTTCATGAATGGTTTCTAGTAAATTTAATAAAACTCATGTGTTAACTAACTTTCTTGCATCTTACCAGCTCAATTTGAATTCATCTACAGCTATTTAAAGATTTGTAATGTACTGTAATCAAATTTTCTCAGATGAAACAGAATGCCTCAGCTCACTTTATTTTAAAAGTAATTGAGTCCATTTAAGCAATTTGTTTATCACACCTGAACATTTTCTAAACTGCTCTTCAGAAAATCAAAATTGAAGTAACCATCTGTCAAATAGAAATCTATGATTTTGATTGTAACAACTACTGATGCCATTCGGGGTAAAGTAATACCTTAGTTTTGCATTCACAGTAAATGAGAACTAATTGAAATCTAATCATCTGAATATGCTATTATTTGTCATCTGCATAATTTGGTCATACAATTTCTTTTACATTATTTGGACTATGCTTATATTTAACATAAATCATTCAACTATTGGATGAAAAAAGTAAGGACTTACATTAGGAATGATATCTAACAAACAGCACTGAGCCACAGACTGGCTCCAATCTGCCTCCTCTTTATAGTCATAGGTAGCTATATCATCTTCTGGTCCATCCCATAACATTATACCAGTAACACCTATCCCTTCTCCTCCAGCAGCTTTAACTGATATCTGTAATGTTAATAAAGGAACATTAGAATCATTTATCCTGATTGTGAATCTATTTTCATGCCAATGAATATTTTGTTTAGAATTTCACATATAAATGTAATGCATTTTCAATAACTTTCATTTTATTGTCTTATACAGTACTGCTGGTAGCACATTTTTTAAGGACAGGTACACTCCCTTCTCTTCCTTATTCAGTTATTCATGCATTACTGCTGGCTGATAAAAATTAATCAGTGGGCTGTAATATTTCATTGTTTAAACTTGGTTTTACCATGATATCAACAAACATTTGTACTGTGTCAACAATTACTACCAATCTGAATTACATGTGGAGCAGGATCTGCTTACCCTTCCAGAGCACCTGAGATCACCCCCAGTTTTTGGTGGGATTCGTGTTGCTCAATCTTTATTTTTCTATGTTGTGTTTAGTCTGTTGGTCTTTTTCTTTTTGAGCCATGGCGTTGTCAGTTTGTTTTCGACTTGTGAGTTTGAATGTCTCTCTGGTATCTTTCGCCTCTCTTTTTATCAGAAAAAAGAAATAAAACTCATAATAAACAAATCGACATAGAACAAAAAGGAGGAAGATTGTTCACTTTGACCATCATAGAGGATTATTATCAGTAAACATGTGATATTAAGATTTTACAAAGTACATACATAGTAAGTGCCTCCATTTTCATAGTCAGCTGATCTGTATAATGCTCCAGTAAACATCTGTTTTTTATGATTGTCTCTGCCAAGCTTGATAGTCACTGTGTCATCATAGACAAGTCGGTCAACATTCTCTGTTCGATGGATTAGTGACCACTTCTGCCCACTGGGATCCCTCAGACCAATCTGTTGGAGTTCTGTCCACTTGGGATCATTGACCATGGATATGCTTCTTGATGGACAAGCTGGACCAAATGGACTAGCCAAATGCAGCAAGGATCCTGTTAAAATCATCAAATCTTATATAGGAAAAACATACTGTTCATGTGAAATCTTTTAAGTAGTGCCAGGTCAACTCACCTTTTTCAGACTTTAACATTATTTCCTTAACATTTAAACTTTTTGAACAGTATGAATTAGTAGTAAAGATACTATTTACATATGGGTAATTTTTTGTCTTTTCTCCTTTGATAAAAATGATTTTTTTTTACCAGCGAGAACAATTTGAATGTAAAGGAGAAACAGAGAACAGGAAAAAAAATTAGAAAATAAATGCTTATCTTCTAAAATTGTATAAAAACACCTCAAGATTACATTCATGATAACTGTTTAAAATTCTGAAGAAAATTACCAAATAGTGTGTTCATACCTGTAGCAGTTGTAGATGAACTAAACCAGACTTGATCATTTAAGAAATCTTTTCCATCCACCACTTTACCAACGGTTGGTTGTGAGACATCAAACAGAACTGGTGAGGTTTCTTGTAGGATAAAAAGGCCTGCTTGATTTGTCACTCTGAACTTTACTGTATAGGGAATGTTTTTCTGCAAGAATGGTAAGGAAAAATATAAAAATATCCCTAATCCTCGATTAAAAATTTCTTCTCCAATTAATATATATAAACAACTCTTTATTGGCTTTATGAACATAATGATTGGAAGATCTGTCATAAAATAAAATCTACACTTCTTTCCTATTTTGCTAAGAAACATGGTCTACAGATACAGTTTAAAATTCTGATTTATCTGATTTTGAGCAAGGTCATTGCAGGCAGTGTACTATGATTATGCTGAGTTATGCAGGATCTTTAAAGCCAAAGTAATTATACTTAATGTTTCAACTTAAACAATATCAACAATTTATGAATCTAGTTCTTTTGTATATTCTGTCCACTTGCAAAATTGAGTTACTTTACAGGCTTTTATAAAACTTTCAATTAAAACAAAAAGTGCATCTCTGCTGTCATTATCTTTGTGATACAAATCTTTAGATCCAACTCAACACATACTGTATATATTACCTGGTCAGTCCTATTAAGTCTACTACTATACTACCCCTGACTGTTTCATAGCTTACTTTATTATATAAATCTTGAGATCCAGCTCAACAACATCATACTGTATATAATTACTAAACAGTTCTATCAAAGTCTACTTCTAAACTCCCCCCGACTGATACAATACTGTATGGTACATATCTTCAGTTCTAGCTCCAAAAAGTCATACTGTGTATAATTACTGGTCAGTTCTATCCAGTCTTCACTTCAACCCCCCCTTAACTGATACAATACTGTATGGTACATACCTTCAGTTCTAGCTCCACAAAGTCATACTGTGTATAAATACTGGTCAGTTCTATCCAGTCTTCACTCCCCCCCCCCCCCTTAACTGATACAATACTGTATGGTACATACCTTCAGTTCTAGCTCCACAAAGTCATACTGTGTATAATTACGGGTCAGTTCTATTCAGTATTCACTACACTCCCCCCCCTAACTGATACAATACTGTATGATACATACCTTCAGTTCTAGCTCCACAAAGTCATACTGTGTATAATTACTGGTCAGTTTTATCCAGTCTTCACTTCACCCCCTCCCCTTAAATGATACAATACTGTATGATACATACCTTCAGTTCTAGCTCCACAAAGTCATACTGTGTATAATTACTGGTCAGTTCTATCCAGTCTTCACTTCACTCCCCCCCCCCCCCCCTAATTGATACAATACTGTATGATACATACCTTCAGTTCTAGCTCCACAAAGTCATACTGTGTATAATTACTGGTCAGTTCTATCCAGTCAACTACTAACTCCTCCGTACTATCACTAGAACATGACAAATTCCTCCACAGGGATACTTCAAATGTATCTATGTCAGATTCAGGGTCAATAAAGTCCTTCCAGGTCACAGATATTGTTGAGTTATCTGGGGTATATGTTACAGGCTGAAAAATATCAAGATGGGTCTGTATCTAGAGTTAGAACAGTGTTAAGTTTTACTTTTTTTATGAGTTTATTACATAACCAATGGAACCCTTCAAGATTTTTGAAAATTTGTCAGATTCAAAACACCTTTGCCTGGACCTTCAACTGGTCATATTATTCTTACTTGAAAAAATTTTCTTTTGAAAATAAAAAGGTTGACAGAAAAGGGTGGTGTCTAATATTTCAATATACTATCTAGGTTTTGTTCAAATATTTTTAGTATCTAACTTTGATGAAAACTAATGAAATATTTTCTATGATGAGCTAAATTTTACAAATTTTTCATTTTTTTTCTGAGTACATGAAGAAGATTATCCATCTAAAATAATGTCTACCATATCATAATAAGGTCCTGCCTTGATGTGGCCAGACTGTGGCGGTGTTATATCTACAGTAAACTTGTGATAGGTCATTCCACATTCACCTGATTTGTCAGTGCCTAAAAATAGAGAAGTTAGAATTGTTTCATATCCAGACTACATGACAAATCTGACCTAATTTTTTCTTGAAAACAAAATAAATAACTCAATGTAGCTATATGTTTTGCTTCCCTGATATTATCAACAATAGGAAAAAGAATAGTAACACAGTCTGTTAAATGTTCAAAGATCCATGTCAGCCCAGGTCTGTTTAAACAGGTCCTGTAAATTAAGATTTTTTTTTAGTGCATTCATTATTGCGATTGTTGAAAAATGAACAAAAAATTATGATTAATCAGATTTCAGAAAATGGTGCCTACAAATAAGGCTATCAAAATTTAAAATGTGACTTTTTATTTTTGCTAAACGTATTCCATTGCAATTTTTGCAATAATAAAAACAAAAATTTTTTTAATTTACAGTCATTAAAATCAAGTCAGGATTGTATCACATATCTTACCCATTACATATACATAATATGTGTGTCCCTGGTCCAGTTGTAGAGGTGTCAGCGTGTAGAATGTGTTCTTGTTGATATTACTGACAGGGAATATACTGAACAGGTGCTGTTTCTCTTCTTCAGTAGCTGATCCTCCATCAATCTATAGATATTAAAATAGAACTCTACATTATAACATTGTTTAGAACAATTTTTTGCATTTTATTTATAAAAAAATTGTATACCCTCAACATAAAGTAAAATGAATTGACATATTGGATTAACAAAATTACCGACCACTATCATACTAACATGACAAATTATAAATCTGTTAATGTTAACATTGCTCATTTATACTTGGATTTTGGCTTTTTCTGTTTCTTTACTGATAATAGGAATAGGTATTTGAGCAGACTGGTCAACTGGTGATATTGGATATGGCTACAAAATACATCAGTATGTCTAATTTATAACTTACATATAATTTACAGTCAGTTCCATTGACATCTGTGATATTGGATATAGCTACATAATACATCAGTATGTCTAACTTATAACTTACATATAATTTACAGTCAGTTCCATTGACATCTGTGATATTGGATATGGCTACATAATACATCAGTATGTTTAACTTATAACTTACATATAATTTACAGTCAGTTCCATTGATATCTGTGTTATTAGATATGGCTACATAATACATCAGTATGTCTAACTTATAACTTACATATAATTTACAGTCAGTTCCATTGAGATCTGTGATATTGGATATAGCTACATAATACATCAGTATGTCTAACTTATAACTTACATATAATTTACAGTCAGTTCCATTGACATCTGTGATATTGGATATGGCTACATAATACATCAGTATGTCTAACTTATAACTTACATATAATTCACAGTCAGTTCCATTGAGATCTGTGATATTGGATATAGCTACATAATACATCAGTATGTCTAACTTATAACTTACATATAATTCACAGTCAGTTCCATTGAGATCTGTGATATTGGATATAGCTACATAATACATCAGTATGTCTAATTTATAACTTACATATAATTTACAGTCAGTTCCATCGAGATCTGTGATATTGGATATGGCTACATAATACATCAGTATGTCTAACTTATAACTTACATATAATTTACAGTCAGTTCCGTTGAGATCTGTGATATTGGATATGGCTACATAATACATCAGTATGTCTAACTTGGATGTGAAACCTTCAAACTGCACATCCACCTGCTTGTCTGTGTTAATGTAGTCATTCATTATAATTGTGCCAGCTGTAATACAAATGTTTATCATTAGATGACTGAGTATTATAGTCAAACATTCTAAATGGTATACATTCAAACAACTAACCATCCTCAGTTATGATAATAACATGTTAAATAAGGAAGAAACAAAACGAGAATTTCAAAATCAATGTCTACCGCAAGACTTTTTTTCGTTGATTTTAACAATGTGATTCCTGACAGAAAAAGAGGCCCATCTAAAGATAAAAGTTTACTTACGAGTAACACCTCCATCAAATCCAACATGGAAACCATTTGATGTTACTGTGGCAACTGAATATGATGCACTGGATGCTTTAACAGTGAAATAATACAGTCCAGTTCCAGGTACCAGATCAAGGTTATAGAAGGTCACAGTAGTATTCTTTCCCACATTTGTAAATGGTACAATATTGTCTCTGGTCTTTGGGAATCTTCTATCTGTCCCTACTGCAACCTCATAGAAAGCCACCTGTTGGTTATCTGGTTGTTCTTCTAGTTTTGATTGGTCCACATGAATTCCTGGATTTCCTGTTAATAAACAGAATGAAGAAATCCCTATTTAAATCATAGGTTGAGTTGTAACAGTGATTACGACCATTTATATCAAAAGTGAAAACCATTTCCAAGTGAAATAGAACAAATTACTTTCTATAAACGACACATTAAAACAAAGTCTGGAAAAACTGTAACATTGCCTGCTTACAAATTTGTACCGTAACAAACCTTTGAGATAGAATTTATTGTAAAGTCTTTGTTTTGTAATAAGGAAACCAGAATATCATTGAGTTCAAAAAGTAAAATAGAAGGTACATAATAGCATCAAATACCGATGAATACCAGTCAGAAGCAAAGTTACATTCTTTGCTTTGAAAGATGCCAAAAGTTATTGGGATAACAAATTCAAAATAGAACATAAACAATGTCATTTTGTAATATAAATTCTTTGAAAGCGTCACTTAAATTCAATCAGCAGTTTATGATGAGTAGCAGAACCAAAATGCAAATGGATGCATAAGCTTCCATGCCATATCTTACCTGAAATTACATCGACTTGAGATGAGGCACCAGCAGGGAGTCCAAATCCATCCCAGTTAGCTGTGACCATTGTTTTGGATGGTAGAAAGTTTAAGTCATACCCTGTGATATCCCCATCAAACACTTTGCCTGGTAGTAATGGATCCTGCTCTATAGTGACTCCATCAGATCTGATGATGTAGGTGTAATTCAGGGCATTAGTCACTCTCAGTAATGAGTAATATAACTCTCCATTCTTCATGTGTAGACCATCATTCATTCCTGCTGTTTTCACTGTAAAACATAGGTTAGATTTAAAATGTTCTCTGGGTTTAATTGTAAGTTTCAAATTTAGATTTATAGCTAAAGATCCAACATCTTTTTCTTTTCTTCTGATTGCTCCTTCTACCATTTTACTTAAAAACTCAATTAAAATATACTTAATTCTTTCCATATAAAATTTGTATTATGATATTGATATGCATAGGTATTTCATTGTAGATTTTGTAACTGCCATTACTATGCAATTAATCCATCACAGTTTTTCTATTTCATATAATAAATATTCATCAACTCACCTCCAACATCTAGCCATTGTTGTACAACCAAACCATCCAGCCTCTGTATCTGCCATTCATATTTAACAACTGGACATGGATCACCTGACACATCCCATGATGCTCTGTAGGTGTCAAAACTCTCCTGGAAATTCCTAAAATTAAAAACCATGAATTATTATAACCTCAAATTAAAAATTAAAACATTTATTTAAGTTGTTTTCGTTACAAGTGCACTTGAAATTCATTTAACACTTACCATGCTGAATTGTTTTCAGAAAAAGTCTAATTTTCGTTTATTTGCAAAAATATGCAAATTATATGCAAATGAGCTTTACCCTGCTGCTGAAGCATATTGATTTCTTTAAATCTAAGGTAGGGGATCACGGGGCGGGGTGGTTGGGGTGAGGAGGTGGGGGTGGGTGCGCGGGAATTTGCCCCAAAGTTGGTCATCAGGTGCAAAAAACGTCATTTTTGACGATTTTTCGTCCTATTACTTGACCCCAAAGACCGAGGGATGCTGATATAGGTATCCATCTGTAGTCTGCATGTACAGTGGACCCCAGTAAACACATTAACCCCAACAGTTCTTAGGTTGGAGTGAAACTGATCTGGGAACACCAGTCTAAAGAAGGTCATTTGGACAAAAAATACGGAATTTCACGATTTCTTCCGATTTTGGACTTCAACTGGACCTGAAACCGGAAGTAGTCGTTTCCTCTGCGTATTTCAAAAATAATTATGATCAGTAGATATATGTCTGCGGGTTTACACTATTTTTGAAAGTTTTAGGCCTCTGAACTTCCTGTGTAAGACACAGAAGGGAAGCCCACCCCTCCAGAAAAACCAGTTTTATCCAATTTCAATTTTCCAAGTTCGTATTTGAGCTCAAAATGCTACTTAAACATGAGAAACATGACAATAGATAGCCTCAGGTTGAGGGAACATGCATCCATTTCGAAATAAGTATCATAAAGTTGACCTCTAAAAGTATGGAGAGCCATTAGAGCCAAATAACGGTGGTCTGGGTCATCCCGTCATATGACGGGCTCAGCATGGTAAGGGTTAATAACTGTTACAGTGAAATCCCTCCTATTTAGAAGCGCTGATATTCATTACCAATACAGATCATAAATAAGAAAACCTCACTCAGTCCACATTTTGTTATATTAAGTTTATGCCTAATAGAACATGTGCAACACAAATGGATATACTGGAGACTAAAATCCCTATTTAAAGTGGATATAAGTGACTTTAAATAAAAGAAAATTGTCAATGTTCAATTTGATTGAAAAACTAACCACTCCCCTTAAATTTTATTCCAATCCATATGCTGGCTCATGAGTTGACAGCTATATGATAAAAAGCAAAGTCCTTACAAATCAAATAGAAATCATTCAAAATCACTCTCAGAAAAATTAAACAAGAAGTGCATAATGCTATTAAGTTTTGACAACTCTTCGAGATATTACAGAAACTGCGAATTGTTTGATTGATCAGGTGGAAGTATATACGGTGGGTGCTTATCCCAAAATAATTATGTGAAAATGGTCTGTGTCAAGTGATACGGTTAAGCATTCCAGTGAATGACTTACACATCACCATGGGATCCTTTGAGTACATCATACACTCCTATGTGTGTTAGAGGAGGTAATCCTTGGCTGATGTAAGACAAAAACAGACCGTTTGATGTGGCAACACTAGATAGTCCAGCTCCATTGGTACCTTTTATAGATACATAAACCTGAAATAAACAATCAAATTAAGTGTCAAAGTTTAAAAATAATCAATCTAGAATTTCTCAGTACAAAAATCTTGTGGGAGCCACTTCCTATATACAATTCATAGGACATGCTGAAATAGGTCACATTTTCCAGCTTGAAAATACGTAAATAGGAGGGGAAAACTTTCAGGTCAATAAAGTTCCCATTTTTTGTTAAATGAAAATGTTTGTGCTGTGTTTTTATTCACAAATTTTTCCAACTTTGGTATACCACTTTTCCAACACACCACCTGAAACCCAACCAACATGGGAAAAGGTATACATTTTTACCTATGCAATTTATGAAAAGGTATACATTTCTAAAATCTAAATGCTATGTTTTGCATGTATGTTATTTTGATAGTATATTTTCAAATGTTGAAATTAAAATACAACACTTAAAGCGTAAACTATGCAAAATTAACAAAAACAATGAATCATGACTGAGGGGCAAGGCAACATAATATCAATGGAAATGGATCAGCAAATGCTAATACAACTGCATAACAATACAATGTGTGGTTCCCCATAAACTGACACAACCACACACTTAACTATGGGAAAGTTTAAAAGTCAATAGACTGTGACTGAGGAGGCAGGGCCAAAAAAAAAAACAAAAAAAAACAGGCAACACTTTAGCCAAAAGAAAAAGATAAACAGACAAACGACAGTTCCAAAGCCCTTCAAGCAACACTCATGATTTTCAACACCACCTTTGATTTTTGAGAAAAAAAAGTGAAAAAATAACTCCTAGACAATAAGGTTCTTTATTTTCAAAATTTTATTTGTAATAAATTTCAAAGTATGAAGACCTAAATTGATAAATCAACTATAAATAGCTAAAATACTTTTTCAGAGCACCACCCTTAAAACTGTGATGACCCAATATTACTTTAACTAACCTTCCTCTGACCCATCAAGTCTAATCCTCCAATTGTGAAATACTTTACATCAATAGGAATGTCAAAGAATGGTTTAATCTGTCCACCACCAGGAGTAGTTCCTAAAGCTATCTGGTACCTATAAACAAATAAAAAAAAATATATTTAACATTTCCAAGTGATTTGAATTTGTTCATTGCTTTTTCATCTGACTGAGAGACTGTTCGAGAAGTTTATTCACAAAATTACAATCTGAAGAAAAGATATATCATCCTATATGGAAACTCCAAGCACCCAGTATTTTTCAGACTACTAAATGCTGCATGCTTGGCAAGAGGCAGATTATTTATCTATGACTTAAACTGGTCAGGGATCAAACTTACAAACTTCAGCATTAAAGATATAAATGCTATCTACCACAAAAGTGACACAGTTGCTGATATAAAACTTATATTATAGACAGGACCCAACTGGAAGCTCAGCGAGGCAGGGTGCATGCTACGTTTAAGGCACACTAATGCATATAATCCTACTGTCATTAAGAGTTTACTTAAATAATGTAGAGATCTTTTTTCGGATAGAAGAACCAATGTAGATAATAAAATCTTACCCCTCAATACCAGATTCTTCATCATAAAATGGCTGCCATGTTGCTGTTACCGAGGAGAGAGATTCTGAACAAGTAGCATCTAGAGCATCACATTCTACAAAACACAAAATATGTAAATTTTCAGTATGATATAATTTATCTAATCAAATGAAAGAGATATTTTCGTTTGATCTTTTTTGTATTTAAAGCACAATTTCAACAAAAAAATTGAATAAAAACTCTCCAACAATCACAAACACTGGGAAGCATCAATAAGTGTACTTTGACAGTATTTATAAGATCAAACTAAATCAATTATTTATTGGTGTAAAATCCTAATAATGGATTGTTACCAAGACATACATGAAGAAGAGGGCAGACCAAAAGAAAAAGCGATTTTTTGCTGTTTTATCGTCTTTTCTAAAAGATTACTTGTTAAGTTGCCAATTGTGATTGCTATAACTTGATACTATTTCTATACAAGTATCTGAGAAACTAACCTAAGTACTTAACCTTCATGTGACCTTCAATCAAAACAATTTACAAATCAATACTTGCCTTCATCATTAGAACAAATCTTTGCATTCATTCTGACAGTAGCTTCATTGTCTCTGACATCAATTCTGTAGGTTGTATGGAGGTCAACAACCTTGCCATATTTTGGTGGTGTTGTATCTATTGCAACAGGACCAGAGAAAGCATAGGTTTCCATGCCTACTGTGTTAATGGCTGTAACTGTCACATAGTAAGACTTTCCATGCTCTAACAAGCTATTTACACCTTTAAACAAAATAGATATCAGATATTAAAATACTACTTGTTTGAAATTTACTGTTAGCAAATGTGTGCTTGGATGGCACTACTTGAAAAGTGTAGTGGTGTAACATTAGAAAATATATAGGCTTCAGCCTGCTATCTAATCCATTTCAGTTATTTTCTATGAAAAAAAATAACTTCAAATGTTAGTGTAATCATGTATCAAGGCAAGTGTATTCGACTCAAATCTTCATCAACAAGGATTGCAAGTTTTCTTGGTGAAGGTCAGTGGTTCTCTACAGGCACTCCAGCTTCCTCTACAAATAAAAACTGGCTGCCACAAAATAGCCAATAATCCCCAAAAAATCAATCAATCATGTAGCTATATATGGGCATACTTATAATTTAGATCAAAGCATGAAAGCGCTGTAAAGGCAGTTAATTACAGGTTGTGTGTATTTTAAGTCCAGTTATATCATTATCTTGCATAGTACAGTGTACTTATCAGAGGTGGCTTTCAGTATTTAAGATTTAGAGTTCTCTAATGATATTGAATAAGTTTTATGAATGTCATATTCTGAGCACTATATGAAGGCGATTGTTCTCACTTGTTTATGAACTAGTGCATAATGTCCAGTTTGTACCTTTTTTATCTATGTTTATAGTCAAATTAGTTATCAAAGGTACCAGGATTATAATTTAATACGCCAGACGTGTGTTTCGTCTACATAAGACTCATCAGTGACGTTCAGATCAAAATAGTAACAAAGCCAAACAAGTACAAAGTTGAAGAGCATTGAGGACCCAAAATTCCAAAAAGTTGTGCCAAATACGGCTAAGGAAATCTATTCCTTGGATAAGAAAATCCTTAGTTTTTTCATTGGCAATCATAACACATCTCCTTATTTATATAATGATCTATATTCAACGACCTCAGGTACAAAAAAAATGTATGTAACTAAACTATGATGGGAAACCTTTGACTTCTTTCTTTATATAAACTTTTGATTTGGTACCATAGAACTATGTAGAGTAAATGTACATTGCAACATGTCAACTCTTTCAACTCCAAGCAAAATTATATTTCCAAGCATAAAGTAATTTATGAATGAAATAAAATGCTCCGCTGGGGCGCAGCTTGATACGACCGCAGAGGTCGAACCCTGAACAGTTGGGGCAAGTATGAACACAACATTCAAGCTTGATTCAGCACTGAATTTGGATTGTAATTAAATATTTGACACAGCATAGGTTTCTGACACAGAATGAAAGTGGTCTAAGATACTTAAAAAAATTTAATTTACCTATTCAAACCATATCATTATTATTTGCTTTTATATATAAATCAGAAATAACCAATTTAAAATGGAAAATTTTAAAGAAAAAAAAGGAAAAAGAATCCCCCCCAAATTTTTTGAACCCCCTTATGATTCATCACCCCAAAACTCAATCCCAGCCTTCCCTTTGTGGTATGGTACCTTGCAGTACAATTTCAGAGAGATCCATACACTTGAACACATGTTATTGTCTGGAAACTAGAAAAATGCTTGTTTTTTGGCCCCTTTTTGGTCCCAAATTCCTAAACGTTTAGGGCAATTACCCCCAAACTCAAACCCAGCTTTCCCTTTGTGATATGGAACCTTGTAGTACAATTTCATAAAGATCCATACACTTACACACAAGTTATTGCCATGAAACTAGAAAAATGCTTGTTTTTTGCCCCTTTTTGGCCCCCAATTCCTAAAATTTGGAGGCAATTACCCCCAAAATCAATCCCAGCATTCCCTTTGTGATATGGAACCATGTGATACAATGTCAGAGAGATCCATAGACTTACACACAAGTTAATGTCATGAAACTAGAAAAATGCTTGTTTTTTGCCCCTTTTTTGCCCCTAATCCCTAAAATTTTGAGGCAATTACCTCCAAAATCAATCCCAGCATTCCCTTTGTGGTATGGTACCTTGCAGTACAATTTCAGAGAGATCCATACACTTGAACACAAGTTATTGTCTGGAAACTAGAAAAATGCTTATTTTTGGCCCCTTATTCCTAAACTTTTTGGGCAATTACCCCCAAACTCAATTCCAGCTTTCCCTTTGTGATATGGAACCTTGTAGTATAATTTCATAAAGATCCATACACTTACACACAAGTTATTGCCATGAAACTAGAAAAATGCTTGTTTTTTGCCCCCTAATTCCTAAAATTTGGAGGCAATTACCCCCAAATTCAATCCCAGCATTCCCTTTGTGATATGGAACCTTGTGATACAATGTCAGAGAGATCCATAGACTTGCACACTCGTTATTGTCATGAAACTAGAAAAATGCTTGTTTTTTGCCCCTTTTTGGCCCCTAATTCCTAAAATTTGGAGGCAATTACCCCCAAAAATCAATCCCAGCATTCCCTTTGTGATATGGAACCTTGTGAGATCCATACACTTACACACAAGTTATGTCTGGAAGTTACAAAAATGCTTATTTTTGGCCCCTAATTCCTTAACTGTTGGTACCATAACCCCCAAAATCAATCCCCACTTTCCTTTTGTGGTATTGAACCTTATTTTAAAATTTCATTGAGATCCATTCACTTAAACTAAAGTTAGAGTGCGAAAACTAATATGTCTTTGGATGACAACGACGACAACGTCATACCAATATACGACCACAAAATTTTTTTGCAGTCGTATAAAAAGGAGTTCTTAATTAAGAAATAAACTGATTCGCTGAGCGCAGCTGGATACACCCGCAGAGGTACTACCCTGAACAGCTGGGGCAAAAATGGACACAATATTCAAGCTTTATACAGGTCTGAATTTGGATTGTAATTAAATATTTGACATATTATAGTTTCTGAATAAATGTAGTCAATGAACTTGAAATCGGTTATATGAATTGAATTTATATTCAATTAAAGATTTCTTGCTGTTGTGCAATACACTGTGCTGTTGTGCAATACTTAATAAATCTGTTGCCAGACTATAAACAAATAAAGTTCAATTTCTTCTCAATGTCATATTTGAAATTTATGAAAATCAATAGGGAGATTACATCAATAGCTACAAAATGTATAAATAATTCACCAAAGTTTCATGTGAACTGCTTAAAGCATTTTTAAGTTGTTGTCCAAAAACTGGAAAATCCCCCCTTTTTTAATGAATAAAACCCCATAACTCAGAAATGTAAAATCTAAAATTTATAAAATTCTAAAGGGAGCTTACGGATTGATAATTTAGTCTTAGATGCAAGATTTTTTTATCAGTTGTTAGTGGTTTTGAACTAGCTGTCAGTAACTGCGAGTACTCTCAGATTTGTACTTAGTGTCTTTTTGTTGTTTGGATGTACAACTACCCGACCACGTCCACTTGTATTTGTATTTATCCATCTGATGAGTTTAGCCTCTTTCAACTGATTTTTATAGTTCTTTCTTATATTGTACTGTTACACCACTGTCCCAGGTTAGGGGGAGGGTTGGGATCCCGCTAACATGTTTAAGCCCGCCACATTCTGTATGTACATGTATGTGCCTGTCCCAAGTCAGGAGCCTATAAAAGTGTAATTCAGTGGTTGTCGTTTGTTTATGTGTTGCATATTTGTTATATTTGTTCATTTTTTTACATAAAATAGGCCGTTAGTTTTCTTGTTTGAATTGTTTTATATTGTCATTTCTGGGCCTTTTATACATTGTAGCTGACTGTGCGGTATGGGCTTTGCTCATTGTTGAAGGCCATACTGTGACCTATAGCTGTTAATTTCTGTGTCATTTGGTCTCTTGTGCATGTGTGGAGAGTTGTCTCATTGGCAATCATACCACATCTTCTTTTTTATATTTACATCAACAGATATAAAAAATTCACCAAAGTCAAGGTGAGACAACAAAACTTAGTTGTAAGATCTCTGAAATTTTTTACAGGGTACAAGTTTTTCTCATTGTTGGAGATTGTACGGTGACAGTAACACCTGTAACTGCTTAAACCCATTTCTTATGCACTTTAGTTTGATAAACTCACTGAATATCATACCACATCTCCTTATTTTTATATGCATTACAATTTACATGTGCATGTAATTGTAAATATATATATATCAGAACAAAATTCATTGCGTCACTTTTATTTATGCATCCTTTGGCACAATACAAGTTCTAAAATTACACAACATAAAACAACTAAATGTTATTTCAGATGAAAGTTTTGTTTCAGTTCCATTCATAGGATTTATTAGAATTTTGTATGTTTTGCCAAGTCCAATAATTCGCTCTATGTGACATAGAGACATAGTTGACTAAACCACCAGGTGTCGAATATTCAAGAATTTTCAGTGTTTCTGTTTTTATTTGATGAAAAGGTTGCCTGAGCTCTAGGAGCTTTAGGTTTTATCACGGGATATTCTGTGCCGTCAATAATAATCCAAGTTGTAGGAAACTTTAATTTGAAGTTGGATGGTGAAAAATACCTGACTAAACCACTAGATGGCCAAGTGTTAGCCTCACACCACTGTTTAGACATAAAAACAATCCATGTATACACAATATTCTTAACACTAGATTCAATCTAGAATCTAGACAGTTCAAAGTTGGTTGTATGATGCCTCAATTTCATCAAAGTCATAAAAAAACTGATTTTCAACTGACACCCTATCAATTTGAAAATATATGTATCTCAAACAATGTGCTGCTGGACCAAGTGTGGTCAAAACAAATAAAAATTTAGTATACAACTCTAAACCGGTATAAAAATGCATGGCTGTGTCACATGTCTTCATTTCAAAATTCTCTGCTGAAAACATAGGCATTGATGGTGTTTGCGTAATTCCATCTGTAAAGCTCAACATTAGATCGGCAGTTGGTGGTGGACAGTCATAAATCCTTTCTGCAGTATGAATGACTTCTTCAGGAAAACCAACTTTACAATCAAAACTTTCCTCTAGATTTCTACTACAATATTCATCAAGTTTAGTTCTTTTGTTTTCACAGGAAACTGCCCTGATTTTTCTTTTTGCGGACGATTCAGTCTCTTGCTTGGTCCAGGAAAATAGGCTGGGAATTGCAGTAGACTTAAGTCTCTGTATGGTGGGTTTGCGCCCTGAAAAAGGTTATAAAACATTAGATTTTTTATAATTAAATGAACTTCCATTAGCAATGTATACTTTGTACTACCTGGCGAAATATTAACTAGATTTATTCATTAGAATCTGGATAAAACTATGTTTGCCTGATTCAATGTATGTTATGTAAATCCAAAGGACAAACAATGAGAGACTTATGCAACAAACGTACATTGTTTATACCTAAATAACTATAATATAGATGAGAGCATGTCATTGTTTTGTTCCTGTTAACATTGTCATTGATATTTTTCAAGAAAGTCTATGAGGCATAGCTTATGCATTCCTGTCATTACTACATTAGCATAATTACTGCTAAAATAATTCTCAGTATGATATACCTCTTGTAAGAAATCATTATAATTGTAGCAATCACCAAAAAATCTCAAACAGATCACATTGAATCGTAATCCAAAAAATTATGACGTCTTGAATTACCCACCCCCTTTTATTCTAAAACGATAATTGCGGTTGTAAACAGACTTTGGTTTATTCGCATGGAGATTACATATATAACTATATATTTCACAAAGAAAATAGAGTTTTACCATGAATAGTTTCCTGCACGTAGTCTTTTTCAGTAAAACGTGCCTTGCAAACAACAGCTGATTGAGATGGACTCCACGATATCATCGTGTTCTCGTCCAATCTGCGTATGGGCCATGGCGTTGATCCAACTTTTCCTTCTTTTTAAGTCATTTGGAAATGCATGTCCTCCTCTTAAATGACATCCAGGTACACAACAACAAGTACTTGGCATCGTTAATTAAAAATATAACTGAAATAGTTGCACAGTGCAGAAACCGGAAGAAGAGGAACAGGATCCGCTACCACGGCGCCACCTATTCAGGAACGATAATTTGCTACTTTATATAACTGAGAAAATAACGTTAGACGGGTTCACGTGCATAAACAGAAATGCGCTTTAAATTGTATAATATAATTCATGTTCAGTCGACCTTTAATTATTATATCAACGACTGAAATGATTTATAAACATCTAGATTGCAGATAACACTCGAAATTAACCCGAGCTCTTTCCACATGGAATTCAAATAATTCTAGTTTGTCAATCGGTTGACTGCTTATAATGCAAAATACTAATATATCAAAAGTTTTTAAAACTAACAAAACACAATGATCGTTTCTCTATTTCCCAATGTAAATGAAATGAAACAAAAAACATTTTATATCGCAATAAGAAGAGGAGAGAATTCAACATTTCCGGATCTACTTGGAGTCTAATGACCCCCCACGTAGATAAGTTGGATATCGCGGAAGGAAGGATTAACCCGGCAACTAGAAAGGCATTAAAGCACTGCCTTTAAAAAACTTTCTTAATAAAAGACAATCATTTATATATAAATATAAAATATTAAATATATGAAGTGAATTTAGTCAAAATTACATTACAAAATCTGCTAAAATCAAAAACAAAAAGTTCTTTATTGAAACTGATTTTGATATGCTTAACTTTCTTTGCTTTATTCCATCAAGATTAACTTGGATTATCCCAACCCCTATTCTTAACAGACTTAAATCCTATAAACTTCATACACTGTTAAAAAATGTGGCATGTATGTGACTTTGTATGGATATGACAGAAATGCTTATTTACTTCTAGTTCAAATTTATTCCTTCATGTTGAATGTTTACAGAGTACAGACTTGTGTGCATAAAGACATTTCATTTTATTCAATTCCAAATGTCAGGATATCTTATGACCTTATCATTCAAGCTTTCTACATGGAGTAAAACTTTACCTTGTATAGAATACAGACTTGTATATCCCGACACTTCATGACCAGCCAAGATATCATTTGAACCCTGTGATGACCCCATAGAAATGTTGAAGTTCTCTATTGGACTTTCATTGTCTAAGAACCCTGTCCATTTACAATGAATTGGCATTTCAAGCTGAAACAGAAAATAAAGCATTACATGAAGGTATTCTTTATAGATGAGTTGATAAATTTAAAAATCTAAACAATTACATAACAAGCATTCTGAGAGTATTGCATGGCAATACATAGTCCCCTACCGGTTAAAAATTAATTGTACTGGAACAAAATGCTAACTTGATCTTTAACTTGTCATGGTGTAAACTATATAACAAATATCAAGTCAATATCTTCAAGCATGACGAAAAAAAGTGCGGAAAATGATAATTTAAGTGAATTTTCTAAGTCCAAGGACCATAACTCTGCAAAAAATCATCAAACCGAAACAAAATTCAAACTTGGTCTGTAACTTGGTCATGATAAAACTATATACCAATTATCAAATCAATATCTTCAAGCATGACGAAAAAAAGTGTGGAAAACTGATTATTTGAGTGAATTTTCTAAGTCCAAGGACCATAACTCTGCACGAAATCATCAGACCGGAACAAAATTCGAACTTGATCTGTAACTTGTCATGATAAAACAATGTACCAATTATTAAATCAATATATCTTCAAGAATGACGAAAAAAAGTGTGGAAAACTGAATATTTGAGTGAATTTTCTAAGTCCAAGGACCATAACTCTGCACAAAATTATCAGGCCGGAACAAAATTCGAAATTGATCTGTAACTTGTCATGATAAAACAATATACCAAATATCAAATCAATATCTTCAAGCCTGAAGAAAAAAAGTGGAAAACTGATTTGCCGGACTGACAGAAGGACAGACAGAAGGACAGACAGACAAGCAGACAGAAAGACGGACGGAGTGCAAACCTAAAGTCCCCTTCGACTTCGTCGGTAGGGGACTAATAAAACTCATCATTCTCTTCTTTTGTAATGGCCAGAAACATCCCTGACTTTTAATTTCTTAATTTAGAAAACAAAAATGATAAATTTTCAACAATAAACGATTAATTTATTCATTTATCAAATAAGAAATCCTTTTATTCATAGACATATCTTGAACTTTATTCTTTTATTTCAAACACAAGAATTTTACACCTTTTTGGAAATGGATTAAAATGAGTAAGGACAGTACATGAAGTAGACTTTTTTCTCTTTTACTGACATTTTGACTTATGTAGAGTTAACAAATTGAATGCATGGTACAACACAAAAGACAGAGTTAATAACTTACACCAACATATTCTGGGCACTCTACAACACCAGCCCCTGGAGGTGTTGTGTCAATGATTACTCCACCAGACATACTCTGGCTGATCAATCCAGCTTTGTTTTCTGCCCAGATATTTATAATATTGGGTTTTCCTGAAAATATGTTTAAAATGATACAACATGAATTGAAAGACGTCAATAGACAAGACAACATTACATGTAAATAAGAATTCTGAGAGTATTGCATGGCAATACATAGTCCCCTACCGGTTAAAAATTATTGGACTGGAACAATATGCTAACTTGATCTATAGCTTGTCATGGTGTAAACTATATAACAAATATCAAGTCAATATCTTCAAGCATGATGACAAAAAGTGTGGAAAACTCATTATTTAAGTGAATTTTCTCAGTCCAAGGAACATAACTCTGCACAAAATCATCAGACCGGAACAAAATTCTAACTTGATCTGTAACTTGTCATGATAAAACTATATACCAATTATCCAATCAATATCTTCAAGCATGACGAAAAAAAGTGTGGAAAACTGATTATTTGAGTGAATTTTCTAAGTCCAAGGACCATAACTCTGCGAAAAATCATGAGACTGGAACAAAATTCGAACTTGATCTGTAACTTGTCATGATAAAACAATATCCCAAATATCAAATCAATATCTTCAAGCACAAAGAAAAAAAGTGTGGAAAACTGATTTGCGGGACTGACGGATGGACACAGACAGACAGACAGACGGAGTGCAAACCTAAAGTCCCCTACCGCCGAAGTCGGTAGGGGACTAATAAGATACAGTCATTCAGGTCGCAAATTAAACATGATTTCAGTGAACATAACAATTAAATTTCTACTTGAATTTGATTTCATCTCAAACAACCACAAACTTATGAATGCAAATGTATAAGCTTTTGAAAATATCTACATAAAAAGAAACCAAGAATCTCTCCCCTTCATTATATTTCTATGTTCATTTAACCATGGAATTAGAGTCAAACCCTAATTTGGGATATAATCTAAATAGTTCATATCATAATGAAAATGTGTTGTAAGTTTCAAGTTGGTGTTACAACTATATGGTCTACTACCTTAAGTAAAAACTTTAACCTGGGAATGTATTGACTTCACAAAAAGTTCACATCATATTGAACATATGTACTAAGTTTCAAGTTTCAAGTTAAAGTGCCCACAACGTCATGGTAAACTACCTTAACCAAAAACTTTAACCTGATAAGGGACTGACAGACAGATGGACTAGCATAGACCAGAAAATATAATATCCTTTTACTATCACAGGCAAGGCATGAAAAAGAAAAAATCAAATTCTTAAAAAAACTCCTTCCATCCCTTCAACTCTATTTAAATTAGGCAAAAGTCATCCCTTTCTTGCACTTTGAACTTTCTTTTCATTATTAAACATGTCTTTACATAAGTTTCTTTTTGCCAGAAAATTACTGAGTACTAAGGTTATATAGGTTAGCTAAAAAGTTCAATAGAAAAACTATAAGGCATTAATCTGACAAACTGTTACCTTATCCCTAAAACACTATTCAGATCTAATGTTCAAAGCACAGCTGTAATATATAATCCTTGTATGAAATTTCATTGAAATCTGTCAAGTAATTTCAAACAATTCAAATGTAAAATAAAATTGATATAAGCCAAGAAGATACCTGTGTATATTTTGCAGGGCAACAACTGTAGTAGAAGATACATGCTGTATAAATCTCAATTTATTCAAAATTTTAATAAACTTTTATTATCATTTAGATCTTGACATATTGTAAAGACCAGCTGGTAAAGACACCTGTCTATTGTTGAAAACTGTATGTTACTCTCTAGATGTCTCTTGGTAAATTTTTGTCATTGGGTTACTGTCTCATTGAGGTGTACTCCACATCTTTATTTATTTCTGATGTATCTCCAGTTAGTCTTGAACTAACCTGTTAAGTCAGGAGTAACTAATGCCAGGGGAAGTTCACTGAGGAGTACAGATGAAACATCCACCTCTTTCCTAGGTGAAACATCTTCAGCATAGGGATAAGTTCCTACAGAGTACCAAGCCCTCTCAATACCACTCTCAGTGTCATTGTAATGCCACATAGCAGACAGGGAATCAGCTGATTTCTGGTAAACAGATCCTCCTGATTGTATATTGTTGTCAGATGATGTTAGGCCTGTCAATCTAATATTCAAAAACAATATTAGTGAGATCAATGTATGTATGGTAAATGAATAATGAACATTATAAAACTAAGGAAATGTGAAAGATTGCCAATGATACAAATATCCACCAGAGTTCAGACGAAGTGGATGTAAGCATCTATAGGCACCTGTATGGCCTTTAACAATGAGTAAAACGCATACCGTATATATATATCGGCTATAAAAGGTCCCAACATGAACAATGTACAACATTTTAAATGAGAAAATTAACAGCCTAATTTATAACAAAACAATTTTAAGAAAAACAAATATGACAGATATGAACCGACGACTACCAACATTATGATGGATGATGAATACATTTGAAAAATGGAAATCTATACAGACAGAATATCGATGTCATATATAATTTGTTTATTCCAAAGAAATATCAGCTACATATTACTTTGTAAACAAGTCATAGGACAGGACGTTTCATATCAGCAGGCTGAAACTTTTGAGCTTGATTACAGGTACTTAAAAAGGTGCAATTTTCTCTATAATTATCTTTCTTTTCTTCACAGATCTTGAATATAAAAATAAGAAGATGTGGCAGGATTATCAATGAGAAAACTCTCCAAGAGAGACTAATAGGTGTCATACCACCATTGTTTTTCCCCTATTAGTCTTTGTTAAATTTGCACTTTTTAAAAAATTGTGCAGAATTTATCTTTGTTTCGAATAAAGAAATACTGGGCATGAGTAAAGTTTTATCCTGTCCAGTACTACAGACAAAATTTCATGTAACATTTCATTGCCTATAAGATAATAACCATCACTGGAAGTAACCAATCAAATTTTCACCCCTTTTTTTCCTGTGTACAAGCTTTAGTAACCAAGTAACCTCAAGTTTCCAAAATATTTTATAGAAACACCAAATTAAAAAAAAGTGGTGCTTTGAAACACCCAAGATATATGTTTATGACTCAGAAATTTTTTACTGCAATGAAATGTAGGAGCAATTTCCTACAACTGTCAAATTCAAGGGAATATTTTTTTTCGACCCTTTTTCATATGCAACTGGATGTGATGTACTATGATTTGGTGATATTACACCCAAATGGTGTAGTTTATTACTAATAAATTATATTTTCGACTTTCTAGATTCATGGTGATGAAAAGCTTGACATAATGGATAGACACTTGTCAATTGTTTTTGTTTGTGTTATTGGGTTGCTGTCTCAATTATGTTCACTCACATCTCCTTTCTATCATGATATTTATAATATATATTTAGCCATAAAGGATTTGATGCATAATGTCTCAAGTATTAAATAGGAATTTTCAAAACATCATACACATAGTCTGCAGAATGTCAAAACAAGTAATAAATGAAGTAAACAAAATAAATACCTGTCAATTGATATTGTAGGAGGAGTTATATCGACAGTAAAGCCATCAGATGTAGCCTCAATTACATTTCCTGCATTGGTTATTCCCCTGATTGTAGTGTAGTATGTTGTCTCTGGTTCTAGAGGGAGAGTTATCTGAGCATACCCAGAACTGGTTACTCCTGAAAGTTATTATTTTTTTAATGTGAAGATTTGTTATTGTATGTTACTCCTGAAAGCCATACTCAGCAATTAGAATAATAAAATGTTAAAACTGGTCTGCTCAGAGACAGAATAATGTGTATGGGATGGGTGAGATGTCTTCCTGCTGACTGTTCATTTTTCTAAAATTCTCCGTTGATAGATAAATTATTAAGAAACTAAGATTCCAACTCCTTCAGGCAAAGTTAACCTTAGATGAATTTGGCTATTCTCTTTTATGTTCCATGTGGTCATATAGCTACTCTCCTTTTCAGGTATTTATATATCCTGAGCTTTCAATTTTTTGAGTTTTAGAGTTCCTGATAAAAATAAATCCAGAAAAAACACTTCAGACCCCCCAAATCTATAAAGTGTTGCCACTTTAAAAATTTGACAAAGAACTATCAAGTTATTTTCTTAAAAATGAGTGTTATATTTTATGCTTGGTGTTGAGCACTTACCCATCACAGACACTAGTATTTAAGAAATAATTCATAGAAAGATTTTACTGTAGTAACATTATCTACATTATCAAAGATATAACAAAATTGGTTTCTTCTAATTTTACAGACTGTAAAAACTTATCAATTAAATGAATCACCAAAGTTGTCCAAATTCTAAATAAGGGAATAATAATATATACCACTAAAAGACAAGACCAAATCATTTTTATTACATCCAATCTTACCATCTCCTTTCACATCCTTCTCTTCATTATGGATGATTCCATGTGGCATGAATGGTTGGACTTCCTCCCCTCCCTGTGTAGTCCCAACAGCCCATTCATAGGCCATAACACCATGAAGGTGGCTCTCAAACCCTGTATACTGTACACTGACTGTTGACATGTCTGACTGGTAGTCAAGGTCGTCACCAATATCTGACATAATTGGAATTTCTGTTCTGTCTGCTCCATCAATCACTATACCTGTATAATAGTAAATATAAAATAAATATTTATCCCTACTTAAAATAATTATAATTATAAACTGGATCCATGCAATTTCACAAACTTTTGGACTGTTATTTTTAAAGAGTGACTATCATGATGTCAAAAGACCAAAAGTTTAACTTTTCAACAATATGAATAAAAGGAGGTGTGGGTATATGTCAAAGCGTTACCTAGTATATCATTTGTCATTATCTCATGAATGTATCTCATGAATTTGCTCTTTCATGTAGTGAGTGCTTCTTCATTTAATAAAGCCAAAACTACAAAATTGTAATTAATGTCAGCTCATGTGCACTCTGTCCTTCTTCAACTTATAATAAATCTATACTATTGCCCTGTTGATATTTTCTTACTTTAAAGTATTTATGAACACAGAACAACAATGAAATGGCAAAAGTTAATACCAGTCCTATGATTAAAGGGAGCTAACAAATGTTGAGATTTATTACCTGGTTCATCTTCATCAACTACCATGATAGGTGTAGATATGACGGGATCACTCTCTAGACCAGCTCCATTGATAGCCTTCAGACTGACATAGTACACTGGATAATGAGCTGTCTCATTACTGACAGTCAATGTCAAACCTTTAATGTATATATCTGTATCTGTTCCATAATCTTTCCATGATGAAATGTCTGTCCCTCCTGTAGTACACAAAAATCCGAGGAAATTATTGATAATTGAACTTCTGTTTATCAACAAATTTGCACATACTCAATTCATAGTTTCAAAGTCAGTTTAATAAGCTTATCACTATATAACCATTAATTCTATTTCTGATACATTTACCTATGGTGGGCCATGATACTTAATTTACCTATTAAATGATTATCAAATATATTTATCTGTTGCATACATTTGATTAGACTTACTGTCAAGTCATTCATATTAACGGTGAAAAATAAAAATTAACACCAATTATGGCATGAAGTATTTAGATCTGAACCCCACATTATGAAGTAACTAAGCGCCTTTCTAAGTTATTCCAATTTGCACTTAATAAATCAAATTTGTAAAACTCTGAAGCCAAACCTCAGTCAACTAGTGATGGCCTGCATCTTAAAAATCTTTGATGCCACTGGTATCTCCCTGGTTACACATGACAGAAATAGTACCTACCTTTAGTAGTACCCACAGCCACCTTGTAACCAACCACGCCAGACTGGTGATCATCTGCATCCCAAGCAGCTTTAATGCCACTGGTGTCAGCCTGCCACACATAACCATCAATATCTTCCTCATGTCCTTCAGATAGTGTACCAACTTTCAACCAATGCATCTACAAGTACAAGTATTCAATAATGTAATTATTGAGTTCTTAGAAATGTGTATCCTTAGTTTAATTGCCCTTTGTAATATGTATTAAGAACCAGGTTTATCAATAAATGCTCAAATGTAGAACACTAAAATTGGGAGCCTTAATGGCTGAGTGGTCTAGGCAGTTGATATGTTAGCATGTACAGGTTACCTTAGACTGCCATCACTATGGGAGGAGGTTCAAGACTTGCTATGGTCATTTGTAGAGATGGAAAGGTGTTTCATTATACATTGTTAGAGCACTTAGAAACATGACACATGTAAACACATGCATTGAAATCTACAGAATCAGTAGTTGATCACCATTCAACATGGTATCATTAGCTGCAACAATCCTTCTTTGTTAAAACTAATTAAAATTAATGTTTTATAACTGCCTCTCTGTTCGAAAATGTCATCACAAATCCTGCTTTGTTAAAACTTATTAAAATTAATGTTTTATAACTGCCTCTCTGTTTTAAAATGTCATCACAAATCCTGCTTTGTTGATATCTCCCTGTATACTTACTAAAGGGGGTTCATTGTCTAGCACCACTCCACTGGTATCAAAGGCTGCTACAAATCCTGCTTTGTTGACAGCCCCCACTCTGATACTGTACAATCCTCCTTGGTGCAGTGACAGTCCTGTGTGTGTATATTTAGTTCTGTGTATATTGTCTTTTACTTCTAACCATGCTCCATGTTTGTCTGAAAGAAGAAAAAAGTTTGTTTACAAAATTATAAGAAACTCTCCTCTCTACTGAAGTTGATAGATTGAATAAACATTCTTACTACCGGTAATCTTTTAACAATGTTATCAATAATCTGTTTCACCTTTTTCATTCAAACAAATATCATATAAAAAATCTTCAATTGAACACTGAAAAATTGAAATACTGTACTTACAATTGGCAGGTAAATTTTTGGCTTATTCTTAAATAGATTTGTTATACATGTCCCAAGTTTTAATGTGTCTATAGTAGAAGGTATATTTCTTTTAAATGGAATGGTCAATTCCTTTTATACCAATTTAAAAATAATTTGTGACATTGTGACATCTACTGATTTTGTCAGCAAAACTGAATCTATTTCACCATTCTTTTTTACATATTCATTTTCCTAAAAAGTATTATACTTTTTAAATAGTACATTCAGGCATTTAAAATAACAAGGTAGTATTATATATCATACTTTCTAATACTTACGAGGTACAATCTGCTGAGTGATTCCCTGATGTCTCTCATATATTTGGAATTTATAATGGTCTAGTCCAGACTCCTCATCCACAAACTTGAAGTTGGCTGACAGTGTGGTATTCCCAGACTACAATAAACCAATTAAAAGTTCTAAACATAAATTAGATAAAAAGACATAACTGAACTCAAAGCAAACAGCACAGTAATCCTAATGATTTATATCATGTTGGCATCAATGCAGTGAATTCATAATCATCCATGATAAGTAATAGAAATGTATAAACGAAAACAAAGCTTGAAAGTGGTGCAGTATCATCAATTTACAAACCAGGAAGAAAATTTAGGTTATAATGTCTACTTCATATTGAAGATTATTGTAATGTAACAAAAACAAACTTTTTTTTTTGGTATTTTTTTTGGTATTCCAAATACAAAACATTTCGTACAAATACAGACAAACAAAGAAATGGCTATGAGATGTCAGCCATTTTATACCATCAACATACAGAATTTTTCACAAATGCTAAAGTTAACTTTATAAACTGTTCTTTTTACATAGTTTTTAGGTTTATTTTGTAGATATTTGTCTATACATTTTCCATTGCTACATAAATGTATGACTGGTAGTTTTATGACATAAAACTTGCATAAATAAATATGCTTAAATATTTAAGACTTGTATCAGCTATGGTTTTACAAATGAACATTTACAACAGTTAATCTCAAATACTAAAACAATCTCAGATACTAAAGACACAAGTAGGACACATGTCTTGCATGACAATGGAACTATGTATCAGATTGAATTCATTACCTGAAATTCTATATCCTTTCCTTGTTCCAGACCATCTCCCAGACTTATCAAGGTTGGCGGTGTCAGATCTACCACAAATCCATCTGTAGTATTCACAATAGTATTCAATGCTCCATTAGTTGTCCTAAGGTTGACCTTGACTTTATCCTTATGCTGAAGGTGAAAGTTCAACCATTTGACACTTCTTGTTGTATTGGAATATGGAACCCAGTCTCTGATAACACTGTAGTCATTCGTCTGATTCCTGGACAAAAGGTAAAGTAGCATTTTTAGAAAATATGTATGGGGAAGGCTATTAAACAAATACACACATAATTCTATTTTATTTCATACATGTTTATTTTGAAAAATCACAATTTTGATATTTTGGTTAACAAGGTATACTAAAACATTAGAAATACACTTAAGTTTGATAAACCTTTCCGCATGTAGTTTGAGAGAAGATTTTGAAAATAAACCAATCAGAATGAAAGATTGTCTCTGGTGGTCATGCTTTTCATCCAATGGGTAAACAACAGAAAATGGGAATTATTCCTTAATGGTATTATTCTTAAGTAAGTTTTTGGTTTTTGAATAAAACAGCATATTCATCTGAACAATAGTGATATTCACTGTGCTAAACGGCACATGCATTTACATGTATAATTATAGTAAAATGTTTGATGTACAATTTGTTTTATACATTAAATACATTTTGTTCCTCTCAGAATATGGCATAAAACAATTACTGTACTTTGTTTCTGTAAATAGTGCTTTAATTGACTTTTGAAAAACAAATTTACCTCATCAAAAAACAGTAATCGTCTTATATTCACATTAAAAATAAGAACTTTTCTGATAATGATCTACATACGGAGCTCTCTCAACTTGTACTTCATACTGTTTAATGGTAGACTCTGGATCATAGTAGTTTCTCCATTGTACCTCAACCTTGGCAGGACTTGGGGAAAACATGACATCTTCGAACCCAGTAACATTACCATCAATAACCTGTCCTGGGACTGGCTTTGTCAAATCTACCGTCACTATAAATAAATTGTTCATTCTTTATAAAACGACAGCAAAAAAAATAATTTGATAATTCAGTGCATTCAAATTTTTAAGTGAAATATACACTTGGCAATTCATAGTATTTTATAATTATGCCTACTTATTGTAATGAAAGGGTCTATTGAACTGGAAAGTATCATAACATTATACATAAAACATTCACACTGTTTAATCCTTAATACATGTAATTATCATTTCCTAAAGAAAATTATAATACATTTCTAGATCATTATCTTTACAATAAATCTAAATGCTTGATGAAACCTTTCCTTGTCCCACAATGTAACAACTAACCTCCATTTGATATGCCCACACAGTTCCTCTGTCTAATGGCTCCATTGTAAGCCCACACTGTGGTGTAATAAGTCTTTCCATGTTCTAGATATTGATCTGTAGACAAGGGTACACATGCTTCATGTGTTTTCCTGTTGTACTGAGTCAGGTTAGCAATGTCTGTAACATTTATGTCAGGTAGAGAGCCTGCACTGACCATGTAAAAGGCAATACCTGACTCAGGATCATAGAAGTGTAGCCAGTTAGCGCACAGCTGAAGAATAATTAATGAGAAGTTTTAAAACAGAAGCAAAACTGTTTACACAACTTTTATAATAACATGGCAGTATAAAAATATCATAATTTATTTGCAGATTGATGAAAATGCATTCCTGACAATATATGAACAAGATCTTCAACAATTACCAAAAATTGCAGTTATATGCTTTTGTGTTGAATAAAGTGGAGAAATGGGGTATTCTATAAATGGAATTGAACAATAAAGTCAAATTGCTATAAAGGTCACCTCTATCATGGAAGTATTATATTGACAGGAACTCCAACAAGCGGACTTCAAATGTTTATAGTGTGATGCCGCAAAATCGTTAAGTACCGGGGTATCTGTTAATTAACTCGACATGTCTTATGGATGCATGGGTTCCGATCAAATTTTTGGAACCTCGTGAATGATCGTAATTACGGAACATACCGAAATAACCGGATGTGTACTTAATTGTCAAGGAAATGACATTTACCGACCATGTGAATTACAAATATAATGTCAGTTTTTACGGTTTTTGCTGCTTAATAACAAATAAAAAGAAAAGAAACGAAATCCCCGCGACTGTTTTCACCGATTAAAAAAAAAAAAAAAAAAAATGAAGAGTAAAAATACTCACAAGCCATAAACATTTCAGTTTAAGTTACAATCAATTTTAAAATAGAAAGATTTTTATTCATGAGAGGGCCGTTGGCTAAACACGCGTAACTGTTATATACATGTTAGGCATGAAAATCATAAAATTCTCATGAAAAGTAAACGGAATTAAAAGTTTTTATTAGTAATTATTATCGCGTTTTACTGCTAACTTTGACAAATATTTTACTGAAGAGTTTAATGAAAGAATTTCCAACAAAAATTTAATCCACTGAAAAGTTGGCCGTGGGGGGGGGGGAGGGGTGGACAGGGTTTAAGAGCTTTGATCCGAAAAAATATCAAATATTTTGATTTATTGTTTACTGAAAGTCCAATGGCAAATATTTCATGCAATTAAACAAGAAACAAAAACATAAATTGCTTAGCATACGGTGTAAGATGTTTCAGAACTGTTAAGCTTTTAAACACATAAATAAATTCTAATTTGGTTTCCATGATAAAAAAAAATTAAACTGCTTAAGGCCCATCATCATGGTGATCGTTCTTTCAATGCATCCAGAAATATTTAAAGCCAGCCGTAAAAATAAATCTGTCAGACGTCAGAGTAATCTCGGACTAGGTTGAATGTTTAAGGTTGTTTACAACTTTGGATTAATTATAAAAGGTGTAAAAATTCATCCGCATGTCTCGTAACCTGATATTGCTATGTAGAGGTCATCACATGCGTGTAATTATTAACCTCTTTTAGTCTTTAAAACATATTTGATAAATAAGTTAATAACATTTTACAATATTTTACGATAGAGAAAACCATAAATATTTGTGTTACACTCGATAACAGTTTACAATCTTTAACTTAAAATTTGAGTTATCAGGCACCATCCAGCTCACTACACACGCATCACATTATTTTCTGCAAACACTCTACTTCAGAATCATGTAATTTTCATAATCGGATATTTCCCGATTTCCAAGTTCCAATGATTAAAACATACTCAACAAAACTAAAAATAAGCTTGCCCTCTTTCCGAATGCAGTTAATTTTCTTATGTTATTCTGTTAAATATGGACCGATTTTTTCGATCTTTTCAGCTTTGTTCTTCATTTATTGAACGGAAACAGGTGTTGCTATTCATGTGGCGATTCACAAATAACCACAGGAGTTTCCGTGTTTATTTACATTGGTAGGTAGATAAGACAATCGATACCAAATCACGTGAAAAGACCAGCTTCAGTTGAAAGAACAGGTGAAGGCGGCATCACAGATACCCCACAAAGGAGTTATCACGTACTTGACAAACTGAGTCGGAACCTTTTATTTTCTTAAAGAAATCAGTGGGATGGGAATGTGCTAATTTTTCGTTGGAGTTCCTGTCAATATAATACTTCCATGCCTCTATTAATGGAAAACATCTCTCTGTTGATACACAAATGGATTTTTTTGTTTGGAAACATTGACACACAATTCCTTTCTCTGTGTGATATCAACAGATACAGTCTTTTTTCCATACCATAAAAATTTTGAAAACCAGTCATAGCAAAAAAAATAATGTAACAATTGACTTTAAACCTACAAAAGGTAGAAATCAACCCAACTATCCTTTTAAAAACAAAACACTAAGCAGCATGTTTGGGGTGTTAATAAATCATCAAATTGTCCAAAATAAATCTTTTTTTTTGAAAATTAATGCGATGTTATACATTTAATGTGAGGGTACCCAAATTGCACCTATTTTGACAGTTTTTTCACCTACGTTTATTTATGATCAGACAAAAGTTTCCATTCTGTGTTTATTTTGTAGCTGTATCCTTATTCACTATATAGTTACACCAATTTGAATTTGAATTCATCTTGAATCATATAAAAATTGGTTTGAACCAACCTCCAAACTATCCATGATTCTGTAATGAGGAGTACCCAAATTGCATCCATACTTAAATTCATATCCTTAAAAATTGAATAACAGATGTTTTGTTTTATTTCTTCAAATATTTAGAACAATTTGACATTAGTCCATGCTTACTATTCATTTTTTAAGAAGTGGATGCTTGTAACATATTTTATTTGGTCATTTTTAAAAGATAACTTTTGTGGACGTCGCATGGCAACGTTCTGTAGATTTTACTTTTTCTAGTGAATACACCATCTGTTGATATATTCTGTGAACGTTTTGTGTGTATTTAAATATAGGCTACCTATGTTGAAAGACATGTATAATGTCAAATCATAATAATACCAAATGTTTAGTCTCAAAGAAAACTTGTAAGATTTCCGCTGCTATTTTTGCTGAATAGGTGCAATTTGGGTACTCGGTGCAATTTGGGTACTCTGACGTTATATATCAATGTTACACTTACAGTATCAAAGTTTTTGGTGTAAAGTAGGTCTGTTCCATACAGTGGTCCATCATTTACTGTACCAGATTCTGGTGGGGTCTTGTCTATAATAATGGCCTGATCTGCTACACCTATAGTCCTCAAATCAACTACAAAATAATAATAAGAAAAAAATGCATTTAAGTTTTGTTTTCAATGAAAGTGTCAAACACCAATAACTCTTTATGAATATTGGCTTTAAATTGTAACAATACACTGTTGTTCATGATAATACAAATCCAATCAAATCAAATATTTTATTGTCTTATAAACTTTACAGTTTGTGACCAACATGTATTAACACAATAAACATATATACATACATATCAAACAAACACAATAAAAACAGCATCAAAATTTATAAAAACAGACAAGTTGTTAAGAGTCCCCTGACCTCAGTTCTAATGACTTTTTCAAGAAGGATCCTAACTTATTTGTTTGTAAAGGCGTTGATGGATTTAGTAAATAATGAATTTTTTCTTCTTCATTTAAATTATTAAAGTTATTATTTTCAGTACATATGTGTTCAAAAAAGGCATTTCTTAGTGTTTTATTATAATCACAATAGAGTAAAAAATGTTTCTCATCCTCTAGTATTTTACATTTATGACAAAGTCGTTCCTCTCTTGGGATTTTAAAATATCTCCCCTTTTCAATTAAGAGGGAGTGATCACTTAGTCTAAATTTAGTGATCAATCTCCTTATCTCAAAATTAGATATATTTAGATAAGATTCTAGTTTGCAATCCTTTTTAAGTTTTTTATATAGATAAAATTTACTTTTATCATCAATGTTTTCAAATTTAGTTTCAATTAAATCTTCATATCTATTTTTCATTTTTAACTTTATATCGTTTTTTATTTTATTTACATCTTTTATGTCCTTACAATTAGAAAAAATATTAAGGTCAATATTAGTCTCTTCAACAATATTTTTTGCATAAGTATACCATGAATAAGTTCCAGTCAAATCTAGAGACTGTGCTAGAGAAAAAGCTTCCTTTATCAATGGATTAATATTATTATTATATAGTCTAGCTAAATATAAAAGGGTTTGTGTTTTAATAAAACATTCTATAGGCAATCTTCCTAATTCAACTCTTGCTCCTAAATTGGATGCATTTTTTCTTATTTCAAGAGTAGATTTACAAAATTTAAGATGCATATTTTCAATAGGGGTTTTGTCTGTAAATTCAAGTTGATTAATTTGTTTTCGTGAAGATAAGGCTCTGTTTTTGGCTCTATGAAAAGAAATATATGTATCCAAATATGTTACTTCTGAATTATAGGTCTTAATTGGTTTTACTAAAGAATCAAAAAGGTTATTTGCTACTTTTATAGGTAGATTATTCAATGATTTAGTATAGGATTTTATTACAAAAAATACTTTTTTTGGCCTTTTTTGTCAGCTCTAAGGTACTTTGTGATAAATTTCCATTACATTTTATCAACATTCCCAAAAATGAATATTCTGATAAGCTCTCTATGGCTTCATTCTCATAGTAAATATGTGATGTTTCACCATTTTGTTTCTGTTGATTGAATAAAGAATTGATAGTTATTGCTTAAAACTTGGTTTTTCTGAATGCATGCACTTTTTTCCTAAAAGAACTTTATCAAATGAAACCACAGCATACTGTCAAAAAAACAAGTGGCAGGTTTCATGTTCCGAAATAAGTGACTTTACCAAGTCAGGACTTTCACAGCAATAAATAAAGCAAGTGTGTCTATGGACTTTGTGTCATGAATTGATATGCTACATCATTTCTTTTCCATTATACAAAGTCATAAGTACACTTTGAAGTAATTAATTATAAATGTTAACCTACCTCTATTTACTGCCTTGATTTTAATCCAGATTGGTATCCCATTTGACAGCCTTTTGGTGTATGAAATGTTTGGGTTAAAGGTCAGTCTTGTCCATTCCATCTCATCACAATCACGTGTTGTGTGTCCAAAACATAAATCATTAGACTCTAGTCCAGAATCTGGATCACTAAAAACATAAATCATTGGATTCTAGTCCAGAATCTGGATCACTAAAAACATAAATCATTGGACTCTAGTCCAGAATCTGGATCACTAAAAACATATATCATTGGATTCTAGTCCAGAATCTGGATCACTAAAAACATAAATCATTGGATTCTAGTCCAGAATCGGGATCACTAAAAACATAAATCATTGGATTCCAGTCCAGAATTTGGATCACTGAAAAACATAAATCATTGGATTCTAGTCTAGAATCTGGATCACTAAAAACATAAATCATTGGACTCTAGTCCAGAATCTGGATCACTAAAAACATATATCATTGGATTCTAGTCCAGAATCTGGATCACTAAAAACATAAATCATTGGATTCTAGTCCAGAATCGGGATCACTAAAAACATAAATCATTGGATTCCAGTCCAGAATTTGGATCACTGAAAAACATAAATCATTGGATTCTAGTCTAGAATCAGGATCACTATAAATCAAAGAAAATAAGAAGCTGTCAATGCCGTATTAATTACATAAAAATAAGTGATGTAAACTTTTTATGATTAATTGATTTATCATAGGTTGTTTTACTGCACTTTCAGCACACTTAGCTATACCATTGCTACCAGTTTTTGTTGTTGAAGGAAGCTAGAGAGAACCCTCAACCTTTTGGCAGGAAATCTTGCAATCTTAATTATTTAAATCAGAGTTCAACAAACTATGCTGAAGCAGGGTCCCAATTTACAACCTCAGTGTTGACAGGCTGGATAGTGATCACTGAAGATGAACTACTTGGACCACTTACTAGGTCACCTAGGCCCCTTACTTTTAATGTATAACTAAGAAAACAACATAATAAAATTGAACCTTCAAATTTTGGGCCTTTCTTGCATGTTTCTATAAATATTCTTCAAAATATATGTTTTTTTATAAATATTTTAATTTTACATTAAACAACTTTTCATACTTATTTTCATAAGAAACTGTGGAACTGTAAATGGAGAAAACAGATATCCACAAAATAAATGTAATAATGCAAATGTAATTAACTCTAACAAAGAAAACTATACACTTTCGTCAAGTCAATACCCTGGTTCATTTGACAATTAACACACAGGGATAGACCTATATAGAATAGTTGTACTATATAGGGCAGTTGTTAACAACTAGATGGTGCAATAAAAATTTTGTTTGTGTGGACCGCGATACCCTTACTTACAACTAGTTAATTCAAATATCATATTTTAAAACAAGACATTACCCAGACAAGAGATCCATACTTTAATTTTTCAATGTTGTGGTCTCACAAACTTGTTGCCCATGGTCCTCCATACAGTTTACTTACCTGGAATTGTGCTTTGCTGTCAATTCCAATGTGTCCTCATCATAGTTGATATCAAATATCTCCCACACAAATGGAGGAGAATTGTCCACCACATATGGAGTGGTGTGACATACTGTTGTTGATAGTGGCCCTCCATACTTTACTTCGTTCAAAGCTCTCACAGTGATATAGTATGCTCCATCTGAAAACATGTCATATTACAAATTACCATAGTCAAAGACCATTTAACTCATACTTGAGTTATCAAGAAGAATAGAAACTGAACTATAATTTTTTATTCAAATGCAGATGACATATGATAATACTTTTAGAAAACTGACCATAAATTTTATATTCATGTTATTCATAAAGAATTTAATATCATGCCCATCTAAAATACAGTCGAACCTCAATAAGTTGAAGTCGAAGGAACCTGACATAGACATATCTGTTTGACTCATACAAGGTCGCGAGTTAATCATGTTGTAACATTTATTGTACCTTGTGTTGTCAGCCTGATATGTAATGGAAGAAAACATATTTTATTTCATAAAAAAAACTAAACAGAATAGACAGTTCACATCTAATGTTTACAAAAATAAGGAAATATAAAATACGGAAGTACTTGCCAAATGAAACAAATCGTTACAAATTAAATTATCAACTTTATCCTGAGCTGCTATCTACTGAGGTCTAATCTTAATCTTTAAAAAAAAAAATTGATCAATTTAATTATAAGTTTCATTTATATTCATTGATCTATTATGGTTTTTCAGGCTTGGGTCTATTAATTTGTTCCATAATTATATCAGGTAAAATGCGTTCCAAAACATAAATTTCGTAATGGCCAAATTTCCTTTCTTGACTTACAGAATAGGTTCATGAGCTCTCATTGAGATACTTGGACTTGGTCTGCAGACCCCTTAATTACCTGGAAGTATTGTATATGGTGCTGGTATTGGACTGATCATGGCTGAATTAGTCCACTGTGACTTGTCAAACAGATGTTTATGTGGATCATGATGTGGGTGGATCAAATCCTCACAATGTCGTTTACCCACTGTAATAGTGTATCCAAGTAATCCACTCTCCTTGTCATTAAATCCATCCCAGTTAGCTGAAATGGAGAAACATGTGATAATGCAATGGAAGCTTCTAGCAAGATCTCAACACCTGTATTTTGGGATGCCAATTACAAAATATTGTTTTTACTTAGAAGTTATTTAAAAACAACAGTTAGAAAGGGTCAATCAAGATGGAAATGTGATGCAACAGTCTTAATCACTTAAAAATGATTTATAAAGAAGTCATATTCAACAAACTAAAAAGTAGAGTACTTAAATCCAAATGTCAGAGACTGTTGGAAATATATTTGATTTTACGGCCAATTTGGTCTAAAATTGTACCTTCTCTTTTGAAAATTGGACAGTCAAGAGATAAAAATGAAGAAAAATATTGGATCACACTCGATGCAGTTTAATCTATATTTATCTAAAAGTAAAGCAATTTTTTAACATAACATATTCTAATCACATGAGATTTAATGAAGCTTACCTGAAATGTATCTGTTTGCTCGGGTGTATCTTAGATCAGTCATAGGGTCTGGTCCATTAAACACAGTCAGAGATCCTGAGCCATCAATAATTAATCTGAAATGAATATTAAGCAAACTATTAACAATTCATTCTGATTTAAAATAAATAAATATTTCAAAGTTCAATAAATATTACATTGATTTATTTCAGTTATTTTTAATGCATTTCAAAATGTGAAACCAATCTAGGTAGATTTAAAAGGGTAAAAGATGCCTTGGCTCAATAATTTTTGGAAGTACTGAGATTTATCCATTCATGCTTTATATTGAGTACCTGTGATTTTTTACTTTAGGATTGATCCCTTTGCACCACATTTTCCAGTCTGGTCTGTTGTGTTCTGGAATCAGACTTAAACAAGGAACAATTTCCAGGTAATCAGCACTGGCATTCTTGATAAGACCTATAAAAAAAAAGTGTAATAAAAATTAAAAATTAAACCAGCAACAGAACCATTCCCATGTGTTTTATAAGAACAATGAAAAAACAAGAATATGCGTCCATATAGGAAACCATGCTCTGCAGGAACTATCAATTTCCACATTCAGTGAATTGCAAAATCTTGGCAAAAACCTTACTTTGACATACATTTAAAAAAATTATATTGCCCATGTGTAGTAACTTAAAACATAATCCCCCCTACATGCTAAGCAGGGCATAATTTTTTTTTTTCTTCATAATATGTAATTTTATCAGGGTTATAGATTTTATTCAAAATGATAGAAATTAAAACTAAGCATCATCATACCTGTTAGTGGTGTAGTCAGGTCTACCAATACACCTTTAGATGAAATGATATTAGTGTAAGCCAGAACATTCACCATCATAAAATTGAAGTAATGTATTCTATTATGCTGTAAGACCAGTTGATCATACACAAACTGTTTTGTTTTCCCAACACCAAGTCTTTCATAATGTTCAAATAGTCCCGACTTGGATCGTTTGTAGTCATGGCCTTCTATGGCTTCAACCAGTTCACACGTAGCCTTGCCAAAGTCATAATTAAAACTCATGCATTTTGTGTGCGGTAGGTCAGCACATGCCCGGGCACAATCTCCAGGGGAATTCTTGGTAGTATCTGGGCCAGCTTTAGGTGCTATCAAACGTCCAGTGCGGGAACCAGTGAACATCTTTCTCAGAACTTCATGGTTAAATGGATCATTTCCTAAACAATTATTAAAAAAAATGTAAAAAATGCAATGTTCAATAAATCGTAAATTCAAATAAAAAATATTTTCATCAGTAGATTAATGGAGTTGATTTTGTGCTAATATTAATAGATTTCTTTAACTATACTAGATAGCTAACTTGACTCTATCAAGTATTGGCATAGAAAAGCGTTAGTAAGAAGTATCTCCAATTTTCACAGGTCTCTTTGACACAATCCCCATTTCCATTCTCTATTCTTATTAAACCACATATTTAACTCATCAAAAGACATTAGTTGTATAACATCTTACAGACAAAGTATACAACTAATAAAAACGAGTGCAATTATTAAGACATTGTAAAGTGCATTATTATTTCATACTAAAGCTGAACATAAATACAACAACTATTTACCAATGTTAAATGTGTGCTGTTGTTCTTTCATGGAAACATCAGCCCAGCTAATAACTTGGTCTCCGTAGATATCCTTGCCAAATCCTACACCAACCATAGACTGTTGAAGATCTGAGTCCTCATACACTGTAACTGATGCTCTCATTACAGCTGGGTTACTAGAGGTAATGTATTCTTCTTGGAAACGACCTCCAGGCAAGGTAACATCATATGTTGCTAAGTAACAGCTTGCCCTTGACCTTTGACCTGAGTCGTTTTCAGCAATGACAGTGAAGTACAGAGGAACTCCTGATGTTTTTAATCTCTAAAAATAAAAGATATATAATACAATTTTAAATCCATATCAATGTCTATTTAATGCATTTAGAGCATGAATGAAAAAATATAAGATTTTAGCTATTCAAAAAGAAGATGGCTCAGGACTGTTTTAGCTCCTCTTTACACATTGTTTTATGAATATTTCTTTTTTTGACAGATACTGAACTGTTAAATATAAGACTTGGAATAGATCATTCTTAGAGGATTATTTAGCATTATCAACCATTCACCTCTAAGAGTTGTTTATTCTAACAGTATTCTTTATATATATACGTTTACGTTTGAAAGATTTTTTTAGAGGCAAGAAACATCTTGAGGAAGCCGGATTAACAGATTCAGATAATGAGGACAATGAAGAAGACACGCCCATTCCGAAATTTAGGAAGAAAAATTCTCGGAAACCACCAAAAAGTAAAAACGAAAACTTGGGAGTCATTTATTAACTATGTAAGGTCTGATTTAAAATCCTGCATAACAAATAAAAGATATTATAATTTATCAAAATCAGAAAGTATCGCTTTGAAAACATTAAAAGAACAAGAGGATATTGTAATAAAACCCGCCGACAAAGGGGGCACTGTGGTTGTAATGAATAAAACAGATTACATAGAAGAGGGGAATCATCAACTGTCAAACTCCAATTTTTACAAGCAATTAACCACTGATCCAACACAAAATACTATTGGAAAGATCAACACCACCCTTCAAGAGATGTACGACCAAAAGCATATCGATAATGACACCTTTGATTATCTTCGACCGCTTGAGAACAAAGCCAAAGCTGGAAGATTCTATAAGTTGCCTAAAATACAGAAAATTGGCAATCCAGGTCGACCAATTGTTTCAGCAAATAGTCACCAAACTGAAAAGATATCTGAATTTATAGACCATCACCTAAAACCTCGTGTTAAAGAACTCCCCTCTTACATTCAAGATACAACTGATTATTTAAAGAAAATGGAAATCCTTTATCCTTAACCAAACAAAACTTCTTTATATACAAATATTCCACAAGACGAAGGAATAGCAGTGTGTGAAGAGGTGTGGAACAATGGCAGTAACAAAAATCCTCCAACTGAGTGCCTTGTTACACTTCTGAAACTAGTGCTGGAGAACAACAGCTTCTCTTTCAATGACAAACAGTATATACAGATAGACGGCACTAGTATGGGCACAAAAATGGCCGTCATATGCCAACATATTTATGGGCCAACTTGAAAAAACGCCTCTTGGCTAGTGCTCCATAACAATAACTATTTCCACCATTCAATTAAATTTACACATGACCATCATTGGAGAAAATAAACTTCCTTGATACTACGATTTACATCCAGAATGGAACCATGATAACCGATCTCCATATGAAGAAAACTGTCAAACATCAACTTCTCATTCCAAAAAGTTGCCATCCCAAACACTGCTCTAGTGGTATCCCTTTCAGTAAGGCATTGCCAATTAAGAGAATAAGCTCAACTGAAAATAAGCAGCATGCTAGACTTGAACAACTACGTAAACAGCTAGTTGTTCGAGGATAATATAACAACAGTATAGATACAGCTTTCGAAAAAGCAAACCGAATAACCACAAAGAACTTCTTCTAGAGTACAAGGATAAGAATAAAGGAGTCAACAGAACACCCCTTGTACTCACTTACCATCCTGATTTCAAAAATGTGTCATCCATTTTTCGAAAGCATTAGAAAATTATAGAAATGACTCCAATTTGAAAAAAGTTTTTTCCTCACCACCAGTCAGGGTCCTCAGAAGACCTAAAAACATCTGTGACAAATGAGTAACAGCTGTATTAACAAAGCAACCTACTCCACCTCCTGATTGCTACAAACAATGTGGGAGAAGGAATTGTTTATTTTTTAAAGCTGCCAATACTAGCAGTTCTTTCATCAGCTCCTTTACAAAACAAAGTTATACCATCTACGTAAATTCCAACTGTAAAATCAAAAACTCAATTTATATATTAACATGTAACACCTGTGGTATTCAGTACATGGGAGAAACAATGGACAAATTTAACATTTGGCTAAATAACCATCGATCATGGTACAAAACCAACAAAAACTGTCCCCTCACCAGATTCCTTTTGATAATGTTACTTTTCAAATCATAGAATTGAACACTGAGTGGGACACCACGGAGAGAAGGAGAAGAGAAAACTTTTGGATCCACCAGCTCCATACTATAGAACCTGATGGTCTAAATGAAAAAGACGAGAAAAGATACAGGAAAGATAAAGAATAATTATGTAGCATTGTCCTTAACATCTCTGTAATATTGGCCAATGGATGTTGCAAACTTACTTCAACAATAAATAATCTTGAACTTCATTCAAAATTTGAATTTATTTCTTAAGCAGCAAACATTCACTGTACAATGAGCAGCAAAAGTTCCTTATCTGCATCCGATTTCACCTGGATAGATGCACGCTCGATGAAGCTAATTTGTCTAGCGAAATATTGCGTTTATTTTTTATCACATTGTAAATATTTTAACATTTTAATATTTACATACTAAATAGTGTGTTAAAATCACATTGTTAGGCAATTTATAATTTCATTTGTGAAATTGTATAAATCTTTGTACTGATTAATCCACACTCACATAGATTTGTATGTAATGTGTTGCTATTTATAGGCACTTATATATATATATATATATATATATATGATATATATATGTTAAACTATCTTAGAAGAAGCAATTTTACATTATTCTTATAGAAGATAGACTATTCACTTATTACAGAATTGCATATTTTTTACAAAATTCTCATGCATGATAGATCTCTTCCATCTCAGAATAGCTAATTTCAAATTATTTGGATGTAAAATAGACAATTCATTCTTACATGTCAGAATTGTCTATTTTTACATTATTCTAATGTAAATTTAAGGAAACCATTCATTCTTGCATTTCAGAATTGTACATTTTTACATTATTCTTCAGCAAGATTGACCTTACATTCTTACATTTCAGAATTGTTACAATATTCTCATGCAAGTTAGATCAACCATTCTTTCTTACATTTCAGAATTGATACAGTATTCTTATGCAAGATACACCATTCATTCTTACAATTCAGAATTGTTACAGTATTATCATGCAAGATAGATCATTCATTTCTTACCTCCTTTACTATTGTAGATGGGCCTCCCAGTTCTTTCTCCTTAAGTACATCATGACCTCCTGGAACAGTTCCAACATTTAGAAATAATTTGACTTGACATCTGTCATCTGCTGCTCTTACAGCTATCTCAAAACGAGGCTCCGTATAGTCTTGTCCTGGGAACTGTCGGACCTGGCATGGTGCAGCTCCTCTCTTTTTCTGATTAGACAAATCCCAGCATTATTGATAGATAATATCAAAATCATTTAAAATATATAAAACTTGATAAAAGTTTATGATTTTAGTTTTAAATACCATTAGTAAACTTTGTCATCCTATATAGTACTGCATAATATAGGAGTTACATAATATTGGTACAATTGTGCAGTAAAAGATTTTGGATGCAGGTTAGTGTTTTTAAATTAAAATAGAATAGAAAATGGAAACAGGGAATGTGTCAAAGAACCTGACCAAAGAGCAGAAAACAACCCAAGGCCAAAAATAGGTCTTCAACAAAGCGTGAAAATCCTGCACCTGGCTTCAGGGGGCCCCAATCCAATAATGTAAAAAAATTACTGGATAAAGGCGCAACAATGTGGCAGGGCTAAAGATATATAGAAAGAAAGTTTACCCTTTCAGCAGTTACTTTATCAACAAAAGAGTCTATTTCTGGAGCAGACTTGTCTACTTCTTTTTTAAACGTGTCCACCATCTTAGCTCTGATAGTTGGAGATTTGTATCCCCAGATTTGATGCTTATATAACACCACCTTAAATGATACAAACAGTAAATTGATTTCAAGTGTCACCAGACCTAGCAGTCTTATCTCTATCGGTGTCAGCTCCAGGTACATCGACATTCTGAAAATAAAGAACAACTTTTAAAGTCACAATTATATACATGATGTAATTTAAAATATTTAAAGAAATGTCAGCATAAATTGTTAACTGTACAAAGTGTATAAGAGCAACTTAAACTGAAAAGCACTGCAGGAAAATAAGTAAACCAACTGTCAAAATTAAAAAAAAAACTCCATTGTGCTGTTGAAAAAGATATATGGTTAAACAGAATGGACATATAAACAACACAATTCTAATTTTTCAGTCAATTATAGTCAGTTGTACTTTATTCTTGTATCCACTATTGCCTTGAGAATTTCTTAAAATTAACTCTGTTCGGTAAGGGTGTTACTGTGTAGAATTTCCATTTCAGAATACCAATGAGTCATTTCTTTTCTAATTTGCAGTTTGAATCCAACTCATCTCTCAAAATTTGAGTTGAGACAAGTTTGTAAGGGTTCACTGTACAAAAAGCTGAAATAGGCAATACATTTTTGTATGAAAACATCCAAATTTTTCAACTTTAAAAAAAATGGTTTTATAATATCTTCTATTAAAATATGTATTACCCAACATCAAGTGGAAACTTGTTGAAACCAATTTCGGCTGTTGTTGGAAATCTCAGATCCATAATTCTGCCTTCCAATCTAATTTTGCCATACAACAGGAAGCCTATTCCTAGCTCACCCCAAACTTCTACACCACCATAGGGAACTATCTGAGCATACGCTTTCATATCCATTAACTTGGCTCCTATCTCAAACTTCATCCCATAATATGCACCAGCACCAAACTCTATAAATGCAAGTTAATGTGACTTATTTTGAAAAGACTTCACTTATGAAAATGAATTTCATGTAAAAACATCACTGCTTTTATACGATTTGTTTAACTTAGATTTTGATTCTTTATAACATGTTCATGACATTTCAAATGACATTTCTGCACTAAAGTAACCAGATAATATCATCCTTTTCATTCACCAAAAAAACAATTTGTGTCCATAGGACACCATGCCCTGCTCACACAAACATATGTTCATGTTCACGGAACCTTGAACTTGGGGTCAAAATTGTAATTTGGCATTACATCGGCTTTTTTTCTATTCACCCCCAAAATAAACATGTTGTGCTTATTTTCAAGTTGATGTGACAAAAACTTCTTTGTAAACAACCTTAACCCTAAACTTTGAATTTTAAATTTAGAAAGATGTGGTATGATTGCCAAAGAGACAACTCTCCACCAGAGACCAAATGATGTAGAAGTTAGGTCACTGTACTATATTCAGTGAACCATGAAATTAGGGTCAAAGCCATAATTTGGCATAAAATTTCACATCATAATGAACATATGCACTAAGTTTCAAGGTGATATGACCACTAATTCATAGTAAACTATTGTAACCAAAAACTTATAGGACCTGAACGGACAGACTAACAGACCAAAAAATATAATGCCCCTCTACTATCATATTGCAGGGCATAATAATTCATATTCAAATTTTTGCAGTTTATCCTGAGATGCTAGAACTTTTTTGGCATTTTTTAATTTCACCTCATTAATTTATTCAAGATTGGTATTATGACTGGAGGCTGCAAAGATGGAAGTCACAAATTAAGAAGACAAAATAGTTATTCTTATTGTATATTCATTAGTGTAATGATAATTTTAGTACAAATCTATCATAATATTAATGCTGTAATTTTGCTAGGTCGTTTACATTAATAAACTTGTGTGTTTTAGTTGCAGAAAATGTCAACAGAAGACAAAATAAAAAAATTATGTTTTGAAAACCCTTACAAACTAGATGGGGCTTAATTGTAACAAGTGAAGCTGTGAGCTACTGCTCACTAATGATACCCCCGCCCCGATAAAAGTATAAGGTAAACAGGAAGTTGTTGAGTGATGAATCTGAAAACACATCACACGGTAAAGCTGACTCATATAAACCCTGAAACCAAATTTCAGAAATCCTTGTAATGTAGTTCCTGAGAAAAATGCGACGAAAAATATTCATGGGACGCACAGACGGATGGACAGACAGAGGTAAAACAGTATACCACCCCCTTTTTTAAAGCGAGGGTATAATAATTAAGAAATACAATCACAGCAATTAGATACAAGGATCAATGACTCCAAGTTTTGTTGAAATTGGTCCAGTGGTTTCAGACAAAACAAGAATGTGTCAATAGTACACCCATGCCCTACTCGCACTATCATTTTCTATGTTCAGTGGACCATGAAATTGGAGTCAAAACTCTAATTTGGCATTAAAATTAGAAAGGTCATATCATAGGGAACATGTGTACTCATTGACGTTTCAAGTTGAATGGACTTCAACTTCATCAAAAGCTACTTTGACCAAAATCTTTAACCTGAAGCGGGACAGACGGACGGACAGACAAACAATCGGACACACAGACCGAAAAACATAATGCCCCTAGGTGGGGCATAAAAATTGTTAAAAGGTTTATGATGGACAACAACTGGCAAACACTGATTGCCATCTGATGTCCCATTAAGACCAGTGAGCTAATAAATTAATGGGACAAAAATTATGAAACATAAGTGATTAGTCCTCTCCAGGCTCACTTACCAAACGTCATTATTATAAAGCCTCCAAGAATATAGGTCTGTTGGATCTTGAAGAAGGTGGCATGTTGTTTAGGAAAACTAAAATCTCCTTTCATTGGAACATCAAAGGATTTCAGTATATTCATTATCTGACCATTCATTATATGGTCAATGAACTCAGACAGCTGAAAAACAATTCGTCATAAACAATAATCTTCCTTGTATAAATTTTCTCATTTCTCTCACAATACCATACATCACCATTTCTTTTAAATTTATAGTGCAACTAACTGTTGATGGTAAATTATCAAACTGCCAGATGTTTTCTTAAAACTAAGTTAAAATCTAAAAAACAAATTTAAACTACCGTATAAACTCGCCTAATAGTCGATCCTACTATAAGTCGGGGGCCCTTTTCAGCTCCAAATTCTAAGGATTTAGTCTTGACCCTCGTATAAGTCGGACAAAATTTGGGCATTTTTTTTTCAGCTGACAGTAACTGAACGCCGGTAAAACCAATGCAAATCCAGGAATAATATTCATTTCTGCATTAATGTTTGTTTGGTTTGAATTTAGTTGATGCTCATCATGATAATTTATATTGCTGTTAATAATAAAGATGTATTCATTTCTCTTGTTTTGTTCACTGTTCAAATGTTAGATTAGCCATGTGTTGTTTACGTAATGCATCAATGATTTTGTAGGGTATGACTAACAACCTATTGTTTGAGAAAAGCGAATATAAACCAATATGAACCTGAAAAATTTAAAGTCAATCAACACTTGATGAAAATATTTTTCACAGCATACATAACTCGGTGTTAAATGAGCATGTACACTTCATAATTCTTATTATATTGTGATGATTAAAGGATTAAAAAAATTAAGTGAAGCTAATCAATATATTAAAATAACTAACTCCAACTCATTAGTGTCATCTGTTTACCTATCACTGATAGTTTTCACACCTTTAGTAAATACAACTCTTTGTCTCTTAATTGGGGTTATCAATGGATTATATTGGCTTGTCAATCAATTTTGTAATTTTTGTTTACCTGAGACACTTTAATGAATAATATTTTGATTTTGGGAATGAATCTTAAAATTATTTTTTGATTATTATATGATTTATAAGCATTGAATTGATATCATGATATCACAATAATGACACAATAACTCCGCTGAAAACATCCTTTCACATATTTGGTACATTGTTATCTCCTTTTCATTTTTGGTTCTTGGCTCTTCTTTTGGGTTTATAGGAAAACCATGTGACCATGAAAATCAATACACAAACCGGAAACAGTAGAATTTCAACACGAATTTGCAGAAAATGTTTACCAAAGAACAAATAAAACACAAAGACAGTATTGTAGTCATTTAATTTCAACAAAAACTTTTTATTTATTGATTTATGTAGGTTAGGCAATCAAAAACATAGTTTTGACCAGGAAATTCACTCCTGACCACTTTTCTCAAGCTTGGATTTTTCCTCTGGTCGCTAGATCTCGTCTATTAGTCGGTCCCCCTCTCTGGATTATGAATTTTACTCCCAATTTTCCGACTAATAAGCGAGTAGGAACGGTAGATGTGTCCGAAACGACATGATTGGCCCCACTAGCTTGAAGCCATTTTGAAGAGTGGAAACTTTCAAATTCCAAAGCCCTTAATTTCGGCAAAAATTAGTGGAGCTGAATCAAAAGTAAACTCCATTTGTAACTCATCATAGTTGACTCACATACTTTATAAAATCAGCTCAATACGTGAATGTGCTTTGAAAAAAAAAGTATAACTGTTCCTTGGGAAATGACAGAATGACAGAATGATGGAATGACAGATTGAGTGATAAGGGTAACACTATATGGCCCCAACCTAAGTCGGCGGGGCCATAACATTTTTTTACTTAAATAAAGTTTAAGATATTCTGTTCGGCCAAGTTAAGATTGCAGGCTCTAAATATTCTAAATACATTTAAATTTCAGAATATTAAGAATTGATGATGGACATATGTCTATATTTTCAAGTCTCACTTACCAAAGCCTTTGCCAAATCTTTTAGTTGTACTCCAAGTTGGTAAATAAGAACTGGGTCAATGTTTTTCATATCAAACATAGTAGCCAGGTCACCAATGGTCATGTTGGCCAGTTTCTCTCCCAGTAGCTTGATCCCAACATTAGTCAGACCACTTCCAACAACAAATGCCTGTTTTGTTCTGCCTTTTATGTCACCTGTAGCACCCATCATATCAGCTATCTCTGAACCTAGTAACCAAGATAGAAACATTTTTTTGTTTATGCAGTTCCATTGTGCTGAGCATAGTGGCACATTAAAGAAAATATTCAAATATAGGCTATATTTCATTCAAAATTGAATTTCTTTTTTCAATGATTTCTTGTAACTATCTAACCAAAATATCAACCACTTGCTTGAAAATAAGTAGTGTATTCATCTATGTATGTGGGTACCAATTTTGTTGACGAAAAAAGTTTTTTTTTTTAATACTTAATTTTGTGAAATTGTTCATATACACTCTTTTGCAATTTAAGTGATATAGTCCCATCTTTTGTTAATATGTCTGAACAAGATAAATTTAGTTTCATTTTGTAAAGTAATGATACCGACATAGGTACTGTATGTGTAGCTGTAATAAGCAATATGAATGATAAGAACATTTATTTAAAGCAAACATAATATTGTTGAGAACTGTTATAGTATTAACACTTATTGTAATAGCTTGATAACACAAAGTATGAATAATACCTCAATGCAATGTAGTTATATTATAAAATATGCGTCTCTTATCATTGAGAAAATATGTCTTTGTATATTTGTCATTGTTTATTGTTTATTTTTGTATTTGTATTTTGTAAATGTCAGCTGGTATCATTCCTGCATTGGAATTTACACCAATAAAATTATTTGATTTGATTTGATTTGTTCAAACACACAAAACTGTATGGAAAATTAATATCAATAACGAATCCACAGTCAGTAATTTGGTTTGTTAACTGACTGTTAAATGACTGCTACATAAAAGAAATAAATGGAGAATGTGTCCCCATGGACACAGATGATGCCCCCGCTTGCATACAACATTATAAAGGGACATAACTCAAGAACAATGAAAGTGAGGCTACCCAAATTTGTACTTGATCTGAGTTTTGTGGTAATAAGTATTGTTTAAAGGTTTCATAATGTTTGGTTCGGGGAAACTTAAGTTACAGAACGGATTTAAAAATTTGGCAATTTTTTATTTATAAAGGGACATAACTCCATAATGATTAAAGTGATGCCAACAAAATTCAACTTGATCTGTGTTTTGTGGTTAAAAGCATTGTGTATAAGTTTCATAACATTTGGTTGAGGCAACTTAAGTTAGAGAACGGAAACTAAACATTTTGCATTTTTTTCCATTTATAAAGGGGCATAACTCGAGAATGGTTAAAGTGACCCCACCAAAATTCTAACTTGATCTTTATTTTGTGGTAATGAGCATAGTGTATAAGTTTCAAAACATTTGGTTGAGGCAAACTTAAGTTAGAGAACAGAAACTAAAAATTTTGCATTTTTTTCCATTTATAAAGTGGCATAACTCGAGAATGGTTAAAGTGACCCCACCAAAATTCAAACTTGATCTTTATTTTGTGGTAATAAGCATAGTGTATAATTTTCATAACATTTGGTTGAGGCAAACTTAAGTTAGAGAACGGAAACTAAAATTTTTGCAATTTTTCCATTTATAAAGGGACATAACTCTAGAACGGTTAAAGTGACTCCACCAAAATTCAAACTTGATCTGTGTTTTGTGGTAATAAACATTGTGTATAAGTTTCATAACATTTTGTTGAGGCAAACTTAAGTTAGAGAACGGAAACTAAAAATTTTGTAATTTTTCCATCGATAAAGGGGCATAACTCTAGAACGGTTAGAGTGACGTACGTACGTACAGACGGACAAGGATAAAACTTAATGCCCCCTCCCCAACGGCGGGGGGCCTAAAAAGTTGATTTTAAACGGTATTTTTCTAAAACTCTCCCTATAATTGTTTTTGAGTCTCTCCCTATAATTGTTTTTGAGTATCATCTGAGGCATTTACCCCCTTCAACAGGTGATGGAGCAGCCACTTCTCCTGTTGTTACTATGGCTGCTGGATTATTCTTCCCCAAAGCCTTCAGAGCAGATTTAGGTCCTATCTTAGTATCGCCAGGTGAAATTTCAGCACCTTCCAAATTCATCAGTTTTTCTTCATGCTGTAAAATGTCAGTACAGTAATGTTAACTACATACAAAATGATAAATACCACCTCTAGTAGAAATATGTTCAAATATTTTGTTTACTGTTTATTCAATATTCTGACAAAATTGCAATTTTTGTTTTATCAAACCAAACTGCTTAACTGGTCAGAAATTTTAACCAACTGCTGTAGAAAACCACAGTCAAGCCATGAAAGTGCAAGGTGATAAAATAAAGCATACTTACAATCCTATAAGACTTTAATTCCACTTCATTGATATTAAGAAAATTAAGAAAATGATTTTAAGAATTTCTATACTTATCATTATTGCAATTGTCAATGGAAAGGTAATAGGTATGTAATTTTTAACTGTAGTTTTCTTCAGCAGTTGGTTATAATTTCTGACCAGTTGATCAAAACAAAGTGCAATTTGGTAAGAATTTTGATTAAACTGCAGTAAGTAGAGAGCAACATTTACGGTCAAGTCACAGTAATAATATACAGTTATCTGATAACTGCAGACTAGAATGTTGTTAATTTACATGCATGTTGTATGCATAAAGAAGAAATGATTTTTTTCATATCTACCTTAAATGGTAGCTTTGACAGTACCTCACATTAAAAAGTTTAGTGAAGGGCATCTCATAGCAAAATTTCATTTCATGTCTCCTGGCTTAAGGCTGGTATAAATCTAACGTTTTTTATTATTCATAACTAATTAAAAACACTGGATTGATGAGAAATGATACTAAATGCAACAATTATTCTTCCAATAAAATGTTCAGAAATGTTTTGCACTATACAAGAGGACTGCAAAACGATTAAAGTTTCATAAAAACTTAAAAGTAAAACTCTACCGAAAGTTACTCAACTGTCAAATATAGGTCAAATTGACTAACAAACAGGGGAAGTAACTTAAATATAGTTACTTCCCCTTTTTGTTTAGTTATGTGTTGTGTCAATTAAAAAAAAAAACATCCTCTTTTCTCAATATGACCTTATTCTATTGGAAAGGTCAAACACATTTTAGTCAATTTGACCTATATTTGACAGTTGAGTAACTTTCGGTAGAGTTTTACTTTTAAGTTTTTTTATGAAAGACAAATTAATAAAAGATGGTACAGATTGATAAACACATAGGACACTTTATGTCCCTTCCTGGTTTATGGCCATGCATAACAATAAATCAACTAAAATATCGAACCTCATGTTGTTTGACTTTATCAATATAGGATTCCATTTCTTCATTTGATGCCTTTCTCTCTGTTAGAATTCTCATTCCTTCATGGAAGTTGGCAGGACTTGGTCTAAAAATAATTCCAATGCATATCGTGTGACTATCATCTCTTATCATGAAATAAAATTGCACCAAACTAGTGACCTAGTGATAAAATGTTATGTCATCCTTGCATGATGTTACTTTTGGTGAATATATTGTTCCAAATTTTGGCTCTCATTGAAATCAAAGAAGATATTGCGATTAATGCTTTATTAAATGTAAAAATAATAGGAAAATGTGGTACATAATACAACTTTGTTTATTCTTTCTATTTTATTGATAAAATCGTAAATTACCCCCAAAAATATTAACTATGCATTTGTCTACAATCTCAGTAAAAACAAATCTGGACACATTTTTGACATAAACAAACATAGTTTCAATGACATTAAAAGCAATTAATTGTACAACATCCATGTTTTTTATGCAAAAACAAAAAGACCATTAGTTTGCATAAACTGGATTACATATGACATTGAATTTAGCTGTTTTATTTAATGCATTTATTTAAGGAAATAACACAGACAAATTTGTTTTAATATACAAAAATGTAATGAAAGATCAGCTTAAATCATGTTTTCTATTAAGGGCATACAATACAGTTTTGATCACACAATGATTTTTTTGACAAACAAGCTATTTTTCACCTAGTCAATTCAAATATGTTATAAATATATACCTTGGTGTGCTACTTTTAGAGATAAATGGGGTCGAAATTTTTTACATTTACTCAAAATTTTGGATTCTTGGACATTTCTATCCTGATGAGAGACATACATAACTTTTTTGTTTCAAAAGATAAACACAAGTGGATTTTTGTAAAAAAAAATTTGGAATAACATCTTTTCATAAGTAACCTCGGAACTTTTGTAACAGTTCTTTGGAAATAATTCATTTTTATCAAAATTTTATGATTTTGGAAAAAAACAGCATTTTAATTAAAAAAAAAAAATAATCTGTGATTTGTTCATAAAAATTGGCACAAATATACCTCATACATAATCAAGCCAAATGTTATTTTAAAAAAGAGGGGTCTATGTACTGGTTTTCAAGTTAATTATTATATTCAGTCCAAAAAATGCATCGTTTCCGAATATGTCACATTTTTTAGTCGCTAAAAGTAACATTTTACATTAGCAATGTCATTACCTCCCTGTATCGTATGCCCTTAAATACAATTAAATTGTGTCTCCTTCATGTAAATTGTTCAAAATGTAATATTTGTTTACAGTATCATATTCAATAAAAAAAAAACTTACTCAGTAGCCTCCCTTTTTCTCCTCCTCCTACCAGCACATGTTGGCTTTGTAATGGTTAAACTAGTTTTAGGGGTCAATTCATATATATCACATGGCTGTTGTTGAGCTAGGTAGCATGCTTGTAGAGACATTGTAACTCTAACTGACCCATGAGCATCTATAAGGGTATAGTTCAGCTGGAATGATTGGCCTAGGTCCTCTGATACTTGGTTGCCTGTAGAGTAAAGTGAAAGAGTTAAGAAGGACCTATTCTTTTACCTTATCTTTGAACCACTTCTCAAAACTTGCTGAATCAAATATAATAACCTTTAAAGTTTTCTATCATGATTTCAAAATATTTTTTGGTTAAGATTTAAGTATAAAGAAACTGTTCAAGTTTTTAATTCTTCTTACAATTTCAAAAAAGAGCCTATCCAAGCCCTGATGAAAAGCGCATGTGAGGATTCACGAAATAAAACCCAAAAAATTCTAGATTGTGCATGTATGCCCTGATTTTAATTTTGAATTTATTTCTCTTGCATAAGTTCAACATAGATAGAAAATAAGAGGATGGTTATATATAATTAGTGAATGATGACTATACATACGATTTCTGTTATGCTTGAAATGTTTTATAGGAAAGATATTTATTAGGAATGCATATGGAATTAAATGTTTCATAAATAGCAAATAAAGTACAAAAATGCTTATCTTTAATTTCTGGTTTTCTTTCATGAAGGCATATTACTAACCAGAAATGGCTGACAATCCAGCTTTAGTCCATTGTTTCCTCTCCACACTGTATTGTACCTCATCACAGGCAGACACAGTAAACTTAACATTTACATTCCTATTTCCAGATCGGAACTTCAGTGGCATGCAGCATTCAAAATTCTGTCCAGATACTGTTGCAGGACATCCTGAAATATTGATATGACTAACATTAATCATTTAAGTATAGCAACATTGCAAGTTATGAAACAATAAAAGACTAGGTTTTGATGCTGCAGTCTTTGAATAATAAATGGTCTTTTTTAAGACTTTTCGGGCACTGACTTTCTTTAGTTTCTCTGTTATCTTTCTAACCTAAATGGTAGACTAGTCACTTTTCACTCTGCATTTAGATGTTATACATTTAATCGAATTGTTTGCTAAATGGTTTAATTACTACAGTAAAGTAAAATATGTTACCTATTGGAATTTCTACACAAGATAATAAATATAGCCAACTTTAAGTAACTTTAAATAATGTTTGAGTAATTTTAGTTTCATCTGACATGGTTTTTTAAAAGGCTCTTGGTTAAGCTATTATAGGAAACAAAATTGAAATAATATGACTGCATGCAAGAAAATTGGTTAACATGTGTATGGTTATGCTGTTAAAGTCTGTCTTACATTTGGAATATGTCAAGTTACTAATATGATTTTGCTTAATAACCATGATCAATGTTTTAATATCAGGAGAGAATTCTATGTCTGATGTTATCAAACTTATAAATATAGTACAATACCTGTTCTGGCATCAGCTCCCTTTTGGACTGTACACTCTGTCAGTTTCCAGAAGTCAAAGGAAAGCCCTGTTTTTAAAGAATTAGTATCAGTACAGTCAGATCTTATTAGGTGAATTCATATTATACCATAGCACCAAACTGATTTCTACTTATCCACTCCATCTATTCAATTTGGAAACTTTTAAATGGGAGCCTAATTGAGACACATAAATTAAAAAAAAAAGATATAGACACTTGATAAATATTGTTCAGCTAAGTTAAGTTGTGGAAATTGATTGATTGTTGGTTGCTTAACTTGTGGAATTTGTGTGTGTTATCTAATGATTAAATAGAAAATGTAGAGTGTAATGTTCTGAATGGATATTGTGGAAAGAACAGAAAGAAAGAAACAGTAAGAACATAAATCAATACGGTTCAATACATTTGATAAAACTCATCAAATTGGGTTTGAATGCATGCAGAATTAGAGAAATGTAAGATAATGTCAGGTATTTGACCAATTATAAGCTTGTACTTCTCTAAATTCCAAAATAGTAACACATCACATGTTAAGTTACAATAAATGTTTAACTCTGACAAACCTTTGAATGGCATCATGTTTTGGAGACTATCACAGGAAGGAAACAGAAGATCAGATGTCTTCATCACACTGTACTCATTTCTACATGGACTTTTACCAGCCTCAAAACAGACATGGATAGCAGCATCAACGGCAAACTTTCCTTGTGATGGAATATTATGTACAGCATATCTACAGTGAAATTTGTATAAAAATTTGTAATAGAAAAACAAAGGATATGGGGTATCCATCCATGACACAAAATCAGTAAGTGCACAGCTAAAAAACACACAATAAGCAAAGGAACAGCGCTTTTAATGCTGCTCTTCATCTCAAAGTCTCAGAGAGGCCTTCAACACAGATCAAAAAAAAAAAAAAAAAACTCTCACCTGTTATACTGTTTAAAAGATTTAAAACAATTCATACAACCAATATTTCTTCTTAGGGTGCAACCATGCTGTTGTACATATTAAGGATATAGAGAAAATTTAATGATTTTTATGTACTGATTTTTAGAAATTCTTGGCTACACATTTATGTAGGAAACAGTATAGACTTTTACTTTAAGGAGTACCTCAATTCAACTCCAATGAGACAAAAACAAATTGCCAAAAGAAATAAATATATGATAAACTTACTTCAAACGGAATGCTCCATGAAGTTGTATCTCTTCATTAGTTCCTAAAAGAGACAAATATTTTAAGTATGCACAAAAACAGCACACAAAACACCCATTTGGTTGCAATGCATTATTAGTATATTACAACAACATTGTATATGTTATCATCAAATTAGGCATATGTAATAAATACTAGAGTGCACAAACTGAAATGTCTCGCCTGCTTTACTACCATGGATTTTATGTTGATAGCCCTAAATATAAAGTTTTACTACAAGTATCACATTAACTTATCATGATCCAAGAAAATGAGGTCAAGGTCAGATAAATCAAGCCAGAAATACATGTACACCTTACAATTATTCCATACGTTGAACATAGTTGATCTAAAAAAAAAATGTATGGACCTATTGGTTATAGTATACTAGAAATAGACCAAACCATGAAAACTTTATATTGACCAATTAACCATGAATATGAGGTCAAGGTCAAATGAACCATGCCAGACAGACATGTACACTTTACAATCATTCCATGGATCAAATATAGTTGACGTATCAAATATAGTATCTAAGAAACAAACTTAACCACAAAAACTTATCATTGACCACTGAACCATGAAAATGAGGTCAAGTTGAGATGACAACCGCCAGTTGGACATGTACACCTTACAATCATTCCATACACTAAATATAGTAGACCTATTGCTTATAGTATTTGAGATATGGACTTGACCACGAAAACGTAACCTTGTTCACTGATCCATGAAATGAGGTTGAGGTCAAGTGAAAACTGTCTGACAGGCATGAGGACTGTGCAAGGTATGCACATAGTTATCATATTACTCACAATAAGAGAGAAATTAACATTACAAAAAATCTTAACTTTTTTTTCAAGTAGTCACTGAACCATAAAAATGAGGTCAAGGACAAAGGACATATGACAGACAAAAACTTCATAACATAAGGCATCTATATACAAAGTATGAAGCATCCAAGTCTTCTACCTTCAGAAATATTAAGCTTTTAAGTAGTTAGTTAACGCCGCCGGATCACTATCCTTATGTCGAGCTTTCTGCGACAAAAGTCGCAGGCTCGACAAAAATCAGTATCATGCCTTACATAGTTACTAAGACATTACATTAGATTGAACATTTTTAAATACTCTGTTGTTTGTAATCAAGGTGAAGACGTGGCCATTGAAATATCAGCAATGTGAAATTTTACAATCGTGTTTAAATTATATAAACAAAATGTGACAGTATAATATGTCTAATTTCTAGTAAATAAAACTACTATAGAAGGATATCACAATCGTGAGAAGGTACATACCCCACTTATAATTCAGGAGTTGTATTTCATGCTGAAGGTCCTCTATAGTGACAGTCATTGTATATAGACATGTATTGATGTTTATAGAGGTATACAGAGACCTCCTCAGTAAGTTAGACTGGACACAGCAAGCCATAGAGTTACATGTGGATGGTATGTGACAGGCTATATCACCTGTGAGATCCAGTCCTGCTTTGGTCAGGTTAGAACATTCTGTAAAATATAACAATGCATTTATAGCATAGAATCAGAATTTCAAAAGATAAATCAAGTCCTTAAATATTAGAATTTAGTTTCTGCAAATACAGTTTTAAAGAAAACTTTTTCCAATGTTCCCACAAATTTTAATCTGGTTTCCCTATGTTTGAAAGATTATGATATCAGTAGATATCATAATCTTATGATAATACAATGGAACTATAACACATATCTTCCATATAAATACACTTAAAAAATTAACAGAAACATGCATTTAAAATCATTCTTAATCATTCTAAATCCAGATGTTCATACATTCCAAAAAGTTCTGATTTTCATATCAACTTGAAATATTATTCAAAATAAGCATATGTAAGAAAATGCTTGTATTCCAGTACTTTTAAGGCCATTTTTCCAGTAGTGCAGATCTAAAAAAAATCATTTAATAGCTAGAACTGAGAGAAACCTATAAGACCATTTGACAAATTTTCCTAAATTTTCGGCTATTAAACATCATCAAATATACTATTGTAAAACTATGTATATCAACAAACAAATCTTATAAGCTGTCAGATATTTTACCATTAGTCCAACCCTTCACAGCCAGGCTGTAGGGGGGTGTTGTTAGGTCACATCTACTGGTAGGTCCCATGTAATCATTTAGTCCTAGGTCCATTATCAAATCATTGGCTGTAACATCAGTGGCTGTAGAGGATGTTGTCAGTCCTCGGTCTGTCAGCCATTTTGTTAATGAAAATGCTATAAAAATACACAAAAAAAATCATAAACAAATACGTAGACATCAACAGACAATCCACCGAGACGGAAGGTGGAAAATATGTTGTTAGGGGCAAATATTTGACCTTCCAGTAGGTCACCAATGATCTCCATAATGAGTTGTTGCAAGGGTAAATCTATCATTCCTGAAAAAGCTGGTACGCACTAACCTTATAGTTTCCACTGAAAGTTAAAAGAAAGTGGCTAGTATGGCATAGACTGAAAATAGATGTAAGTTGATAATAGAAGATCACGTGGTCCTTGATATAAGTAAACTGAAAAGCCAGTAAAACTTAGATTATTTATATAGTTGATTTATTTTAAAATTGCATTCTTAACCAATAAAAAAATCCTTATAAATAAGAATAAAAACATAAAGATGACAAAATTCAGGTTGAAGAATTTCATGCATTCCTTGAAAGTTTATATTTACCCTTATCCAGAAATCCCTCATCCGTACAAGTTGTCTGATTGAGTATTGTATTGTTGAAGACCTGTACATTTAGCTGACATGGTCCTCCAGTCTCGTAACAGACTGATATATTGACATTGAGTTTATAGGCTTTCTCGAGGCTCAGCTTGTCTATCTGGTATCTGCAAATAAGAAAACAAAAACATTCACACTTGCTTTCTACAAATTTACACTTTTGATTTTATTCGATAATTTGGAAGTTCTGTTTACAGTCAAGTATCATACACACAATTTCCACTACTACCTAGAACTGAAATATCTATTGTGATTCATTCAAACCAGATTCTCAAGATGCTGTATCTTTTCTATCCCTACTATTTCTATGATAAATTCATACTAGGAAATGATATTGAATATATAGTACTAAAAAACATAATTTTCTGTACTTTTATTTCACTAACTGAAAGAACTTCAAAACCTATCTACACTATTACAGCCGATTTCAATGAGTGTGTAGGCAAAGGTAATATCTTTGGTTAGCTTGCTTGCTAGCTGAGCCGTGAAGTCATTGTTAGGTTAGGTAAACTACCCTCTTTTAAGAGTAGACTAGTCTGACAGATAACCAATCTATCTGTCTGTAGGACTAGGCTACTTCGAAAGGAGGGTAGTATACCTTACCTAACAATGACTTCACGGTTCAGCTAGCAAGCAAGCTAACCAAAGATATTACCTTTAGCTACACACTCATTGAAATCGGCTGTAATGAATCTATCAACATATGAACTTACATTAATTTAACTATTCCAAACATGGAGAATGTAGTCTCAATACCTGTAACCAAAAAATAAGAATCATTATTCCTGTTAACATTAACAACATATATCTTTTTTTATAAGTACATGTATATAAAAGCTCTCATGATACATACAATCAGATCTAACAATACAAATCATGAAACTAATGTTATGGAGAATCATCAGTTTAAATGACTATGAAATTTTTCAAACAGATTGTCTCAATTTAGTGAGCCTCTATTCTACTTTTTAAAAAATAAGGTACATTTCTTTTTTAATAATGAAAATGAGAGTAATTGTTTCTTATTAGACCTACAATTTCTTTACAAGGGGGTTCAATGAAAATGTTTGTTGGATTTTCCATATCATATTTTCCTGAAGCATTGATGAAGATGGATGACTGTATAACACCTAGTGGCAAATCAAATGCATATTCAGGACAATTACATGCTAATGTGTTATGAACATGATCCCTGCTTTGAATACTACTAGACCAAAACGCTGAGTCTGAATTTTAACGTGCTAGTTCTCAAGTTAACAGTTCGCAGGAAAACATGTCACCCTACCAGACACATTATTTTGACTCTGGACTGACTAGTCTTTGCTCTTATTCCTAAATGCTGCATGTTTAGCTGACAACCAGCAACACCAGTTTTCAAGTCTTTGGTTTCACCCTGCAGGGAATAAAACCCATGACCTCTCGCATGATACCACCAGTCCACTGAGGCAGTTATCTGAATTATTGATTTCTTTGGAACAAAGATATTTACTGATATAACACATCAAACAAATATATAAATGACATTGTCCTACCATATGGAACTTCATTCAATCTGATACTAGTCTGTCTTTCTCCAATCTGTATATGTAGTGTGTTTCTACAGTCAATGATGCTTAAAGAAGTTTGGATGGAGGTATTCAGTAATGGTGTATCTATACAACACTCCAAGGCTGTACAGGAGGTTGGTATTGAACATACCACACCACTTCCTGATAAATCTGGTACACTCACATCATTGACACATTCTGTAAAACATAAAAACAATTAAGTAATGGTGTATCTATACAACACTCCAAGGTCGTACAGGACGTTGGTATTGAACATACCACGCCACTTCTTGATATAACTGGTACACTCACATCATTGACATATTCTGTAAAACATAAAAACAATAAAGTAATGGTGTATCTATACAACACTCCAAGGTCGTACAGGACGTTGGTATTGAACATACCACACCACTTCCTGATAAATCTGGTACACTCACATCATTGACACATTCTATAAAACATAAAAACAATTACTGTAAATTCAAAAATTAATGCGTGCATTTGTTATTGTGAATCCTTGACCATTAGCACAAATTCCAAATCTAATTTATTTGATTGCACAGATTTTTTGTAGGAAAATCACTTCAATATGAGAAAATTATTCTTTAAAATGATATTAAACCTATAATATTAATGTAAGACCACAATTGAAATAAGCCTACCATCAGGCAGCTTACAGAAAAACATTTCCTTTATATGATGTTCCCATAGAAAAAGTACATATTGTTGTTATATCTCAGGGATAACATATTTGCTATTGCCCTCATAGCCAGTCAGTAAGTGTATATCATCCAAAAACAACCATTTGCCATTTCCTTACTCAACAATAAATGGATATCTTTTGGTTATTTTTGTTGTTCGGTTGCTGTCTTATTGATGTTTATCCCATTTCTACACAGTTTCTTAGTTTTATCAATAGCTAAATTAAATTTTAAAAGTAAAATCCTTTTGAACAATGATGAAGTAATATTACCAGAATTCCAGCCATTATCAGTAATCATAAACTGACTGGACACATTATAACACTGTTGATCAGACAAGAATCTGGATAGTCCTAAATCTTCTCTAAGCTGGAGAATGGCCCATTGTGGAAGGATATCTGTTCCTACTGTTCTTGTCAAGTATTTCTCTGACAGCCATTTAGTCAATGAGAAATCTAAAGAAACAGATGAATGATGGATTTAGCTTTTAACAGATATAATAGTGATCAATGCTAATTTAAAATTTCATGAAAAGTAAATAATGTTAGCACCAGAGTTCACTGTAAGTTTAATCAGCTATTACAAGAATTTATATTTGAAACTATTAGTCAACAGGAAACAAGTAATGCTGCATACAAATACTTCAATCAGAATTTCAAAAGTATGTTCTAATTAAAAATGATAGCAGTTTGATAAAAATATACCAGGAATAAGAAAATACGTGTAAACAAACCTTTGCCTGCTGACCAATCACATTTTGTCTGTGGTAATTTGACATTACTTAATACAGATGTACTAAACACACAAGGTCCAGTTGTTTCAAAACACATATGTAGATCAAGATTCACAAGGTAACTGTCTTCTGATTCTAGATTATGTACTGAAAAACTGAAAAAAAAAAATAATACTTTGTCAAAGTGATAAAACTAACAAGTCATATCAAAGGTTTTAATGTCATAATGTAGTGTCAGTATTTGAACTTTAAGGAAATAAATTAAATTATTGTAATTATTCTGCTATTTTTACTGAAGGTGATATCCATTTTTCAACTTCTGAATAGTTATCACAGACATAACCAATGCCAAATATAAAAAGGAAAAGAATTACATCTAATCAGCCATTTAAATTAAAATTACAAATGAATTTTTATATAATATAACAAACTGGTGTTCAAGCATACGATCATAAAACTTTACTCAGTACTTGGAGTACAAAATTTGTGCTTGAAACACCAAATCCAACATATTGATTGGTTGGATTCTGAGTCTGAGTACAAAAATTGTACTCCAAATGTTTATGACCGCAAGGCCAGGAAAACTTGTCACTGCTTCTTAAGTAATGTTTAAGTGAAATTTATCAATAAATCAGGTGTAAAAATATCTCCATAGTGTTGTACAATATGCTGATGTAACAAATCTCATAAAATAATGGCACTTACTCTGCTCTGAGAACTCCTAACAAGCTTAACTGTTCCAGAGTTCCTGTAACAAAATATAACATTAATCCTCATTCTTTAATCCAAAGTAGGTTATCAAAATTTTTTAAAAAAATACAACATTACTGATACCCTCTTGCTTAAAAATGGTACCAGATTTAACAGTGAATAAGTCAAACCAATAGCTTTATTGAAGCCCTTTTAACAACTGGTCAATCTATCGTAATTAGAGTCAATACCAGAAGTTAAAACCTGTAATTTCTGCTAGGTAAAAGTTAACTAAATTTTAATAAGATTTATTCTGTTGCTGTAAAAATAATTTATTACCTTAATAGGAAAAATTATGTTGATCATATTTTTATTCTAAAAAACATAAAATATATTTCGTAATGATTACTTCATGACAACCTTATGTTGGTATATGTTTTTACCATACAACACTCATTCTACAAGACCAATAAACTTCAAATAGCCTGACAAAACAGTTATAATGAAACCATACCCCATGTATAGTTCAGAAGTGACACATCCTTAGTTAGTCTTTCTAGCTGTATCGTCAGTTTCTGTTGGCAGTGGTCTATTGACATAGAAACCATTAAGGTCCTTCCTACTTTATCAACATCAATACAACAGTCCACAGTAGAACATGTGTAGTCTAAATAACAACTCAGTGGGTCTGTCAGGTCACTTAGACTAACATTCCTTGTACATACTGAAAATACAAATCATCATTTAATTTAGTATTGTTGGCATGGTAACTACAAGGTGAATCTTTAAGGTCACTCAGACAGATATTCCTACTACATACTGAAAACACGAAACATTATCTATATTGTTGGTATGGTATCATAGTGGGTCAGTCGGGTTGCTCAGACTGAATTCCTTGTACATAATGAAATCACAGATTCAATACTTAGTACACATTAGACAAAATGCATATAATACATATTTTGTGTGTTTGCCAAAATATCTTACAGTTATTCCATCCTTGTTGTGAAGGTATATAAGGATTACTGGATCGACTACATGATGGAGATTTAAGGTAGTATGATAATCCTAGATACTGGAATAGTTTGGAAGCCATGTTGTCTGATAGCTGTGATGCTGGTGGTATCTTGTGATCTATCATCCAGTCTGACAAGGAGAAATCTACAAATATTAAAAAAAAAATATATTCATTTTCATTGTATGACTTTTTTCCTTTCAAAATATTCACAAATATTATCTAATTCTAATACAGGACCTTTTTTTTAGCTTACTATGCGGTATGGATTTTGTTCATTGTTGAAGGCCAAATGGTGACCTATAGTTGTTAACTTCTACAGGTCATTTGGTCTCTTGTGGAGAGCTGTCTCATTGGCAATCATACCACATCTTCTTATTTTTATAATAAGTAGTTTTTCATCCCTTTCCTGCTGGCTTATACATGATGCATCATTATTTATCTTTTGATTTTTCTTCTTCAGAATATCTAAATGAGTAATTTCTTAATTACTATGAATCACTATAAATAGAAATATAACAAAACAAAATATTTATGGTTCACCAAACAATTGCTGGTTCTTACAATTTTGAATTTATACTCTTCATTTGGGAGGAGAATAAATCTAGAATTAATATCATTGTAACGACATACTGACATTTTCAGAAATAGAAAATTCGGAGGAATAAAATACTGTGCCCTACAAGATAAATAAATGATGCACATAATCATACTAGACTGAAGCAAGAGGTGCATGTGAAGAAATAACCAATATGAAATATATAGTAAGGGCATAAGAAATTCCCATTATATAAAACCCGGTGATGATCGGATATGATTCTTCAGAAGAGTAGAACTTACTTTTATAACAGCAGTTCTTTTTCCAGTATCTGAGTGATATTGTGCCTTTTATACTTACTAGCCACACTAAATCCTGTATCCCATTCACACTGTAGAATTGGTAACAACACATTGTCTAGAATAACATAGTTCTGTTCACAGGATTCTTGACTTTCTGTACAAACTGATACATTCATGGACATCATGTAGGAATGCTCTTCACTAATCTTCTCTATGGCATACCTACAGGAAAGTCACAGTATTGTTTTACATTTTGTTTGTTGTGAAGATAATTTGCATGTACACATGGTTAAGAATCAATAAAGGTTCATTGTAAACTAAATTTGACTATACTGGTCAACAACTCTTAAGCAATAAGATTTTTGTTGTATTTAGCATCCTACTACTGTTTACTTCAGTCCTGCAAATCAAATTGTGTGTTATATAGAGATATGAATACTATTATTCCAATTTTTTAATCAATGTATATCTTTTGAATGAGAGTACAATACCACAATAATATGAAGACACAAATATTAGCAAATATTACTTTTCTTGAATCAGCATTCTTTAACAGGCAAATTGCATGTGCAACATGTCACAATTTGTCTTGCAGTTTTTCTTATAACATTAAATAACTAATACTCACGAGACAGTTACTACTCCTGCTATAGAAAACTGGCTCAACTTTCCTGCAAAATATATTACTTCATAATAAAATTTAAATTATTCAAAGGAAAAAAACTTCTTTTTTAAATTCTTTAACAAGCACATATATATATACCTTATATTAACCAATGTTAAACCAAGCAAAAAGCACAATATGTGAAGTCATTGCAATCTTTGATATTTTGTTTACCTTTTTTGTTGGCATCATATATTGTATTTAAATTTGCAAATATTGAGCAGAACAAAGAATTCTCTTATATTATTTTGAAAATACTAAGTTTAATATATTGTTCTTATTCTTTAAAAGATATAAATTAAAATTACAATTAAGTAATAATTTAAAAGAGAAATCAAAAAATCTGTGCCATGGGAGGTAACTTTAAAAATGTTTGTTATTCAGGAGGAGATAATTAAACTGGAATATCAACCTTTTTTATATTTTCTTGTAAAATTCCTAAAAAAAAGTTAATAAGATAAGATAATTAAGATAATCTTTATTTCAGACTCAAAAGGTCCAAATAATTTACATAACACAAAATTTTCTTAATATAATTCTGCAAATAAATATAGAAAATGAGTGTTCAAAAAGTTTTTTTCCATGTTTTGAATATAAAAGGATTTCTAATTCTCAGTAACAAACTTAAAACACCATCTACAAAAAGACTCACCAAATTCATACTTGGCCAAAGATATATTGTGAATGTAGTTATCTATTCCAACACTGACCACAAACTGACATGGATCCACTATAACTTTTGTCTGGAAGTCTCTGTCTAACTGGTCAGCATGTAGGCAACACTCCATGCCAGTACAAAGGGAGGAAATCTGACAGGGGATTCCAACATCTGGTGTAGACGTCCAGGATACAGTTGTATTAAGAGGACAGGCTGAAATACATTTGTAATCATATAAGTCTTGCTGAATTGTAAAATGCCTATTGCAATTTAAATGCTTAACTTAAAAAGTTCTGGAGATAATGTCCAGAGAAAGGACCATTTAACAGAGGCTTCATTCCATACTCTGCCTTGAGATATTTATACATTATAAAAAATAATAATGTGACAACAAAATGTAATCATCATTTAAATCTTTAGAAAAATAAATTAGGATCCAAGAAAAAAATGCAAAAGAATATTGAATTTAATTGTTAATTTATGCATACATGCAGTAAATTATGACAATTGCTTTTAATCAGAAACCATATCAGACTCACTATTTCAAATATTTTTACTAAAAAAATCAGATAACCTTTGAAACACAGATTCATTAATCTCCAAAACACCAAAATCCTAGATGAAAAAAGTCATAATTCTTCAACATTAAATGTCATATCCCTCAAAAATCAAACAATTTTTGTATTTAAAGGTTCATAACTGATTAAACATTAACATTTACACACCACCACTATAGTAATGTTCAAGAATACAAAGATTTGTAAAAAAGACATGCTATAAATCCTAACCAGAGGATATTGTTAGTACAGTCAAATCTTTATTAAGCAGTCACTCATGGGAAGTACCAAAAGTAAATGCTCAATGGAGGTAGCTTTTTAAAAGAGGTTCCAAAAATTCAGATTCTGACATCACCCGTGGCCAGGATTCTGGCAAATTGTTTTAGTGCTTTCAGTCCATAGAGTTATTGTTCATTCAAATAGACAAATAAAAAATGGCAGATTCCAGCAATGTAATTTTGAAAAAAACCTTTGAGATGTTTAATATTCATGGAGAAATAAGTCTGTGGTGCAGTTTTCAAAGAAACTGAAAGGAGAGGAAAACAATTAATTCACGAATTCACCTCCTATTTCACGATCACGGTTGCAAAAGGTTTGATTCTCATTTTGACTTCGATACTTAACACATATATTTTTCGTCATGATTATAATGGTAGTTACAAATTTTAAAATGACCATTGTTAAAAGTCGAAATGACGACTTGGTGCAAAATTTAGGTGACAACTGACTGTGTTAGACAAGTGACCACTTCAAAGAGTTAAATTATATAGAGAAAAAGTTTGGGAGGGTCTGAAAGTGACCCTTAGAGGCAGGTGACTGCTGAAACAAGGTGACTGTTTTGGCAGGTTTGACTGTACAATGATCAAATAAAACATAAATGGTACCATCAGTCCAAACAGTCTGGTTAAACATGGCCGTATTCTTTCCACACTCCTCCTGTTGTAGATATGGAGAGATTCCTAGTTTCTCAAACAACAATGATTTGCCATAATCAGGTAAAGGAGCATAAGGATTCATTCCATTGTGTGAAGCCTTCCAGTTTCTCAGTGAAAAATCTGAAAATAAAAACATGAATGAAAATAACACTTTTTAAATTTGTACGTCGGAAGAGCTTTAATAAAATATTTAATCTAAAATTAGAATTATTGGTATTGGTGTTAAAGTACCTAAATTTGTTACCCATAAAATATAAATATAAACTTTTGCAAACTGTAACACAAAAAATAATACTTCATTTATATTTGTACAAAGTATACTTCCTTTCTATTTGCTGGTTTAAAAAAAAATCAAAGACTACTTATTCCTCTTGAAAAACATTAAGGCAAATATTTTGTGATGTATATTTTTTCTTCTTCTTCAAAATTTCACAAAAAGTTGCCTGTCCCATCTGCAACTTGAGTGGGTCAGAATTGAAATCTTTTTTGGCTGCACATCATGTCTAAAAGTTACATAGTTTATCTAAATTAAGACAAGAAATACAAATTGATTCTGCATTTGCTAAGTTATTTATTTTAACAGCAATATAGTTAACGATTTTTTACCTTACTGGCAAGATATTCACTTAGTTAACTCACAACATAACTGAACATAATTCATCAGGTATATTCTCTCTCATTTTGAAAGTTTCTTAAAAATAAAACTTACTAGCAATATAGTAACTGTTGTCCATGACACACAAGTCTTTAGGTAATCTGCTTTTGTTAAGAACTATAGTTGTATTACAGGGTTGACCATCTTCAAAACATTCACTCATATTGAGGCTCACTACATAAATTCTCTCCCCTGGTAAATCATCTATAGCAAAGGACAGATGGAAAACACCAACTAACCATAAATCTTCTATCTGGCCTAAAAATGATAAAAATTTGATACATAATTATGTCAGGAAAAAATTTGCCATATCAGTTCATGTGTTTCCTAGGACATTAATGAACAAATTTTATTTCATTAAAAGCATGAGGTGTGTACAATGGTTACCTATTGGTAGCTTCCTTATAATTTTTGCAACCAAGCAATTGTCCAAAGAGGACAAAACTTAACTGTTTTCTCATAACACTGAAATTCTAATTATAAAATACAACTGCCAATTAAATAAACCAACTAATCAACAAATATTGATGACTTTACCTACAGTTTGATATTTCCTACCTTGTACATGTATTAAAAGTATATCTCTCATTACTACAAAAAATTTAACATTATATCTTTCATTTCAAGGATAACTTTAATACTAAATGTTAACTTAGTTTTTTACTTCAAAAGAAAATGTTATATACTATATTAGTATCAATGTTTTTAATCATTTTCAGCTTGTTGTCATCTCAGACCATAGAAATCAGTGACATAGTCCAATTGTGCTGACATGGCAATAAACTAGCATTAATCAATCATATATGTGATATTTTTAGGAAATACCTACCCCATTTGTAGTTAGTGAGGGAGATGTTTCTTCGGAACTTCTCTATGCCTACTATCAACTCATATGAACAAGGATCAATGTGAAGGTAAAATCCAAAGGACCTTGGAATGAAGTTAACATTCACACAACACTCGATACTGGTACAGTCATATGTCAGGTGACAGGAAGTAGGATCAGGAATGCTGGGCAATGACACTGATTTGATGCAGGCTGAAAAAATGATTTACAAAATAGGCAAATAAAATGTTGAATTTGATAGTCAATTTCTTAGCATGTGTAGCTTGAAGAAAAAACACAGACTGCTAGTAATTTTTGTTTGTATAATTTACAAACCTTTTTTAAAACATTATTTGTGATGACATATTTTCTGTGATGATTTATATATTATATTGGGGTTGGTTTTTTTTAGCCTTTTTTTATGCTCTTTATACTGTTTTGTGCATTTGGCTTCTCGAGTGTATCTGATGAAGTTAATACCAGAAACATGGATCAATGTATAATTACTCCTTTTATACTGCAATACACAAAACTACATACACTAGGTGAGTTTAAGACATGAAATAGACTATACAAAAATGCCCCATACCTCTAGTCCTTTATAATCTCTCAAAATAAGGTTTAAGAAAGCATATTTTTCATGATACATTTTTTTACAGTCAATACAATTTGACTGAGTGAATAGCAGGGTTGCAGTATAAAATTATTAAACTTTCCTAAGAATATCTAATATCTAAAAATACATTATAATCCACTCAGATAGAAGTTACTCAGGTGAAACACCCAAGTACATATCAGTCTCAGCATGTCCTCTGAATAAACTCACCTTTGTTCCATCCATTAGTACTTGGTGTATATGTGTTGTCACTGCGTCTACACTGTTGAGTATTGAGATATGAAGAGATACTCAAGTCATTGAGTAGGTACGATATCATCCAGTCCTCTAATTTGGCTCCTGGTACTAAACTGTACTCGTTGTACCAGTTGGATAAGGAGAACCCTGTAGTTATAAAGATTAAGATTGACAGAAAATGTAGTGAAATATCTTCAAGTCTACAGCTTAGTTTGATGCTGCCAAAAATAAAATGGGGAAAATTTTTTCAAATGTTTTAAGAAAATTTTTCCATTTCATGGAATTTGCAACTAAACAAGTTAAAGTTGGGTATTAATTATAACTAGTCATCAATCTATAAAGGTGCTTCCTTTTTGTTAGCTAATTATTTTTTGATAATTAAAAGATATCAGTAAAGGCCACTGATTGATTCAAGATATTAATTAAAAATAGACAATACCAATTGACCTTGTAATTTCTTTGTTTGATAAAATTAATTGTTTTTCTTGTTCAGAAAAATTAAAGATAAGCAAAGTCCAACAATTATACAAGTCACAATTTTTAGGGTAGTTTCAAATTCTACTAGTCCAACCACATGACTCTAATTACCTGAGGGTATAGAATGACTTGACCAATCACAATGCTGTTTAGGTAGTTTGGTATTCTTTAATACTGTGAACTTTTTGTCACTGTCACACTGTGGCATGTTAGTCTCGTAGCAGAACATCACCTCTATATTTACTAAGTACATCCTCTCTGTCTGTAAGTCCTCTATACTGTACCTATCAACAAAGAAATGATATATCCTTAGTGAGACTACTAATAAACCCCACTCCTCAGTATCCCAGAAGAGATTAACTACATAAGACAAATTTTAACTGAATATTTAACTTAATTAGTGATCAGAAGTTAATTAACTTAATATAATTGCCAAAAATATATTCTGTATAAAGTCAAAATGCAATAGAAATGTAGAGTAGAGGATACCTACGATTCAAGTTTTTTTCAGAATATATGAATTTTTACCTTCAAATAAATTTACTTTTAAAATGTGAAATGAATGTCTTCCAGGAACAATAACAATTCAGAATAATAGTCTTTTTCTATGGTATAATATTAATTCTGATTTCTGATACAATTTATTTTCCTTAGACATCCAACCGGCCAGATCCCATCCAAAACAATAAATAATGTTCACTGACCATCCCATTCAAATGAGATAATAACATTAAAAAACTCATAGTTCATATATCATAAACAAATAACCTCACAAGAATAACACTCACCTAACTCTGGCAATGCCTTGCATGCTGAAATAATTATCTTCTCCTGAAAAATCAAAAAGATTGTAAAGTAAAAATATTACAACTGTATAAACAACTTTGATATTAGTTTTTCTTACAATTAAAGAACCTTAGTGAGCGTGCTCACATATCCCACGTCCCAACAATGTCATTGGAGAAATAAAATAAGTGTAAGAAAAAAAAATTGAATCATAATTTCCTGTCAATATGCACATCTACATAGTATGTCCTTATTATCTACACAGTTTCATGAAATTCTGTTGTGTGGTTTGAGAGAAGTTGCGATGACAAAAAAGTTCAAAGGGGCGTAACTCCTGGAAAAAAAATTGAATCATAATTTCCTGTCAATATGCACATCTATGTAGTATGTCCTTATTATCTGAAAAGGTTTCATGAAATTCTGTTGTGTGGTTTGAGAGGAGTTGCGATGACAAAAGGTTGCAGTAGTATATTGGGCAAATAAGTTCAAAGGGGCGTAACTCCTGGAAAAAAAATTGAATCGTAATTTCCTGTCGACATGCACATCTTCGTAGTATGTCCTTATTATCTGAAAAGGTTTCATGAAATTCTGTTGTGTGGTTTGAGAGGAGTTGCGATGACAAAAAGTTGCAGAAGTATATTGGGCAAATAAGTTCAAAGGGGAGTAACTCCTGGAAAAAAAATTGAATCGTAATTTCCTGTCGATATGCACATCTACGTTGTATGTCATTATTATCTGAAAAAAGGTTTCATGAAATTCTGTTGTGTGGTTTGAGAGGAGTTGCGATGACAAAAGGTTGCAATAGTACATTAAAGTAAATAAGTTCAAAGGGGCGTAACTCCTAGAAAAAAATTGAATCTTAATTTCTTGTTGATATGCACAACTACATAGTATTTCCTTACTATCTAAAAAGGTTTTGTGAAATTCTGTTGTGTGGTTTGAGAGGAGTTGCGATGACAAGAAATAGGACTGACGGACTGACGGACGGACAGACGGACGGACAGACGGATGGGTCAAAAACATTATACCCTCCGCAACTCGTTGCGTGGGGTATAATTATCATTCAATCTTTTTACATACTAACCATTACTAAAATATTAACACAGAAATGATACTATGCATAACGGATCAATACTGAGTGCTACTCCCTTAATACATTTCCCAGGGAAGGCACTTCAAAATCACAGCAATGGGTGAGTGTCAAAGACTTTTTTGTATTGTGAAAAAGTAAATGAAATTCTAAAATTTGCTTCTTTGGGTGATAACCCTATTTTTAAAGTTCCTTCGCTGCATACCCTGTCTGTTTTAATGGAACAGCCCTAAGTAACTATGACAATCTCTTCAGTTGACTTGTAGTAGCATTCATGCCATGATTGTGAGAGACCATACCAAAGACATTTAATTTTGTATTTTTAGCTTTTTAAATTGCTTTTTTACAGAGATTGAGTCAATCACATGGGATGACATATCTTCCAGTTGACTGTGACTTTGTGAGCTTACATACTAATAAATATAAGGCTACAGTAGTATCATCATGCAATGGGGTCTGTCTTAGTACAAAGCAGAATTCCAATTCATTTTACACCATGTTTTTATCCTGAATAAGCCTGAATATCCACTTAACATTAATCATCCATGAATCCCCACAACAAAGAACAGGAATCACCACATTCAGCTTACCCCATTTAAAGTCTGTCAATGTCCTGTTATACATAGTCTTCTCTATACCAATACTGAGTCTATTCTCACAAGGATCTAGCTGGAACATTACTTCAAATGTTTGTTGTAAGAACTGGTTATAGCTACAACAAGTCAGGCCTGTACAGACATCTGAGATGTGACAGGCTACCTCTGGTTTCAGTGTTGGCAAGGTCAGGTTCATGGAACAATCTGATAATAATTAAAATTGAATACAGTACTTCTGATTATAATGCCAAACAATTTATTTTCTGTAATTCATTGTAATCCCCCCAAAAAAAATTCAAAGATGTTCACAAACGAAACTTTCCAGTTAAAATCCTGGAAAACTGACCATCTTACATCTGTCAAAAATTTTAAAACTTTACACTTCAGATAAAGAGCTCTGTCACTATATCAATGTGGGTTTAGTCAGTCTAGTTCCTTCATATATTCAATACAAAATTTTTAAGGTATCTTCAAGCTTATTCAACTAAACAGAGCAAGGGAGGTAACAACATTTATTGTCAAACATTGAACACGTTGTTCATCATTTGATTTATTTTCAGTTTTTCATACAAATGACAAAAAATATTGTTGTTACCACTTTTATGGTAATTTGTTTACTATAAATCATCCCAGTATATCTCTCGATACAGTTGGCATATGATTTCTTCAATAGGGCATCCCTGGCTTTATGTATGACAACTAACTATACAGACATCTTTACCTTGTGACCATCCATTATTATAAGGATGAACAGCCCTGTCACACTTGTTATCTAGGAAGTAAGCTGCCAGGTTAGTCTCTTCATAGAGTTGATACAGCATGAACTTTGGTAAGGCATCTGTAGGTTTAAATCCTCTGTGTGATAACCAACTATACAGGGAAAATCCTAGAAAATAACAAAAATACTTTGGAAAGTATTAATTTTCTCCTGTCTGAGGACATGAAAAGTTGTAAAATTTCAGAAATGATTAAAAGATTTATGTGCATATGGTTTTTTATAACTACTAAATATACTAATGGCATTGGTAAAAAGTCTTCAATCAACTTGTATTTAATTAATCAAAAAGTATTTTTCTTACCTTTGATGAAATAATCAGACTTCCACTGACAAGCTTGTTTAGGTAGTAAATGATTTTCAAAGATAACCACATGAGACTCTACAGCTCCACTGGCTTCAAAACTGGTGGTCAGGTTCATATTGATTAGGTACTTCTTCTCTTCATATAAGTTGTCAACTGAAAATCTGTCGGTAGAAAAAGTCAAAATAAGAGAATGTGTGTTTTCACCCCTTTTCAGGATAAGTTGAGTGGTGTCAAAAGGGAAAGAAAAATCAATAGCATCAAAAATAATAATGATCTTTCAGTATTTATTCATTACCAAACCTCATTTGATCAATGTGAAAATTCCATTCCCTAAACAGTAACTGAAGTTGAAACCCATATACTGCTTAAAATGGAGATGCATGAAAGCTTATGTCAAAGCATATACAATTTTAATGGACAATAATTAGTATACCTTCATATATAATATAAGCATAATAAAGGAACTAACACACAAACAGTGCATACATATCTGAGTGTACCCTACAAGTTATCTGAATGGCATGCCTCGCCTCATACATTCTTGCAATTAAGAGGCAAGCTGTAACATTTATCAATAGTCTATTGCAAATGTTTATTCTGAAATGAACCTAAAGGGTCAATACAAGAGGATCGCAAGTATATTCCTTGTGTGGAAAATAGATGCATTTACATTTGTATGCAAGTTTGTCCGCCATTACTTAAAGTCAAACAAGTTCTAGTAAAATTTTGCGTCACAATTAAAAATATTTGACATCATAATTAAAAAGTGATTGTTGCAGAACGCCAGAATGTTATTTGGAGACAGTTCTACAGTCATTAGGAGCAAATTAGCTAAATACCCAAAAGTGTGAATACGTTTATTCCACCTACTGTATGTCTTAGCTCCTGTAACACTCAAATCAGAAAAGACAAAAATGTTTTAATTTGGGTTGAGTGTAAAGAATGAAAATACAACTAATACATTGAAGACATAACTATTCTAAAATTGTTACTTAAAAAAAAAGAGCAACACATTTCAATGTAAACACTTACTGTATCAGCATTACTCCATACAAGTCAAAATATTCTTGTTTTCCTGAAAATATGATTACACAAATTAAAGATGACATAATAAAGGGGCATCTTTAACTACCTTAAATTTCATAGTCTTTTATATAATTTTCTAACCTCTGATATTCTTATAATAAATCTCATTTTTCAATTTACTGCCTTAAATTTCACAATAAGTTATGTTATAAAATTGGTTGGTCTTTTTTCAGACAAAAAGACAAAAAAAGAAATAGCCATACCAAACCAAGAGCAATTGAAAAATCAAATTTTGTCATGATATGTTAGTTACATATAATGTAAATATTCATCTATATAAAAAAGTATAACTATACTATAGGAGACCTGTGAATGTTGTGAATTTTCATAAATTTTTCTTTAGAATTTGTTTGGAATTTATTTATATTAATACATTGTACTTGATTGAATAAGACATTATATTTCATGCTAAGACATTAAACTGAATTTTTATAGAAGAGTTTAAATTTACATTAATTTCTCGGAAAGGAACCATACGTCAACAAAAAAGATCTTTTAACATAATATTTGTTATAACATTCTACCTATCTGACTCGAATATTTAGTTTGTTGAAGCCTTGCTCTGTTTTCTAGGCCTAATTTTGGTTGAAATCTGGACAATTTTGTCTAACTCTCAAAAATCTCTATATTTGGCCTATTTGGGATGTAAAAAACAACACTTTAAAATAAAACTTTGAAAAAAATATTGTTACATGTCTTTTTAACAACTTCAAAATTTTTATCTTGAAATTTTAACTTACTGTAGATTCATTTAATTTCATGGGTACCAATTTTCGTGATTGAGGAAAACTTGCATTTTAGTGGATATTTAATTTTGTGGCTTTGGCAAAGTTTACATACATTCCTTTAGAAAATTTGTAATTTGTTGAACATTTAAATTCATGGTTCCCAAGTACCCACGAAATCCACGAAAATTGGTATCTAACGAATATTAATGAATCCATAGTATTAATCATGGAAATATATGGCCCTAACTAAATTACTCCTTTGAATCCTTGAACATCCTATTTATTGGGATAATAAAATGATTTATGAGAAGAGAAAAAAACATGTACTTGTATTTCTCAATTGACTAAACTTTCAAGTATGTTGAAAATGTCTACATGTCTTTTGCTTTTTCTTTCCTAGGGTTGTTGTTTTATTGATGTACACTTCACATCTTTTATTCATATGTATGCAAAATCATGAGGCTTTAACTGTATTTACCCCACTGGTAATCAAATAAGGTCAGTTCAAAGGTCAACTTTTCTATCCTGACAGTCAACATGAAGTCACATGGATCGATCTTGACTTCTGCTTCCATTGAGGTACTGAGCAGTCCTATATCCATACAACATAAGACATCTGTACAGGTTTGGTCAATATAACAGTTTATATTGAATGGTAGAGTCTTCAATTCAGACATGTGGGTACTACATTCTGTAAAATTGTTACATAATTTGTATCAAATCTGTGATCGCTGTACATGTTTTCAAAAATGAGAATTTTCACAATATATTGCATACTTTTCAATTTCAAAAACTTGAGTCTGTTTGGCTTCAAAGTTACAATAGAATAACATGATTACAGCAAGTTGGTGATAAAGCAAACAGAATCCATGATAAAATTAGAGAAAAAAACTATAAAGTTCTAGGTCCTATGCAATAATAATTTTAGTCCTTTATGGCTCCATACATGCTACATATTATGGATAACACTGGAAAGGTGTCAAAATATCATTATCTAACAAAATCAGATGAAAGTAAATATGAATGTTTCTTGCGCTAAGACTAAATATTGATTCTGTTCTTTAATTCTTACTAAATTGCCAACTGAAACAGATGGATTGTGTTGTCAAATTATGTTTTAAAATTACCTGTTCTCCATCCATTGAGTGGTGGGCTGTATGGAGAGTTATATCTCTGACAAGCTTTATCACTGAGGTATGGAGCTATACCTAATGTCTCCTTCAGTTTAGAGATTTCGATCGGAGATAATGCACTGGTTTGATCAATCCCATGCACCTTTCTCCACTCTGACACTGAAAACTCTGTCAAAAAATATGAAATTATGGTCAATAATATGAAAACCAGAGATTTTCAGTTAAATTCAATTAGACATAAAACCACAATTTCTGATCTTTTCAAAAATATAAGTTGCAACATTTAATTTTTTACAAATTAATGCTGTTACAAATATTTTGTTAATTTTCTGTTTTCAATTTATGTTTCCTTGAAATTTTGACATTTTTTAAGATCATACTACTCAATCAGGCCAATTACAATTTTAAGATAGATATCTTAATTTTTTTAAAAAGAAGATACATAACAAGCAACAAAAATATTGGAACTACAAACCAATTTTCACTATTATTGTCTACATTTGAATGAAACGTTCCACAAGGCAGGTTCTGTTATAAAAGAAAAAATTCTGTGACATTATTATTTAACTTTTTGGCTTTAACCTTCCTGAGTGGTCAATGACATTAGATTTTATAATAGTATATAATATATATTCAGTATTTAAGGCTAATCTGAATGTTTTCAATTAAAAATAAACAGCCTTTTAAAGCTGACTATGCGGTATGGGCTTTGCTCATTGTTGAAGGTTGTATGATGACCTATAGTTGTTAATTTTTGTATCATTTGGTCTCTTGTGTAGAGTTGTCTCATTGGCAATCATACCACATCTTCTTATTTTTATATAGACAGCAAAAGATGTTTACTCTTACTTTGATTAACAAATCCAGTCTGCCAATCACAAGGTTTCTTTGTCAGTTTTGTGTTAGAGAAGACTGCCTGTGTAAACATGCATGGTTCTGATGATTCAAAACATAGACTGATGTTCAACTCTATCATATATTGGTGGTCACTCTCTAAGTCATAGATGGCATAGCTGAAAGGAGTATAAATTCATAACTTGATAGATCCAAATACCTATCTACTTACCTCTTTATCCAGCTCCAAATTTATATCTTTTCATCTATCAAATTGCCTAATATTTATTTCAATTGATTTCTGAATGAAGAGATCATTATTTCTTCTACAGGTTTCTCTTATATAATACAAGTTATTAAACAAAACAGTCATTTTTTTAACATTATATTGTTCTCATCAATTAATAAATTATTTGATCTATAGGTGTAATACCACCATTGATTTTCCCCTATTAGTCTTTGTTCAATTTGCACTTTTCAAAAAATTGTGCAGAATTTATCTTTGTTTCAAATAAAGAAATACTTGGCATGAGTAAAGTTTTATCCTGTCCAGTACTATAGACAAAATTTCACATAACATTTCATTGCATATAAGAAAATAACCATCACTGGAAGTTAACCAATCAAATTTTCACCCCTTTTCTTCCTGTGTACAAGCTTTAGTAACCATGTAATCACAAGTTTCCAAAATATTCTATAGAAACACCAAATAAAAAAATAAGGGTGCTCTGAAACACCCAAGATATATGTTTATGACTCAGAAATTTTTTAGTGCAATGAAATGCAGGATTAATTTCCTACAACTGTCAAATTCAAGGGAATTTTTTTTTTTCGACCCTTTTTCGTATGCAACCGTATGTGACGTACTATGATTTGGTGGTATTACACCTATATAATTTTTACAGTAATCAAAGTTATATACTTACTCTAAACGGAACACATTGTCCATGTACAGTTTATGAGCAGTGGCTGTAAAATAAATTAGGTAAAACAAGATTACTTTATATTTAAGGTCAGATCAAATTAACTCAAAATGTACCAGCAAATTAAAAAAATTGCCATGTGAGTAGAACAATCCAAATATGCATATAAGAACAGAGTTCCAATGTCCCCCGCGTTGCACATATTTTATCTGTTCTGTCCAAGGGCAATAGCTAAAAATAATTTTCTGTTTTTTCTTTAAATAATTTTTAAATCATTCTTTAAAACTTTTTAAAATTATCTTAGAGAATTGAAGACTTGAGAGCAATTCCCAATATATTTAATATTTCCAAGAGAAACTCGTTAAAAATATTTGATCGGCACTTTTTTTTTTTAAATTGTTCGAGTCATTGCTGTTTAAAAAGCTTTGATATGAATTTGATTAAAATCTGGCAAAATAGTACATGTGAGAGCGCTTACAATGCAAATTTCCATATAATTTATATTGCTAAGGGGCATAACTCTTTTAAAAATAATTGATCTGCAGCAAATTTCGAACTTGTCTGAGTCTGAGACATTGCTGATATAAACCTACAATATAAGCTTCATAAAGATCTGGCAAGAATTAAACACATGAGAGCACTAACGATGCAAATTTCCATATAATTAATGTTTCCAAGGTGCATAACTCTTCAAAAAATAGTTGATGGCACTGATTTCGAACTCGTCTGTGACATTGAAGATATAAATCTATGATATAAGTTTTATAAAAATCTGGCAAGAATTGTACATGTGAGAGCACTAACAAGATTGGACGGAAGGATGGATGCCCAGTATTTCTATGTCCCCCGCAACGGATCGTGTGGAGGACAAAAATGATTTAAGGCTTTGCTTGTTTTTAGTCTAGAAACATATCATATGAAGCCCATTTTCAACATTTTGAAGATAAAAATTCAGGAAACTGCATTTTTTTTTTTTTCAGTTATAGTTCAATGAGTAAAAAGTTGCATGTAAAATTTGACCAAAATCTATGACTTAGCTCATTTACCGTACCTTGATCTTAAATTAAATTATTGATGTTGAGTGAGTCTAAAACAGTAAAAACTAAATTGTATTCAAACAAAATTGTTAATAAAATGCAAACTACCTTTGCCTAGAAATTATATAAGTTCACTGTGGAAGCTTTGGAAATGGACCAAATACATACCCCAATCAAAGTCATACAAGGAAACATTAAACACAAGGTTCTCTATACCAATGGTCAGTCTCTGGTTGCAGGGGTCAAGCCTTAGGACAGTGTTGATAGAATGACCTATGATGTTTACATCCAAGCAACAGTCCACAGCAGTACAAGATGACAACAGTCTACAAGACATTCCATTCTGAAGGGATGGTATTACTGTTGTTACGGGACATTCTGTTTTAAGAAAAGGAAAAAGCATACTATTATAAGGTATTTATAAACATAAAGACAGCATATTATTGTAAGAAAACATAATGACACAAAGTTATCTATCTGGTATATAGATTGACAATAAAGGATCAAAGCTTTGATATTGGTTAAAATATGTCATGTGGTTTTGGAATTTCAAAAAGGCATGTTACTGTATGATGTCATTAACAAGAATACAAATCAATTTAGGGAGAAGAATAGCTAAAAAATCCCACGAAACCCTTCAACTCATTTGTGGAAAACTGTATGCATACAAATTTAAGAAAATTTGTTAGTAAATTATTTGTAGATTTGCCTTTTCTTACAAGGAGATGTGTGGTATACATCAATAAAACACTAACTCAATGACACAATGAACCCCAAAATAAATGAAATTATCTTTATATGAATTCTAATATCGTTTAATTTTTCAAGGATACTATTTCTTATACTTTTATTATAACACAAATGACTACTTTAGCAGTACTTGCTCACCATTCTTCCATCCCTGTACAGCAGGTGTATAGTCAGTATCACTTCTGTTACATGGTGTTCCTTTCAGGTAACCAGCCACACCAAGATCTTTTACTAGCTGTAGAATAGCATACTCAGGCAGGGTGTTCCCAGGAACAAAATGTCTCTCTGTCATCCAGGTTTTCAGTGAGAACCCTTAAAAACAAACTTTCTATTATTCTGCATTCTTACATTTTATTGGATGACATCAAAATATGATTTTCAGCTACTAAATGTTTTCATCCTACATTGAAAACAAATCTAAGCTACTGAAATTTAAATAGGTTTTGATGCAACTATATCCAGTCGAAATTTGGAATAAAAGGAAATGGGGTTAATATACATAAGACATACTCCACAGAAATTCGTGGAAATAACATTCCATTGTATTTGTTGCTGTTTTTCATCTTGTCAGTTGCTTAAAGGTCCCCAACAACTAACTTATAGCAAGGTTAGTGCTCAATGCATCTTTTTAATGTGCATTGTTATGAGTAAAAATTTGTAAGGGTTCCGCGGAACCCAGTGTCTCGCCTACTTTTGCTGTTATCTATGTTTTCAGTGTGATAGGGGAATGCATATAATAGATTTACAGTTAATGATATAAAATGTTTGAAATGTATGAAAAAAGTTATGCTTGTAAAAATGAATACAGTATGGAATCAAATCTATAGATTTATAAAAGAGATTGAATGAACAAATGATAAAGAAGATAATTTTTACATTGTTTGATGATTTATCCCTTAATTCAGATGACGACGGAATGTAGGATCGCTATGTCAACAAAAATGGGGAAAAAATTATTAAAACTTTTCCTCTAGATACTATCTTTTGATTGTAAGAAGCTTCTGTCCAAGTTTGGTAAAAATCCAGGATGGTTCATGAATCTAATAAATGTTTTAAAAACTTTAACTGCAGACTGTATGTAATGTTAACTGGAAGAAAAACTAAGTCCATTTATAAGTAATATACGGAAAAACAGGAAATAAATTTTTACAAAATTTCCTTCTAGATACTAGCTTTTGATCATAAACAAGCTCCTGTCCAAGTTTGGTAAAATTCCTGGATAATTTAAGAAAGTTATTAAAATTTTAAAAACTTTAACCACAGAGTGAATGTAATGTTAACCGGCAGAAAAATTAAGTCCATTTATAAGTAAAATACGGAAAACAGGATTTTTTTTATCAAAATTTACTTCTGGATACTATCTTATGATCATAAACAAGCTTCTGTCCAAGTCTGGTACAAATCCAGGATAGTTTAAGAAAGTTATTAAAATTTTAAAAACTTTAACCACAGAGTGAATGTAATATTAATTAACTGGCAGAAAAACTAAGTCCATTTATAAGTAAAATAGGGAAAAACTGGAATTTGTTTTTACAAAATTTACTTCTGGATACTATCTTATGATCATAAACAAGCTTTTGTCCAAGTTTGGTACAAATCCAGGATAGTTTAAGAAAGTTATTAAAATTTTAAAAACTTTAACCACAGAGTGAATGTAATGTTAACTGACAGAAAAACTAAGTCCATTTATAAGTAAAATAGGGAAAAACTGGAATTTTTTTTTTTTTTAAATTTACTTCTGGATACTATCTTATGATCATAAACAAGCCTCTGTCCAAGTTTGGTAGAAATCCAGGATAGATTAAGAAAGTTATTAAAAATGCAAAAACTTTAACCACAGAGTGAATATTTGTGGACGCCGCCGCCGACTACGACGACGACAACGACGACGGAATGTAGGATCGCTATGTCTCGCTTTTTCGACAAAAGTCGAAGGCTCGACAATAATACTGAAATGTTTTAGCCAATTCATGAGACAATTTCACACAATACAAAAGAAATAAACCAGTCATTTCTATTTACTCTATCAATAACAGTAAATCACACTAACCTGGAATGTTAAAGTCTCTGTTCCAGTCACAAGTAGGTTTAGGCATTCTGACATTCTCTGCTATAGTCCTGTTGATCACACAATAGGTAGGTTCCACACATACACTTAGGTTGACGGACAGTAAGTATTCATTGCTACTCTGCAACTCATCAATGATATAGCTGGAAATAAAAAAAGGATAATGGTTATTAGTGAAAACATTCACAATAGACAACTTGTGTAAAGGAACACATTATTTTTCTTGATAACCATATGATTTTTAGTGGGGTTTGTGTTGCTCAGTCTTTAGTTGTCTATGTTGTGTTTTGAAAACTGTTGTCTGTTTTTTGGTCTTTTACTTTTTTTGCCATGGCATTGTCAGTTTATTTTCGACTTATGAGTTTGAATGTCCCTTTGGTATCTTTTGCCTCTCTCTTATACATATAAAGTGATTCAGACATAAATAAAATTTTTAATAAAATATGCATTGTTAAATTCACTCACTCAATTTTTAATACTCCGTTAATGTAAAATTGTCTTTTCTCTCCTGCAAAAAGAAAGCATACGATCATGAACGGTTATATAATGGGTGATTTTTTCCCGTACAAAATGTTTTGATATTGAATTGAATTACATTGAAAGACATTATATTAAGATGTGCAGAATCTTTTATTTTTATTTCTTCTATTTCCAGCTTTTAATGTTTGATCTTACTCGTTTGTGTTTATTTTTTATGAATATGAGGAATAATTTTTATTCAATAAACATTCCCATCATTTTATATTTTGTTGGATAATTGATCCATTGGCTATCATATACACATATACTTATTTTTATATAACGGTGAAAGCATAAATAACTCCATCTTATAACTGGAATATACATCAAACAAAGTTTATGAATGTTGGTATTTTAATGACCATATTTTTTTTTCTATCTACATTCTAAAACTATAGATTCACTTTGAAAATAAAGAACTTTATTCCAGGTGTAACAAAGTGGTAAAATAATATATTTTTACCAAATTTATAACCAATCAGTGAATGATTATGAGTCAGCTTCTCTATTCCAACACTCAGAACAAAACTGCAGGCATCCAGTTTTATAGAATACACAAATGACCTGTCTAATAAGGACATTTCCACACAACATCTGACAGCAGTACAGGTATCCTCTACTATACAGGTTGTCTCAGTCTCTTTTAGGTAGGGAACAGATATTGGTGTTTTACATTCTGAAAACATATCGATTATGTGAGTGAATTATGTGAAATCATATTTCTAAAATGTTAGATGAGGTGTAAACATGGCCTAGGGGGTTACAGGAATTTCGAAACAACAGTTGGAGAAAATTTTAATACTTTGTTCAGAAGGAATACAATATTTTCCCCCATAAGCTTGTTAAATTCAAATTTTAAAATACATAGCTGTTAAAATGTTAAATAATCAAGATGAAATTTTATAGAGAGATAATACAATGGTAGCATTTGTTTCTAGAAAGATACAAGATCCTGGGTATACGGTTAGAAATAGACTTGTTTTGTTGGATTGCTGTCTCATTGATGTTTGCCCTTTCCATTGTATTTATCTATTCATGAAAGCTTTCAGTAATTCCCAATGCATATTCATTACAAGAACTCCTACCATTAAAATATGTACAACTGATATTTGATAATGAAAAAATGGAACCATAAGTTGTTTGAAACTTGTTTGGAAAGTAGAGGGTGTTATATTTTCAAAATTTAAATTTCATTATTTTTTAGGTGAAATGAACTTATTCCCAATAGTTTTTACAAACAGATAAAAATCCACTGTTCAGGCTCAATATCAATTTTGGTTTTTTATGATATCATGTTTTTCCCATCATTCTGTGTGCACATAACCTCTCATTAATACTTTAAAGAAAGGCACAATCTCCAGTTAACAAGACCATCTTATTAATAAGACCAAGAAACTGAAATTTTTTACCTTTCATCCATCCATCAAAGTTAGGTCCCCACGGTGCTACCTGTCTGTTACAAGATGTGTCATGTAGGTAGGGAGAGAGGTCTAAATATTCCATCATCTGGGATACAACATACTTTGGTATAGTTTTGGTTCCTTTCAAGTCCCTTTCTGTCAGCCATTTTGACAGGGAAAATCCTAAAACATGCCAAGACATCACAAGATAAGGTAACTGAAGGCATGATTTATCTAAGCATTTTATTAAAAAGCATAAAACATTCATTTTAAATGCTTAAGAACTGATAACTCATCATGCCTGGTCAACTTTTAATTATAGTTTACTTGCATGTTTTGTACATAAAGTAAAGCCCTAATATTTTGCATTTTGCTGAACATAATATTCAAACTCAAGTGTTTGGCTAATAAATTTTACACACATTTTATAAATTACACAATGAACTTTGCTCTTTTAAAAAACCTTTAATAGTAGTAATAAAATGTATCCCCTCCCCTAAAAAAACAAAGAATATTTTTTGAATAGTTCTATGGTTAAGTGCCTTAAATAACTTTCCTTTCACAAAATATACAAATAACTATCAATAAAGCTGATTTGATATTCAAGTCAGCCATAGTGTACCTTGTATATTGAATCCATATGTGAAATTGCACTGCATCTTTGGT